ATATTTTTTAATGAAAATTTTACTTGGGGAATTTGTCGCTTTGACTATTAAGTGTATTCAAGTAGGTTTCGATTTTGTCGTGACAAATTAAAATTGATAAATAGTGATTAAACAAATTTTAAGTCGAAAACGAAATTGAAAATGTGATTTTTAATATCAATTAACTTTTTTAATTCAAATTTTACTTGGGGAATTTGTCGCTTTGACTATTAAGATCATTTTATTTGGTTTCGATTTTGTCGTGACAAATTAAAATTGATAAATACTGTTTTAAAAAAGTTAACGTCAAAAATGAAGTAAAAAATTGATTTTTAATAACAATTAACATTTTTAATGAAATTTTTGTAGTTAGTTATATGTAAGTGAAATGAGGTAATGAAATTAATTTTTTTTAAGAACATTTTTTTTTGCTTGAGTAGTTCTTCGTATGAGTAGTTGATTAATTTTTTTTTATAATTTATGATTACGTATTTTCTCTTGCATAGATTTTAAATTCTTATGAAATAATTTAATTTAGTTTAATGTAAAATTTAACAAATAAGTTTTTCTTTTTTCTATATGAATTACATTTTTTTTACTGTACTTATGTGATTCATCTGCAGTTGTTTAATTTACATTCATTTACAGTTCGTATAAAAATTTTTTTCTTAATTTTATTTTTAAATTTAAAAAAAATTTTTTAATAAATTTTTTTTAAAATTTTTTTAATTAATTTTTTGGGTATTTGGAAAATGAATTATTTGGTCTTGTTACGGCAAAAAAACGGCAAATTTCTGTCAAGAAGAATTTTGTGAATCTTTGTAAACAACGGAGTTAGAATGGGTGCTTCGCTAACTTTATGTAAACTTAGCAAAGCACCCTATTTTAAAAAAAATTTGAAGAGCGACAAAATTTTTTTTTTCACAACTAATTAGCGACTAAAAAGCGGCAAATTTTGGTCTATATAAGACTTTTGGTTTTTGAAGTTGTTTCGCTAAGTTTATGTACGTGATTTAACATTCCTTAAACTTCATACCTACAATAAAGTAAATGTAGGACTGAATGTTTCTATATGAATATGGAAACAATACCGTTTACAATTTAAATAAATAAATAAAACTTCAACTCTCATCTCATTAATATAGAAAATAGAAAATATTTTCAAAACTTTGATTTTTTTGATTTAATTCCATAATAATTTATTTACAATACTAGCAAAATTAAACGCGCGCAAGCGCACCAAATTGAGTATTTAATTATTTGTTATAAAGAAATTAAAGTTTAATATTATTAATAATAATTTAATTTATTAGAATATTATTACATATTAAATGATAATAATGAAAATTATATGTTTACAGGCCTCGGATTATACGACTTTTTCCGACTTTTTTAAAAAATACGACTTTTATCGACTTATTTTAATAAAATGCGACATTTTTTTTACATTTGAAAAAAAATGTAAATAGAATACATTTTTTTAGTATAAAATGTAGATCTTCTTTAATTCAATTATTTAACAAATTTTTAACTAAAATGATTCTTCACTAAATTAATTATTTTTAATAATTTTAATTAAATACATCACAAATTCAGATATATAAAAATTATTTTTCAATTAAAATTTTTATGAAATTTAACAATTGTTTATAATTTAAAAAAAAATATCAATAAAATTGAATTATTTTTTAAAAATTTCAATTCAAAATAAACTAAAATTCAATTATTACCCGAAATTTTAATTCAAAATCAATTAAAATTCAATAATTATCCAAAATTTTCAATTTAAAATTTAATTACATATTTACCAAGTTTTCAATTTAAATTGAAATAAAATTCAATTATTTTCTAAAATTTCTATTTAAAATTAATTATCCAAATTTTCAATCAAAAATGAACTTAAATTAAATTATTATCCAAAATTTCAATTAAAATTCAATTATTTCCCAAAAAATTTTCAATTTAAAATCAAATAAAATTTCATTATTCTCAAAAATTTGAATTCAAAATTAATTGAATTTTCAATAATTTGAATTTAAAAGCATCTAAAATTTAATTATTTCTTAAATTTTCCATCGAAAATTTTTTTTGTTGAAATTTAATAATTTCAATTATAACTCTAAGGAAATTCAATTATTTTTAACTATTTTAATAATATTCTTTGAAAATTCAACTATCTGAAACCATTTTTAAATTAAAAATGATTTTCAAATTATTGTATTTTGTCCGCATTTTCTAATAAATTTTTAGTGAAATCATCTAAAATTTTAATTACAAAACACTTAAAGTTTCAATTAATTTCAAAAATCTCAATTTTAAATCTTTGAAAATTCAATTAAATTTAAAAAATGTTTTCCAAAAATTGTTTGATAAATTATTTTTAGTTCTGTAAAATTTAATAATTGTTTGAAAATTAACAATATCTTTTGAAATTTAATTATTTCTAAAAATTTCAACTTTAACCCTTCGAAAAGGATTATTATTAAAAAAAAAATTTTTTATTTAAAAATCTGTAAAATATTTTTGTTAAAATAAAAAACAAATCCACTTTTTTTTGGAATATAAATCGACTGAAACGACTTTTTGTGTCTTTAAGTTGATTCGAGGCCTGTGTTTTTATAATTAATATTTAATAGGTATTCCTTGGCCCCTGGTACCTTAAAAATTAATTTTTAAAAATAAATTTTTTTCAAATTACTATCTTGTACGAAATTTCCTGGCGCATCTTTTTTCTCATCATAAAATTTTTTGTATTTGTACACAATTTTTGAATCAATATACAACTTTAAAAAAAATTTCGTTGGTAAACGTTGTGTACTTCAGCTTCGTGAATTTCGGAAACAAAATTATACAACTTTGGCAAAAATGAGAAAAAGAATTGTCAAAATTTGACACGTCATAAGATTACTATTCAAAAAAACACGTGAAATCAAAAAAGGCCAACTTCAAGTTAGGACAGAAGGACAGACCAAGCATTTTATTATTATATAATAATTTATTTACAATATTTATTTTACGTTCCTTTGAATTATTGCAAAAAGATTTTTTTTCTACTTATTTAAAATTATTTTTTTTAAAATTATAATATAAATAAATATTTTTTTTTTTTTTTTTTGTTAATTTTTTCTTAATATTCTGGCTTGCATTAAAAAATTGAATATTGTACAAAATTGAATACATTTTATAAAAAATATTTGTAAAATATTCATTTAGTTGTTTGATAATTCTTCCCCTTAGTAGAAATAATATTGAACCAGTTGTGTGTAAAATAATAAGTTCTATACTGTCCACCTGTTTTCTGAGGGAATATGCAAGAGGGTTCGCGGATAATTATGTAGCTTTTATTGAACCGTCTAGTCTTTGAGAGAAAGAGAGAGAAAAAAAAATGAGAGAACACGCCTATGAGGGTGCAATAAAATTGTAGGTTTAAATATTCCTAGTACAAAAGTTATTGTTCAATCCATTTTATATTTCACGCAACCAACAAATTTTCCCTGACATTTATGAATCATATATGTATACAATTTTTTTTTTTGTTTCAGAGAAAATTATGTCCTGCTTTCTTTATGGGAACTGAAAATAATAATAATAATTAGTAATAATAAAAAAAAAAATTATTATACAAAAAATAATATAGTGATTGAAAAATTATTATTTAAATTTCATTTGAAATTTATCTGTTTGATAAAATATTGCAAAAATATCCAGTTAGTTTTTAAATACCGGCTTTTTTTAAGTTATGAATTCATAAAATCCTAACGAGTCATTGTTTTCATTGCCATATATTGTAATTATCCTTCGTGACACAAATTAATACAAAAGCCTGGAAATGGTTAATTATAAAATTTTTTATGCAAACAACATAAACTATATTCTTACTCAACAGAATTAAAATGAAAATTTTTCACAAGGTTGGAAAGTAAAATTTTTTTTTTTTTATAAATGCAGAACACAAATAAGTTTATGTTTTTCATACATTAATATCTATATGTATATAAAAATCGTTTTTATTTATTTATTATGTTATGTTCTTTTTATATTTTTCTTATATTTTTATTTAAATTAATTTTTTTTTTATAATAATTTTGATGATTTATTTTGTATTACTTATTGTCATTTTTACTTTTTGTACATATTTTTTTATTATTATTGTTATTATAATTATTATTATCACTGTCATTATCATTAATAATTACTAATATTAAAATATAAGAAAAAATGTAATATTTGTTAAGTTTAAATTTTTCACTTTTAATGTGAATGAGTAAAAAGTATACTCGCGAGTTGAGTTGAGTGTCGTATAAGGACAAAAAAAGTACATAATATAAACTTACAGTAAAGTGTAGAGTCGACTGAAATTTAAACCTGAATCTGAAAATCTTGTTGCATTTAACGTAGCATATATTCATGTTCATATAACAATGGGCAATGTACGCCTTAATAAGGTCAGGGACTTAAGAGTATCATTTTTCAAGCTTGGTATAATATTGTGGCGTTTAACTCATCCACTGCGGGTCTCTTCACAGACAAGTTTTTTTTTCCTTTTCTTTTTTTTTTTGTCATAAAAATCACTACAACTTGCACTGATCGTTTAAACAAAAAAAAAAATATGATTTTTTACATGACTAATTTTGAGATTTAATATACGTGAAATGTAGAAAAAAATGTGAAAAATAAATTTTGTGACAAAAAATTGTCAGATCGATAATCAAATATTAAAATAAGATAGAGATTTTATCAAAATTTACTGATATGAAATTTATATTTATTTAAAATATTTAATAATATATTAAATAAGTACAAAAAAGTACTAACAATTATTGACAATTTGAAAATTGGAGAAATTACATATTTTCATTGAAAAAAAATCAAATTAGGAAAAATGAACACATTTAATTTGAAATTGATTGATTGATTCATTGGAAAAGAAATTAAAAAATTACTTAAATTTTTTAGATGAAAAAATAGAAAATTTTTATTTATTTTAAAACTAATTGTTTAATTATTTTTTTTCTCGACAGGCTGTTGGATTAGCCGTGGTGGTATTAGGATCATGGATGATGACGGACAGAACATTTTTGGTATCCCTATCGGAACAGGAACATCACTACAATATGGGACTTTACGTTCTTCTTGGTGCAGGAATTTTGATTATCATTGTATCTTTCCTGGGATGTTGTGGAGCTTTCAAAGAATCGCAATGCATGCTGGTCACTTTCTTCAGTTTGCTTTTGGTTGTAATTGTTGCACAAGTTGCTGCTGGAGCTTGGCTCTACACAAACAGAGAGCGATTAGATGAGCTGGTTAAGGATTCTTTCGCTGAAACTGTCAAGGTAATTATTTATTTCATTAAAATTAAATTAATTAAAAAACTATTTCATTGAAGGACAATTTTATCAAAAAAAAAAGAAAAGAAACATCAATTTTTAATAAAACACTGATCGAGTAGTAATTTTTCCCTCTGAATATGATTTTTATTGGTAAATTTTTATTCACGCTGATTACGAATCTGGAAATAAAATTTTATGAAAAGTGATAAAAAAATACGGGGGAAAAAGATTTATTTTATCGGACACAGTTTTATTTATTAATTAAAGCGATTAATTTTTAATTAATAAATAAAATATTAATATTTATTGCAAAAATTTAGAAATATATAAATTTATCTAAAGGTTATTAATATTTATTAATTAATAGTAATTAATAGAAAAGAATGAAAATTATAAGTGGTTAGTTGATACAAATGCGGGCACTTTCTAATTTGTCATGTGAATTGGGGAGTTTTATTAGAAAATTTTTTTAAAAGAGGGTCGTATAATATAAGTTCAGGAAAGATGTAATAGTAAGAAAATAACTGACAATTATTTTCGTCATATATTTATTAAAAATTTCACATTGGTTTAAATTAAAAAAATTATTTTTTTGTTCAAGAAAATATTGAACTTGTTTTTATTATTACATATTCATTGATTTAGAGATTTTTTGTCTGTTATGGATTTATATTTATTTTTCTAAATTTTAATTTCTATTTTAATTTAATTTCTTTACTTTATTTTTAAATTTCCTACATCGAGATTTAATTTTTTTTTTAATCGATCAATAAAAATAATTGAATTTAATAGCAATTGAAATAAGTAAAATGTAAAAATAAGTAAAATATTCTTTTTTATTTTTTAAAAAGTTTTTAAAAAAATTTTTTTTTCAGAATGAATACGGTAAAATTGAATACCGTACGGATATTGTGGACACTGTTCAATCTAGTTTCGGCTGTTGCGGAGCATCTGGTCCTTCTGATTGGGCTTCGAGTAAATACAATAAAGATGGACAGGAAGGATTAAGCTTTTCAGTAACTGCTAACACCAATATATATAAGATTCCACAATCCTGTTGCATAAATAAAGATTCACCAGCCTGCCGAGGTGGACCTAAAGTTAATCTCGGAGCTCGTATTAGTTCGGAAATTTATTCAGATGTGAGTCAATTATTTTCATCATTTATCGCCGCATAAATATTATCATTACATTTTCATTATAAACAAAGTTAATTTAGTAACTTCATTAATAATTTTATTTTTATTCCTCTAATTTAAATAAAATAATAAAATAAATAAATTAACAAATTTGAATTAGTAAAAATTAATTTATTGATAATTTTCAGGGATGTACGGAAAAAGTGATAAATGCTCTAAAATCTCAAGGAATTATAATTTTTGGCGTTGCAATTGGAGTGGGAATATTGGAATTTTTAGGTCTGATTTTCTCATTGATTCTCTGCTGTGCAGTCGGTTCATCGGAAAGGTATAAGGCCTAAAAAAAAAAAGAAAAAGAAGAAAAAGCTTTTTCATGTATCAAGACTATCCCTTCTTACGTTTATCCCCTTGTGTAAAAATATCCTGTTGTCTCGACTTAATTTTCTATGATAAAATTCAAGGAGTCGGAGAGAGAAATGAAATCGGCAACTGATAATGACTAAAACACAAAATGGGGCCATATTTAAAACGTAAGATTCGATTAATTATACACTCCAAAGAAAAATTTATTATCATTCGCAAAAAGTGGAACAAAATGAAAAAATGATTGGAAAATTAATTCTAAAAAAAGGAACGAATCTAGAGTCTAGATTTTCACTAACTGGGACCTGAAAAAGAAACAAAAGGTAAATATTTAATATTATTCTCGTATCTACCGTGCGACAAATTTTTGCATTGCAATTGTGAATTTATTGCATAAATTAAAGATGATATAGTCGCACAATTAGGAATTGATTACAGAAACGAAAAAAAAAAATAAGTTCCACATTTTTAATAATTTGTACTCAAATATTTCTCGTAAAAATATAATCTTTACCACCAAAGATTTGAGTTAACAAGAGAAAAAAAAAATGATCAAATAGAAATAGGCTTTTTTTTATATAATATAAGAAAAAAAATTCGGCAAGTCGATTAAAAAAAAAAAAAAAAAAATTCTAATTACAAAGAAAAATTAATTCGACTTGTCGCATTTTTCACAATATACCCGATGAGCTTAAAATTTTATTTAGCTTTACAATTTACATTTCGTCTTCGAATGTGTTCAAATACTTTGACGAATCTCTAAGATAAACAGTACAACTTTTTTTTTGTATTTATGTTTTAAGTTACGGTGGATACGTTACTTTGTTGAATACAAAAGAAAACAAAAATATCTCAATATTTACTTTAATCCAAAAATCTTTAAAATGCAAAATCGAAAATGCACTCGTAAAAAAAACGAGTAAATTATAGATAATCAAGATATCTAGAAAAATATGATATATTCTGAATATGATGCAAAAATTTGCACGTGGCCAAAGAATTCGTTTTTGAAATCCTTTTTTTTTATTTAAAAAAAGGAATTCTAATTTTAAAAAAATTAAAAATATGAGATTTATATTACAAAGCACGTTGAAAACGTGTATATCATTTATTAGAGATACTTATAAAAGAGATTATTAACTCTGAAAGCTCTTATTAAGGCATTGTCGATATTGATATATTGTTGAAATCTCAATGACGATCAATTTGTTATAGTAGAAGAAGAAAAAAAAACAAACTATAACAATGTTGCAGCCATGACAAAGACTTAATGTATGATGAAAGAAGGTATTAAAGTAAAATATAATTGATATCATAAATAATATTTACGTAATATTATATTTAAAAGAAAAGAAAAGAGTAATATTATATAAAATTTATAATATTCTAAGATAGAAATCTTTCGATTTCAAAAGTCATAATATTAACGTACAGCATAATAACATACCTCGTTGATCATTTAATAATTTTGATATTGATATTTACAATATTTTTCGGTTATTTTTTTTCTATTCTCTAAATTTTTCTATGTCGTGTTTGTATTTGCTCGAAGTCTACAGTTCAACGTTCTCCAAACAATATTTCTTTTTCAATTAGTTTTTTGCACTTGAACTAAAAAAAAAAAAACTAATTTAAATAATATTTTGGAAATAAGTCAAAGAGAGATAAATTGAAAACGGAAACACTTTCAAATGTAATTAATTCATTCCCAAAATATGCGGCAAATATATATAAGATTTTTTTTAAGACTGCAGACTTCGTTAAAGAATATTAAATTATTTACTGTTAATGAAAAAAAAAAGAAACAAGAATGAATGTCATTGTATTGAGGATTTGTAACAATGCAATAAGTCATATTATTAGTTAATATATGTGGAGATTTATGATAATATATAAATCATAATATAACAATTATTTTTAAGTGATTAATACTGTGCGTAATTTATATTTGTTTAAATCAAATTTTTTTTCCGCAATAGTTTATTTTTTTTCCGCATTTATTTAAAAACAAAAAAAAAGAAACATAATCCCTTGCTGTATGAATGTGGAACAAAAAAAAATCTGTGTCATGTAGTCTCAAAGACTTGGGAGATTTTTCCAAAATTATATTTTCGTAATTGATGGTATTCGCATTTAATTTTATATTATTATACATATATATAATATAAGAGAGGCTACATGCAAATGTCAAAACGTTCAATATATACATATATATAAAATTTCAAAAGAACTTTTGTCTCATCATTTTACACAGAGAAGATTAAAAATTAATATTCGAATATATTAAAATAAAATCATAAATTTACAAAATTAAAAAATATCCATTACAATGAGAGATAGGCAAATTTTCCGAAAAATCAAAAATTTTCTAATTTTACGTTTGACAATAGTTATAAAATTATTTTAGTAATTTCTTTCCTTATCTCAGAGTACAACTATTTTCGAAATTCTTATTAATACTAAAAACGTATTTCTTTAAAAAATTCTTTGGATATAAAGAAAAATTACGAAAAAAAATTAACTTTTTCAAATTCTTTTTTTTGTCTTTTAGAAATTTTCGAAACTTGTCCTTGTGTTCTTACCAATGCACAAATAATTTATCTTAAAAACTAGAGATTTTTTTTATTGTGCTCTATTATTATTTATATTTTGACATTTTATTATTTTTGAATCATTTTTTGTTTCTTAATGAGAAAAAAAGATCCAAATTACAGTAGTAAAATTCTTGTTTACAAAAACTTGGAAATCAAAATCAGAAACTTTTCGCATTTGTTTAAAATTGAAATTTTTTTTTATTTTCTCTTAAAAATTTTTCTACAAGTTTAAGAATTTTTTTTTTAAATATGTCACACAATTCGAATTACATATTAATAAGAATGATCAAATATTTTTTATTGAATTATTAAAAATAAATTTTCGAAAATTTTGTAAAAAAAAAAAATAAAAGACCATTTAGTTAATAATTTAACAGCATTTTTTCAAGCCTTCTTTTTCTAAAATAATAAATTTTTGAGTATTTAACTTTTAACAAAAAGATTCAGAAGTTGAATTTTATTTCTTTAGATTAAAATTCAAAAATTTGAAAATTATTTTTGATATTTAAATTCCAAAAAGAGAAAATTATTTTAAAGATTAAAATTCCAAATTCATTATTGTGGATTTAATACGATGATAAATGTGAGTCTTACTCTGTTCCTCTATGTGAGAGAGTATGTAAACTAAAGGAAGGTGAAGACTAAAAGGATATAAGGAAGGGGACTCACGGTTTTACAGGTGCGGCATACGACGACCAACAGAATATTCGGACCGCAGAACGGCGACACAATGCTGTTCGGTGTCTCAGACAAGGAATGTTGTACGTTTCCTTTTCCTCTCTTGTCACCCTCCGCTTTAACTAATTTACCTATACCTCTACAAATTACATGAAAACAAACTTTACCTGACCAATATAATCACAATTTTCATTTATCTTCCAAGACATTTACCATACATAAATACACAAGTGCGGCGCACACTTTCTTGCGCGGATTGCAAAATTCTTTCATCTCTCAATTTTTAAATTTGTGTTAAGTGTTTTTTGTTTTAGTTTTATTCAAAAAAAAAAAAAAAAAAATTGTGCAGAACGAAGGAATAAAAAATTGTGAGACGAATGGATTATAATAATAATAATTGAAGAACAATATTATTAAAATGTGTTAATTTTTAAAAATAGCTGTTACTTCAATTAATAAGTTTCTCGATTTGAATTTATTGAAGGTAAGAAATGCATTGCTTTGATTCTTATGGGGTTCGACAGGAGTTATATTTAAATCTTACGTCATATATGTTCAATTTTTTTTAATGATTTATTCATTAATTAATATATTATAAATTATTTTTATTTCATAAAAGAGAATTTTTCTCGAAACAATATAATTATTTTTTAAAAAAAGGTATAATTAGAATTTAAAAAAAAGGAAATTGATACAAAATAATTTTATTTTTATATTTGAGGAAGCTTTAAAACAGCGTTAGTAAATTTGAAAGATTGCCAAATTTTGAAAAAGTCAAAGACCTTGTTAGAAAACCAATAAAAATTATCTGTTTAAAAAAATTTTATTTTCAAAATAAATAATTTTCAAACATAAAAATAAATATTTTTGCTACTCTTTCTTCGTAAGAAATTTCTAATTTTTCATATACAAAATGAAATTACTATCAATAAAAGAGATTTTGAATTTTTAATGAAAAAAAAAAGATTCAAATTTAATCTTGAGATTCGTTTTAAATGCAAAGTCAGTTGTCCTTTAATTATATAATAAGAATACTGTATCAAATTCAATTCTAGAAATCCAAGAGTTATAAGTTAAGATCAACTTTTTTGTCTCTAATTACAATTTGTGTATTAAAAAAAAAAAAAAATGAAACAAAATAAGAAAAATATATAATTTTTTAAAAATTTTTATAACGAAAATTAAAATTGTGATAAATAAACGAAAGTAAAAACTGAAAGGAAAATAGATTTAAATTAATTTCTCCAATTTATGAAAATCACTTATCTAAAAAAAATAATTACTTTGTTTGGGAGAAAGACCTCTTCAAGATTTGTGACTCACCGAAAAGCTAATGTGAAGAATATCCCAAACCGGTTTTCAGAAGTTCTCCATTCTATATAGTAAATATGCTCGTGTCTTAAATTAAGTGCTAGAAATGTTTTTTTATTGTTATATGTATTTTAATTTTTACCTATACTATTTTTAATTCTCTTCGAATTACTTTAAATTACTATATTTAAAATTTCACTGGTATTTAATATATTTATCTCACTTCCAATTTTCGGAAAAAATATTTTTCTGATGCTTGGAAATTAACGTGTGTTACTGAAACAGTTACACATTTTTCAGTAACGGTAACTCTGTAAATTTGTAACACAAATTTTGGAAATTCCTTTTCTTTGTCAAAAAAAAAAAAATTTTTTCATTTGTTTACAAAATCTAAAACTCCAAGAGCAAAAAGCAATAAACTTATTTCGTTATTTGTTCATTCCTAAAGATTCAAAATTCACATTTTGAAAAAAAAATGTATCTTTATTTTATTATTATTTATTTATTTACTATTAATTTTTATAAATTAAATAATATTACAAATACGAGATAAAAAAAATTAAGTACGTTTTAGTTTGTTCAAAATTTTCAAAAAATAACAGAACATAAAAGACATTATTTATGGCAATTATTGTGTATTTACATATTAATTATTTTGAAATTGAATTTAATTACAGATCGAAGATGAGGTACGTTATCATAATTATTGGCATCCTGTCAACAAGTATCGCTCAAGATGCCAATGAGTGTGATAGAAATTGGCATAATTTAGAAACTGAAGAATCGTCGAGATTAAATTGCGGTCCTATGTTTGAAAGACGTTGTCAATGCGAAAGAATATGTTTCGAACGAGAACACAAATTTGTAGTTAATTGCACCAATGCTGGATTTACAACAACTGCACCATTGTCCTATTTGCCAAATAAAACTCAGGTATACGATTTTTTTCAATTTACATTTTTTATCAAAAAAAAAAAATTATTAAAACATAAAAAAAAATATATAATATAAAAATATTCAATTAAAAAATATACAATTTACAATTTACAAATATTAAATAATTTTAATAATTTTATTATTGTTATTCGTTTATATTAATTAATTAGTAATAATTATAAAAATATTTTTATTTAAATAATATGAATTATACACTTTTTATAATTCTGTAAGAATGAGTAATTCATTGCTGATGAATCGATCAGTAAGATGTATTATTATAAGAAAAGTGAACTTGAAGTGCAGCCCAGTTTTCTGTAATATTGTAACGTAATTATGCCTTTAGCTTCCCACTTTACCATTATTTTCTCTTTCATTCCTCTGTGTTTATCTCCAGTCTGTATGGAATTACAGAATTTTTTTTTATTTTCCGATTTTATCTGAATTGCTTTATATCAGATCTGTATTATTTCTATAATTTACTTTAATATACTTTAAATAATTTATAAATACAGTTTACAATATACATAAAAAATTTATTAATTATAAAATTATTATTTTTAATATATTTGTAACTGTACTATACTATACTATAAAAGTGTCTTTTTAAATGATTAAATTTTTTTTGAATGCCAGGAATTGTATTTTTTATATTTATTTTAATTTTTTCACATTCTCGTATATATTTTTGCCTTTTTTTAAATTCATTTTTCATTTTGCAGGTTTTACTTTTTACGGGAAATAATATAAATACACTGCCACCAAATATTTTTGGTACTCTTGATTCATTCCCGGATTTGGAAATAATTGACATGTCAAATAATCATATTAAAATAATTAAAGGACAATCTTTTCATCATGTCAGAAATGTGAGACGATTAATATTGGATTTTAACGACATTTCTTTGGATCCTGCTAGAAGTCATCCAAGAATTTTCTCTAATTTCATCTCTCTTGAAGAACTTCATCTCACGGACGCTTTTGAAGATTCGCCAAACCCGAAAGAATTGGCCTCAACACTTCACGATATTTTTGTAAATAGGTAACTATCATTAATTATTATTTATTTAATTATTTATTCAATCATACAGGCAAAGCCCATTCTTATTATTATTATTATCAATTTCTCTAATTAAAAAAATATTAATTTATTAAAATTTAATTTGAACAAATTTTGAAATATTTTATACAATTTTTTTTTTAATTCATTTTTTATGAACGGTAGATTTCGTTTAAATTTTTTGCTTACGTATGAAAAATGAATATTTCATATTGAAATTTAAAACATTGCACAAAAGATAAGAGATCTAGTTTTATGCCAGTCTACAAATATTGCCCACGCATTATTAATATATTTTTTCATAACCGGTAACGAAAAAATAAAACAATTTTTTTCTTTCTATTAAATTTAAAATTACTTGGAAAAAAAAAGATTTTAAGTCTAATTTTTAATTTAATACTTTAAAAAATAAATGTTTCTTTGATAATTTTGTGTTTATTCAATTCTACAGTTAATTAATTTACTTCAAAAATTTCTACAATAATAATAATAATTTTTATAAAATTAAAGAAAACTATATATTTTAATTTAAAAATGAATGTTTAGTTTTACTTTATTTTTGGTGAATTTTCGTGTAATTTGAAGAAAAAATTGCAAATATGAATTTTTTCTTCTTTTTAAATAAATACGTGATTTTTTTTTGTACGCAAACTCGCAGTTGATTGTGATATGATGTGAGCAGCTTGCTCACGGAATACATATATGAGTATACACGGTTTGGCAACAATGGAGAAATTCCTTTTTATAAAAAAAAGAAGTTGCGGGTTCGTAGTTAGTTTCGACCAAACGAAGTTCAACAGTTATACCGATAGAGATTACGGTGTGAATACACAAAATATCAAAAATTCTATTATTTTTACAATTTATTTACAAAAAAAAAAAAAAACGAAAATATACAGTGAAATAAATTGGAAGAAAATTATTTCATGAACAAATATACATATGATTTAAATTTGAAATCATATAATCGAACTAATCGAATAAATCGGAAATATTCTGAAATATGTACAAATGGCTTTCAAGTGGTCAACAAAGTTCATTATTCGTTTTTTACAATCGTACGAAAAACATCCTTGTCTATGGGATTTTAAGCATGAATTTTACAAGAATCGATACGAAAGAAATATTGCCGAACAAAGTATTTTAAATGAATTAAATATCGATGATTGTGATATTAAAATTTTTAGAACAAAAATCAGAAACATCAGAAGTACTTATAATGATGAGATTTATAAAATAAAAAGTGCATTGAAATGTAATCAAAAATATTTACCAAAATTACCATGGTTCCCCGTTGCTGACAAATTTTTAAAAAGATCAATTGAAACTGGAATTTCTTCCACTGAGGTAAGTATATTATGAATACTGCGTGAATTTTAAAAACAATTTTTTATTTTATTAAATTTTCGATGATATTTTTTTTTATGAAATACTTTTCATACAAATTGAAATTAACTATAAGTTTCCGTAAAATTTTTGTTTTATTGATTACGAGTGTTTTTTTTTAATAATTGACTTTCAGAACATTTTTTTTGTAAAATCAAAATAAAATATTTTAAATTAAAAATTTCTCAAGTGGTATCAATCGTTTTCTATAGTACTATAGTATTTTTTTTAGTAAATAGTGAGACTAACAAAATCCTACAGTATTTTTTTAACAATTTTTATTGTTAATTTGTTAACAATTGAATTTATAATAAATAAATTTAATAAATTTAATTTCTCATAATAATTAACAAAATTTAAAATTACATATAATGTTTAAAACTCCATATTTATAAAATGAATTTAAAAATTCGTGTACTATTATTCTTACATAAAATTCTCAAAATTTGCAGCAAAAATAAAATTTTTATTATGTTCTATGAAAAAAATATAATATCGATGTACATTTATAAAACATAAAAAATACAATGGTGATGTAAATTATAAATTAATTTCAAGTTTAATATAAATTATAATTATAATTTATTCATTATTTCTACTTTATACCATTGTACATTTTTTAGAAATATTTAAAAATTTAAATTTCGGAAATTATAGGTGTGTAAGCACCTTAAGGGAAGATTAAAAGCGATTCTGACAGTTGAGGTTAGTTTTCAGTTTGACAGCTGTCAAATTCGATTGTTTTAATGTGCAGTTTTACCTAATAATAATTATAATTGTTTATTATTTACTACTGTGTTGCTACAAATATTTTTAATTCCTGTTACTTTGTAGTGAACGACCAAATGCTTAAATTTATATTTTTTTCGTTATGATTATTTCAAATTTTTTTTTTTTTTTCATTATTATCAGTACCTACTGAAATATGAATTCTCCAACAAAAGAAAATTTGAGAAAACAAAAAAGAGCGGAAGCTCAAAGAAAAAGACGTGAAAAAATTCGAGAGAATCCTATAAAAAATCTTACAGAAAAAATTAAGCGGCATTTAAGGTTATAGATTTATATTTTTTTTTCAATAAGTTTATATAAATACTAATAAAAATTTGATTATTATAATATTTTTATACGATTCTTACTTTATATTTTTTTTAAATCTGAATTTGAATTTTAATTCAATAATAGATATGAAAAAGCAAAAGAAAGAGGAAAAATATTATTAGTAAAGGATATGAGTAAAAAAGAGATTATGAAAATGAGAATAAAACGAAGACAAAGTTACAAACGTATTAAAGAGAAGAAATTAAATGATAAAAATTATTTAAATGCTGCAGCAAATGTGATTAATGAAAAATTGGTAGATATTAGTTCCACTTCTTTTGAAAAAAGAAAAAAAAATACCTGTCAGAATTTACGCACCAAATCAGTAAGCTGTGATAATACGGTAACAAAAAAATTTCATTTTTGTTAAATATTGAGAATTTTATTAGAATAATATTAAAAACCACGAAATTAATATTAGTCCATGAAAAACTTAACGAGAATCCTCGCGGAATTTTCATTCGGGAAATCTTAAATTATAATAAATTTAATATTACAGTTAAAAAAATTGGATGAAATTAGACTGGAAGCTCTAGCAAGTTTAGAACAATCAGACGACGAGGAAACCGATGAGATTTATCAAAAACATGTTTTTGCAACAAATTATAATCCAATTTCGAATAATGAACAACAAAATACAGAAATCAAGTTAAATAATGAATGTGTGAAAAAAGAATTTCCTGAAGAGATTTTTTCTAAAAAACGAAAAATCCAGAAAAATAGTATTAATATAATCGATGAAAATATTGAAATAGTGAAAGAAGAAGTCACTGAAAAGATTTCTTCGAAAATCAGAGATGAAAATTTTTCTAATCTTGAAAATGTAACGTCTCCAGATTCTTCATCTTTACAAAATTGCAATGAAAATGAATTTGTTATATTTGGAAAATTTATTGCAATGCAATTACAAAGTATGCCTTTGGAAAATGCCTTGGAACTTGAAAGTCAGATTCATAAATTAATTACAGAAACACGTCTCAAGATACATCGATTAAAACTCGAAGAAAGAAATTAATGCTCATTTTTTTTAAATGAAAAATTCGAGGAATTGTTTAAAAATTCACATTTCACTACCGGCAATATCTCAAAATCATGGAAAATAAAGTAAATTTTCCCTCACGTATTTGAAAATTTTCTTTCACCTTCATTGTTCTTTTAAAAATTAATATAAAAATGAAGCTAGTTTTTTAAAAATTTATTATTAGATTTTCAAATTAACAATACAATTAAAAATAGATAATTATTCTTTTTCTTTTTCAGTAATCTGACAAAGTTACGTAAATTGCATTTGGAGCAAAATGAAATTTCAGAATTTCGTGATTCCAATGTTTTTTGTGATCTATCAAATCTTTGGGATTTGCATCTTGGTGATAATCAATTGACTGCTTTACATTTTAATTTATCCTGTCTACATAATTTACGATTTTTGGATCTTCAACGTAATAGATTCACAAGAATATTGGAACGTGATTTACATACTTTGGATACATTTGCAAAACACAATCAATCTGTAACTGTTGATTTCACATGGAATCCATTTGAATGTAATTGTAAATTAAATCCTTTTATCAAATGGATGAATAAGACAAAGATCATAATTAGAAATAAGGAAAATTATACGTGTAAAAAAGGTAAATTATTGAACATTTTTTAAAAATGCAAAAATTTTTTTTTCAAATATTTTCCAAAAAAAAAAAATTGTATTATTTAATTTAAATTTACAGATTATAAAATGAAAATTCACTTAACAAAAGACTGCGCGCCAACATTGAGAGGAGTTTCCAGACATTCTGGAACAACTGTACTCCTTTGTTTATTATCACTTTTGGTAATTTCACTTGTTGGTGGATTTATTTATATGCAACGAGCAGAACTGAAAAAGAAATTTGAACCCGTGCTCGATTCTATGAATAAAAGAGTACGCTATACGACAATAGCAACTGGTGAAACTAGAGAAGTAGATGTATAAACAAACATTTTAAAAAAGGGAGTTAAAAAAGTTTAAAATTTTTTAATACTTAAAAAAAATAAACTAATAAAAAAAAATCGAGTAAAGAAATTAATGAAAAAAATGAATCTCGAAACTTAAAAATTAAACAAAATTTAAAGTTTGAGTTATTAACTTTTTTTTAACTTGAATTAAAAATAACTGAATTCATAACTGAATTAAGATTCATTTATTTTTAAATCACATTTAGTTGAACTACATTAATAATAACTTTGTTGACAATTAATGTGATATGTGTATATTTTATATTTTGAAATTATTCCGTTATTGTGAAATAATAGATATTTATATTCACTTTCTTTTAGAATTTAATCGTAGGAACAAAATTTTATTTTAAGTATTTTATTAAATATTTACTAAAAATTCATTATTTTTTTTTCTATATTTATACTATTTTTGATAACAAAGAGAAAATTCTAAAATTTATCAACGAGTGCTAATAGTTTACTATATTATTGTTAAAAATAAATAATAGTCATATATAAAATATTTAAGAATTTAAAAATGCAAATAAAAGACTAAGAGTAAATTAATTATAGACTTTTTTAATATTTCGTATGTATATTAAAAAAAAATAATAATAAATACTGATTGTATAAAGAGAAAATCGTTTTTAATTTTTTATAAAATAATTTTCTATTTGGATTGTTTAATTTTCACAACAAAAAGAAAAAATTGTAATTGTTTTATTTTGGTTTACTTATCATCTCTTATCTGATATTTAGCATTATCTTGGAAAATGATAAGACAAAATCATTCAGTGCGTAAAATTTAAGTGTTGAACAAATTTATTCATTCAATGTAATAGTTCTTAAATTAGAAAATCAATTTTTTTTTGTGCTTTAAATAAAAAATGTCTATTTTTAAGCGACTTCATTTAGATGAAGTGATAACATCAATTCCCGAATTAGGTCCAACAATTCCAGATGGTGGAAATTCGTGGCTCGTTCTTTTTGGAATTATGATTGTTCAAGTATAAAGAAATTTACAAATTTTAATTGTAAAAAAAACTGATTTTAAAAACAAAATAATTTATATTATTGTACTGAAGAAAATATCTATTTATTGAATTAATTGATTAGACTGAATTTGATTTTTTCTCATGTGCTTCAGAATAAGATGATGAATTTAATAAATTTAATTAAAAAATTATTTTTATTTAGATGACAGTGCCAAGTGTATTGTCGATGTATGGAATTGTTTTAGCTCATTTGGTGGAAAATAATAGAAAATTTGATTTCGATGTGTGGAGTGAAAAAATTATAGTGACACCAATTTTGATGACAGCTTGTTGTTGTTTAGCTGGTAAATAAATTCAAGAATATAAAAAAAATATCACAATAAGGAAAATAATTTTCTTGTATTTTTACTTTATGATTCATTAATATATACGTAATTAGATAATTAAATAATTAATTACTAATTAGAATTTGGTAAAAGAAATTCCAAAACAATTATATCTATAATAATTTGGATAATTAAGTAATTATCTGTATTTAATTTTATCTAATTACAATTTTTAGTGAAATTTTTTTTTTTTAAATTTAATTTAATAATTTTTTTCTAGATCCCTGGACGAGAACAATTGTGAGTTTGGCTTCAGTTCCAAGGCTAATAGCTTTGATTGGAATTGCTCTTTTATCGATAGGAATTTTAGCTTCAGGATATCTTGCCACTGGAGGTGTTGGTGCATATTTGGCGAGTTTAAGTGCAGGTGCAATAATGGGAATTGGTGCAAGTTTTATAATGATACAGAGTGAAAAAATTCTTCAAAAACACTTTAGAATAAAATTACCCATTGCATCGACATTTATAAACATTGCTTTCACCACGGGACTTATTCTTGCACCCCTTGTTGCTTTAGCATTATTCACGAGATTAGGCATTCAAGCTGGTCTCATGGCTATGGTTTTATTCTTTTTTCCAACACTCATCGCCATTGGATTTTTAAAAGTACCAGGTAATTTTTTTTTTATAGAAAAATATAGTCTTACAAAAATTTTTTTTTATGAAATTTCTAAAAACAACAGGACAAAATGCAGAATTAAAATAAATTTTGAAATAAATTTATAATTTAAGATTATTTAATAACAAAATTGAAAAATATTTTTGATAAGTAAAAAATAAAATTTCTTCAAAAAAGTGGAAAATTTTTTTTTTTATAGGCAAAAAAGTATATTCGCCGTACACGCGTCTTTTTAATGATGAAGAAGAAGCTGGACCTTCATTTAGAATGGTGGAGGAATTAAGGGATAATTTTCCAGTGGATAGTAATAAAAATACAGAAACTCCTAATGGAATATTTGCAGAAGGTGGCACTGCTTATAGTTATGATGATTCTGAGGATATTAATCTTTTTGTTTCATCGAGTAATAATATTCGACCCAAGTGGAAAGAGAATTTACAAATTTTCAAAATGATAAAATTTTGGATATCAATGATTGCCTTTGCTGGAGTAAAATCGGGAACAATGCTTTTTTGGATACTTTTACCACCATTGGCTCTTATGAAAATTTCATCGGCAAATCTTTTTACTGCTGTGATACTTTCTATAATTGGCGGATCTGGCACTCTTGTTTCCAGCATTATTTCTTATTGGAATCCAAATAATGCAAGAAATTTAATATTTGGATTTTCTAATTGGATTTGCAGTTTTGTTCTTTTAGGTAAAGTCATTTATTTATTAAATTAATTATTAATTTGAAATTTTTTTTTTTTTTGTTTATTTTACTTATTCTCAAGAAAACTGATTTAATTTTTTTAATTATTATTAAATTTATTTATTTAACACAAAATAATTTATGCTAATATTATTCAAAATTTGTATATTTAATATAAAAAAAAATTCGAAAATCTTTATATTTTATTCAATTAAAGAATTGTTAATCATTTAATTTAAATTATTTTTTCTTCAGTGTACATATATATGTTAATTTATATTTATAGTATATAAATGAGATATTAATGTAATAAAAATTGGCAATTTTTAGGACTTACTTTCGGTGAAAATTATTCTTTATTCGTTCTCTTGGCACTTTTTGGAGGAATCAGTATTGGAGGCTTAGTGAGCAGTCAAGAATTTGCATTTCAAAATACCTTGGGTACCCATATTGCTTCAAAAGCATGTGCTATACTTAATACGTGTATTGGAACGATAATTTTACTTCTTTGTTTAATTCAAGGTAAATTTCAAAAACCTGATTTAAATTCCAATCACAATTTTTTTTTTTTTTTTTTTAATGAAAAATTAAAATATTTTTGACATCAATTTTTTTAGTTTACGACAAATCTTAAATTAAATTGAAAATAGATTTAAAAAAGAAATTGCTTAAAAATTAATACTTTTAATTAAAAAAAATTCAATAAAAATTAATTGTTTTTGATTAATAATATATTATATAATTTTGTTTTCTTATATGTGAAATTTTATGTCAAGAAAAAGAAATAAAAAATATAATTTTATAATAATTAATAATAATAAAATATAATTTTTCAGATATGTATTTGTGTTTGAGAATTGTTGCAGTAATTCAATTAATAAGTGGAACATATTGGGTTCTATCTCCACTTTTTGCTGCAATAAAAAAAAGATGCAGGTGATTAAATAGAGTCGCAAAAAATTAAAAAGCAATAATTTTAATTATATTGTAATAAACCATGACTAATATTTTGCTTATTTAGGAATAGAAAAATCTTCATAACAAAATAAAATTTTCAAATTTTTAAAAAAATTTAACAAAAAGTATTATTAAATACTTTAGTCATTAATTTTAAGTTTTGTAAATATTTTATATATATTTTGAACGATAAACAGACCTTATTAATTAATTGATTGCTATGAAAATTATAATGTAATATAAATTTACAAATAAGTGAAAAAAATACTGTAATATTTTATAAGAATTGTTTTATACCATGTATAATTATAAATAAATATTGATTACCATCAATCATTAATTAATTACATTTAGAATTTATAAAATTTGCAAAAATTTATTTCAAAAATATTTAATAATTTAAAAATATTAAATTTATTTTTTAAATAAAAATTTAATTTCGTCACATTTGAGATAGTGGAATGCAGCGCTCCTACCTACACGGTCATTTTATGAAACACTTTTTAATTTCAATTCCAACTTATCAATCTATGTTTGTTCTCACCTTTCATGGAATCTGCATAAATATAACCTATAAATTTGACAAATGTAAACAAAGTGAAGGTGAAAAACCGGTTTTGATTTATGCAATTAGAATACATTATTGAAACTTGAATCATTATTGTTGATAAAATTTATTATTAAAAACTAATCACGTAAGTAGTTGTAGTTCTCTATTGTTAAATATAAATCTTTAATTTATTTTTAAATAATTGATATTTTTACTTCCTTTAATCAGAATACTAAAAAAAAATGGCTTCACGATTAAGCAATAAACGTAAAATTAAATCTCTCTTAACTGTTACCACTTCTGGTATAGCGTTATGTGGTGGTTTATTGCTTTATCAAGGCAACGAAAAGTTCTTTGATCAATTTGCAATGCCTGTTACACGATTTTTGGATCCGGAAGTAGCTCATAATTTTGGTATTAAAGCGGCAAAATGGGGTTTATTACCCACTCAAAAATTAAAGGATCCTGTATCTTTAAAGACAACACTCTGGGGCTTAGAATTTAATAATCCTTTAGGAATGGCTGCTGGTTTTGATAAACAGGGCGAGGCAATTGAAGGATTGCAAAAAATGGGTTTTAGCTTTGTAGAAATAGGTGAGAAATAATTTTTAATTTTGTTATTTGTGGTTATTTTTTAAAATTTTATTATATTTTAATTGAGTAATTTATTATAAATCTATTGATTAATATAAATTAGTAACAGAGTAATTTAATAATTTGCAAAAAAAAATCAGGTTTCTTATTATATGATTTTTTCTTCATATCTTCTTTATTTTAATTATTTAACAAATTTTTAACTAAAATTCTTCTCTAAACTAATTATTATTAATAATTTTAATGAAATTCTTCACAAATTCAATTATCTTGAACTATTTTTCAATTAACAATTTTAATAATTTTAATAATTGTTATAAATTTTTTAAAAAATGAAAAAATATAACTAAAAATTTCTTCAGGAACAGAAATTATCAAAAATTTTAATAACAAATCACTTGATGTTCAGTTATTTTCAAAAATCTGAATTATAAATCAGAAAATTCAATTATTTTTTTAAAAAATGTTATCTATAATTATTTGATAAATTATTTTCAATTCAGTAAAATTTAATTATTATTGTCTGAAATCCATTTATTTCTAAAAATTTCCACTTTGTAACTCTTCCCAAATTCAATTATTTTAAATTATTTTATTATTTATTATTTCAATTGTTTCAAGTAAATGTTCTAAAATTGAATTGTTATCAAAAATTAAAAAAAAAAAAATCTACTACAGTAGTTTAAATTTTCAGAAAATTTATTTGAAATTTAAAATCTACAATTCAATTATTTAAAAAAAAATGTAATTTAAAAAGCTGTTGAACTTAATTATTGTCCGAAATTTTTTTTTACCATTAAAATGAAAAAAATGGAACTTTATATTACGAATTTCTTTTAGAAATTTTCCCTACTTAATTAAAATTTTTAAAATTTGTCTTTGTTCGATAACGAAATATTCGAAATAAATTTTCTTAATAATATTCCTGTTATTCTTATTAAAGAATTAATAAAATGAATTTAATATCTAATATCAATAACTATTTGAAATAAAATATTTATTAACTAATTAAATTTATTAAAAATAAAAAATCGACTTTTTTTGGAATGTAAATCGACTAAAACGTCTATTTTTGCACCTTAAAGTTGATTTGAGGTCTAAAAAAATGCTTTTTTCTATAAAAAATACAAATTATCGACTGTTAACCATAATTTCAGGTTCTGTCACTCCACAGCCACAATTGGGAAATCCAAAACCACGTGTTTTTAGATTACTAGAAGACACAGCAGTGATAAATAGATATGGTTTCAACAGTGATGGTCACGAAGTAGTTTACAATCGTTTAAAGGAAGTAAAAAGCAATCCAAATTTCACTGGAATTGTTGGCGTTAATTTAGGTAAAAATAAATTATCCGAAGATGCCGCTCTCGATTATATGGAAGGTCTTCGTAAATTTTCCGATCTTGCCGACTATTTTGTCGTCAATATTTCCAGTCCAAATACACCAGGTTTACGAAATCTTCAAAGTAAAAATAATTTGCAAAATTTATTATTAAAAATAAACGAAACACGAGAGACATTGAAGAGGCAAGTTCCACTATTATTGAAATTAGCTCCCGATTTAACTGAGGAAGAAAAACAAAATATCGCAGTAGTTGTGCTACAAAAGAAAACACAAGTTGACGGACTTATCATATCAAACACGACAATTGATCGTTCTCAATTAAAAAGTGTGAATAAAAATGAAATTGGTGGCCTTAGCGGTAAACCATTGACTCAAACGTCAACTGAAATGATCGCTGATATGTTTCAACGTACAAAAGGTAAAATTCCGATTATTGGAGTTGGAGGAATTTTCTCCGGAAGTGATGCCTATGAGAAAATTAAAGCAGGCGCTTCTTTAGTACAAATTTATACCTCATTTATTTATCATGGACCTCCAATTGTTGGGAAAATTAAAAACGAATTGAATGAACTACTTCTTAAAGATGGTTATTCTTCTCTCTCTGAAGCTGTTGGGAAAAATTCAAATACCAAATAGAATTTAATATTTCAAGGACAAACATATTTTTCTAATTCATGGAATTTTTTTTTTATTAATTTTAAGGTATTCTGTAAATAATTGTTAAAATTTTTTAATATTGTTAAAGAATTGTGTCTTGATTTTTATAAATCGATTAAAGAGTTAAATAATTTATAATAGTGTCTTCAAATGAATATTTTTTTAGTTCTTTAAAAGTTATTTCTATTTAAGTACATTTTTTGTTTTATTTTTGTATTTTATATCAGTTTATGAAGATGATGAATAGTTTTTTTAAAGAAAGAAGTAGATTTTTTTATCGAAAAAGAAAAACGTTAAATTTAATAACAAAAGAATTAACTAACAAATTTTTAAAGGGAAAATTTTTCTTCTAAATGGTAAATTTAATTTTAAACAATAAATTATAGTTTTTTTTAAAGGCACGCGGAACCACGTTAGTGCTTAATAATTAATAAATTAATTTAATAAATTAATTAATAATAATTAATAAATAGTTAACAAACATTAAAACTATTATGAAAATTAAAATTAAAAAAATTTAAGAAGTACAGTACATAGAATTTACGTATTATTTTTATTTGGCTTACAATTTAGTTAAATAATACTGTGAGTTTTACAAATAAATGAGTATTTTGAATAAAATGTGTGTAAAAAAAAACAAATATACTACAATTATAAAATTATAATTTTTTTAAATTCGTAGAGGTGAACAGTGACGAAACGCAGAAAATAAATTCGCGTTATTAAAAATAGTTTCCTTTTTTTTTTTTGCTTTACGAAACTTCTCTTAACTTTTTTAAAGCTATAATTAAAAACAAATTATGTACGTCACTGAAAGTGAGACAGATTTTCATATGGATTTTTGGTATTGACTTTTTTTTAAATAATAACCTAAGTATATACCATTCTCTGGCAAACATTCATAAATAATAGTTATTTTGAAATTTCAACAATAAAGTATTCTAAGGATTAACGTTTTCATAAAGTTACATTAATAATAATTGCACATAATTTGTATTTTCTATATTGTTTCGTTGTGGTTTTTTTTTCTTCTCAGGCACTTGAGAATTTGTTGCAATTTTTCCCATTTTTAAAAAAAAATATTTACTAATTATTTTCAACTTTATATTTTGTAATAAATTTCTTATTTTGTTTAGTAATATAAATATTTATCTTATTCTTTTTTTATAATAAAAATTTAATTTCTTTTTACAGATAAAATTTCATTTTCTTTCGTTTTACTTTTTATTGCTTCCTTGTAAAGGAAGGTAAAGGTATTTAATTTGAATTAATTAAATATTCTCATTAATTAATTAAATTAATATAGGAATCATGTGCCATAAAGAAACGAAATTATTTGTAAATTTTAGAATAATTTTGTTAATTAACAAGTCCAAAGTTGCCACCGAGTCCTTGTTCTTTTCTCAACCGTGTAAGCCTCAAGGTATACCAATCCTGCAAAAAAATGTTTAAATATTATTTAATAATAAACATTAAATTAATTTTTATATAATATATTAATTTAAAGTAAATATTAAATCTTTTTTTTTATAGAACAAAAAAATTATGGAAAATTGTCTCTAAATTTTAATTCATTTTTTAGAGATACAAGTTTTGGGACGTGAATATTATGAAAGTGAATTTCACTCACATGAACGTCTTCTTCGGAGAGTCCGGTTTCGGCAGCCAGGAGAACGATGTCTGCGTGCATTGGGATTTTTGGCCATCTGTTAAATTGCTCCAGAAGAACAGCTTCCTGTTCTACAGTTAAACGAATTATCTTTGGTTCCCTTGGAGGAATTTCAGGAATCACTGATCTCATCATGATTGCTGTAAGTAAAAAAATTAATTATTATTATTTTAATTACATTTATTAACATGAAAATATGAATATTTCATTTTAATATTAGAATAGTTCTATCATTATTTTGAAACTATTTAAATATGTTTTTAAGACTTAATTTTAAAAAATTTTAAACTTATTTTTAAAAATTAATTCGGTAATCAATTTTTTTTTTTATTTGTTTATTTAATTTTTATTATTTTTCTGTTTTTCTTCTTTTTGTTTTAGTAGAGATAAGTTTCTATTAATTTTTGTTTGTTTCTTTTCTAATAGAAAGTAGGCAATTTGAAAAATTTTTAATGTTAAGTTTATGAGACAAAATTCCTCAAGATCATAAAATTGTGTAAGAAATATAACTTAAAAATAATAGTTGAGAGGTGAATGTAAGTGAAACTGATTTATATGGGAATTCCTAAATAATTTAAAAAAAAAAGAAAAAGTTTTTTTTCTTTGGATATAAATATAAAGAAAAATGTGAATAATGTCTTTTTTTAATGAATTGTTAGCACCTTGAGAAAGATTGTCATTTCTGAATCAGATGTGAAAAGTTGACGCGTGCATTCATAGCCAAGATTGGATAATTTCCTCTAGGAATTCCTATATTATACAACAAAAATGAACTCATTTTTGCTATTTTTATTTTCTAATTTTAACTCAAAACAAAATATCTCAAAATTTTGTTTATTCTTTTATTTTTTTTTCTATTTTTATTATTCTGCATTCCAAAATTAAAATGTTTCTTAATTTATTTTATTATTTTGTCATAAAGTTTCTTTACTTATTGTTTCAAAATTTATTTAATACCAAAAAAATGTTAATATTCTTTTTTGTTAATTCATTGAACATTTTTTATTTTTTTTTTTTTCACTTTTTTCTGAGTAACAAAATGTTTTAGAATTTATTTATTTGAATTCTTTGGAGAATATTTTTTTAATCAAACATTTAGAAAGAAATTTTTGAGGGGTTTATTTTTTTTAAGAACAAGTTTTATACAAAAGTCTGAGATTCAGAAGTAATTTCAACATAATTTTCGTTTGATCAAGAGAAATGAAAACAAAAATTTAATATTAGATCGACATTGACCTAAACGTATACGCATTTTTGGAACCGATTCAAAAAAGAACGTCATCAAGACAATGACGTAATATTTAAAGTGTATTAAACAGTAAACAGAAATAGTCTCAAACAGTTTAAAGTCAACTTGACTCATTGTTATGAAATTTGTATCTAATTAAACATTGTTATTAAATTAATCGATTTAATTTTATTTTTCTCTATAAATAAACAAATTTATAAATAAAATATATTATTTATAAAAATTCAGTTTTTAAAATTAATATTAAAAATTAATTTTTATTATTCAAATTAAAAAAAAAATTTAATTTTAACATTAGTTTAAAAAAATTAAAGGGTTAATTTCTTGCACGATATTTTAAAAAATCGCAAAAATTAATAATATTTATTTCGAGTAATTTAAAATTTAGTGTGATTTACGTTTCAGAACAAGGTAGATTTTATCATAAAAATCATTGCATGTGGGTTTTCTATATTTTCTTTTTTCTTCACCTTCCCTGCCCACTTGATCTTGAAAAAGGTAAATGAACTTTTGAAAGATGGGGAAAAAATATCTAAATTTATTTTCCTCTTTTTGTCTAAAATTAAATATTAAGTAAAAAAAATATTTTTTTTTTATTTGTGAGACATAAATTTAAAATTCGAAACTTGATTGCAGGTGTTTTAGAAATGAAGAGAGATGAAAGGATTGATGAATGCAAGGAGAAAAAGTGCAAAAGTTGAATAAATCATTGGGAAAAATTTCATATACAAGTTCGGGACCACGATCATGTTTGTCGAGAGATCACGTTTAAAGAGTGGGTCGTGAGACGATTTGCAATCGGTCGGTTTAAAGGCCGTTGGAATAAAATCAGAAACTTGCGCCATGTAAACTTGACCCAAAGATTCAATCTCATATACTTTACTAAACGAAACCCGTTTCAAAAGATCCCATCGCGAGTCCACCGAAGCGCAAAACGATGACTAGCATTGTACCTCGTCTCCTCGAGCATTGTTTTATTTTTTTCAACGCTATACACTTCCTGCATCAAGACAACATCTCAAACTAAACTTCCTCCCATAAAACAGAACAAGGTATTCTACAAAATTCTGGTTTCAACAAACTGTTTTTTTTTCAAGTTCAAAAAACTTTAATTTATTCTTTAATTCTTTAATAATAAAAGAAAATTTTTCAATTTAATCCTAAAATCTTCAGTTGAATATATTATCGAATTTTCAAAATTTTTTTCGCTGACTAGTAAATAATGGACTATTTTCAAAATTCATTAGTATTTCCCTTGCTTTTTTTGGAGTGCAATACATTTGAAATTCATTTTCAAAAAGTTGTAGAAAATTAATTAAATTTTTTTCTATTTCCTTTTTATATACAGATCCCAAGAAATCGGATTCAATTTTCTCTCGTTCTTCTTTTGATAACTGAATTAATTTTCATTTATAAAAAAACAGGAAAATGAAATTTCAATTTATAAAATAAATTTTTAAGAAAAGAATATTCTTCAGTAAATTAATTTTCTTACATCTTGATCTTTGATTAAATTAAAAATTTCTTCAGTTAATGATTGACTTCTATCTGAAAACTACAATATCAAAAATATTTTATTAAAATTTTAATTTCTTTTAAATATTGAAAATAAATAGAAGAAATTTCGAGTTTCTACGATTGTTAGAAATCGAATTCCCGATAAATTTTTTTTAAAAATATTCAAATCATTGCTTACTTTTGAAAGTAAAATTTCTCGATTTTTAATTTGGAAACTTTGAAAATTGTCAGTTAAAATAGCAGTTGCCCATGGTTCTTGAAAATATGAATAGAAATCCAATATTAGAGAATTCTAAAATTAAAAAATAAAATAAAAATTTAATTTCCTTTTCCTTTAACGAACAAAAATTTTATTTGTAAAATTTATTTCAAATACTCTCAAAATTTCTTAGGATTAAAATTGAAAGAAAAATTTTATTTTAAATTCAATATGAATCGAAAATAAAATTCAATTCTTTGGAAGTAAAAAAAAAAAAGTTCTTTGCAAAGAGAAAAAAAATTAATCTAAGAGTCATAAACGAATGAAAAGCGCTTTCGAAATTCTGTTTCCATTCTCAACAGTTTTGTATCATTTGGCTCATTTAGAGGAAAACGTTGCAAAATTTTTGTTTTCTTGCCAGTGAAACAGGAAATAAATTATAACATAAATAATAATTTATTTCATCGCAAAAATTAAAATAGTTATTACATTTTCAGATTATAAGCAAATTATAATTATGAATTTAGTTTCATAATAAAAATAAAAATTATTACATATGGAAAATTTTTTTTTTTTTTAATAAATTTTTTACGTACTTGAAATTGATTTTTCAAATGATTTAATAGTGATTCGTGTTTTTCATACAGGAATTTTAGTCTTTGAATTTCGAAATTCTGTAATTGATAGATTAAAATTACAATTTATTGAATTTGCCATTTCCGTGCAAACATTTGTTTGTTATTTTTTTATTCTAGCAATAATTCAACTTGCAATCATTAATAAATAAATAAATAAAAATTTAAAAATAATTTTTATTGTAGAATACAAAAAATTAAAAAAGTAAATTAAAATTATAAATTAGTTAAAGGAAATTAATTTTTGTTACTTTTTTACTACAACAGGTAACAGATTTAACGAAACCGGAAGAGTTTAAACGAATCTTGAAATAGCCAATGTCAGAAGTGCAACTTCCTGTTTTATAAATAGATCCCTAAAAGTTATTCAAAAAAAAAAATAATATTACTAAAAGACATGAAAATAGTTTTAAACATTATAAAATTAAAAATTTCTTTAATTTTCACATTCCTCTGTTATATATTTCAAAAAAAAAATATATTTACATAATTTTTTTCAGAATTATCAATCATATTTGTTTCTCCTGGTTTCTCGATATGTAGATAATAATATCCACCTGGTAAAATACAAGAAATATAATTTGGAATTTGAAAAATCGGAAGTGTGTTAAATTTTGTAGATTCTTCTTTTTCTTCTAATCGCGATTCCATTATTTTTATAAAATTAATGGCAAACTGAAAGTAATTTTTGTAAATTAAGTTTTAGTTTTTTTTTCAATATAAAGATAAAAATTGTTTTTTTGGACCTTTTCGCCAATTTCTAGAGAATTGAAATATTTCATTTTTATTGAATTAACCATATATTTGCCTGAATATTTTGTTACAGTTCCAGCAGCAAAAATAAAAGGATCATTGGTTTGATTTTTTGCATCAATTACTAATAACTCATTAAAAACGAGTCCAGCTCGTGAGAAAGCTAGAAAATTCAATTTCATTGATAAATTATTAAATAAAAAAAAACAATTTTAGATTTTACCCATAATATTAGTCAACTGAATATTTTTTCTACTAAAATTCATGAGAATATCACAAGGAATTTTTTGAATTTCTAAATTTGATTCGATTTCCAAAGATTTAATTATCCAATTTCCACTTGAATTTGTTGTTAATTCCCAATCAAATATTTTCCATTCAGATATAATTTTTACTCCTCTATTAATTATTTCCTTTATTATAGTTTCATCAATCTTAAATATTTATAATTTTTTAAAAAATAAAATAAAATTTTTTAATAATTATAGAAAAATAACGTAAATGGAATGTTGATTATTTATAATTTGCTATGGTCCGTCAGAGGCTGTGAATTCGTATTCGTCACACAGAATCAGTACAATTTCAAATAAGACGGGAGGAGATCTGCGAGCATTGCCCTCTCGTGATTTTGATTAGACTGATTCAGCATATCGAATCCATCACTTCTAATTGACTACTCGACCAAACCATTTCAACTCTACTTGCATCACAAATGCTCTTCTCAAATACCTCATTTTGTCAATCTTCATTATTTCTATTTATTCTCAAATTTTTTTACTTAAAATTTATTTCTTACTTCCATGAAATACAGTTTTATTAAATAGAAAGAAATTAATTTTCAAAATCTATTTTTTTTTTTTAAATTAAAATAAAGCCTAGTTTCTAAAAGGAAATAAATAAATTAAGTAATTAAATTACTTCGTTATCGTGGAAAAAAACTTTGTCACATTCAATTAATGTTATCCAAGATCCTTTAACACCCATTTCCAAAAACGCGTTTATTGTGCAAAAACACTCGATACAATTTCCGTAGAAAACTATTGAATCTAAAATGTAAAATTCGATTTTTTAATAAGTAATATTTCATCACTGGAATTTTTTCCACTTACTTTGAATTTTAAAATTGTCTGTCGATTTTTGTAATATTTCAACGCAAACAGTTGCCTCGATTTCGTCATTTATTGTTAGAGAATTAATAGGAGTTTCCGCTTCTCTTAAATTTTTTTTTTTGTCAAATTTAACAAAATTTTTTTTATTAAAATTTAAAGAAACTAAAAAATTAATTTTATTCTAAATGTAAAAGAAAAAAGTTTTACTTTACGAAAAATTATTTTCGTAAAATTGAATGAATCTTACTTTTCTTCTTCTATTTTTTTCCAAAATTTTAGTTTATCAAATTGAACACCGCAAGTTAAAATTAAATAATCATATTTCAAGTTTCCTAATTTTTTGACTGAAATATATTTTTCTTTCCTAATATGCGAATTGAATAAATAAATAAATAAAAAAGTAAAAGAAATAAATTGGTAAAAAATTAAATCACCTGTTAATATCGATTACAGTTCCAATTATAATATTAAACGTGACTCGTTCTTCATTCACCTGCCAGTAATTGTAACAATAACGTCCTTTAAATGGAATTAATTTTAATTCTAAACAAGAATTTTTATTCTTGTATGGCAAACCATTCGATGAGATTAACGTGACATTGGTAAATTTACCAAAAGTCGATTTTGATCTAAAGAAAAATTCGCAAATATCTCGTTTTGCATTTTTTAAGTGATTATAAAAAATAATTGGAATTGGAATCAAATTTAGATTTAAATAATCTTAAAGAATTAACATAAGAAAAATTATTAAATAAAAATTTGAAATTTTAGAATATTAATTAATCATAAACTTGATTATTTAATAAAAAAATTTAATCTAAATAAAAAAAATTTTTATACTTAATAAAATTATATTTGAAAAATTTCAAATATTGAAATTCAGATGTAAATAATAAAAAAAAAATGGAATATTTTTTTAAATTATAAAAAAAAACTAACTGTGATGTGAGATATTCAGCAAACGCAATTCCACAATCAGAAGCTCCCACAACGAAAATTTTCAAATTTATTTCCGATTTAGAGGACGAAGCAAATTGAGAAGTCATTTTTAAAAAAAGAAATTTCTTGTCTCTTGAATTTCAGTAGATTCAATTTATTCTCAAAATATTATTGAAACGAAAAATCTGTTCTTGATTGTCAGTTCTAAAGAAATCATAACAGCAATTTACGATATTGAATGAATTCAAAATGTTCAATTTAAAAACAAATAATGTTAAAAATTCGCGCAGTTAAAAATAATCTAAACAAATATTCAGTTTAAAACTAAAAGCTTTGAAATTCTAAAAATCGAAAATATTTTTATTAAAAATATTTTAAAGCTATAAATAAATCATGATCGTGGAATTTTTAATAGAAAATTATCTTCTAAATGTAAAATAAAAAAAAGATAATTATCACTTTGGAAAAATCGAATACAAAAATTATTGTTACGATTGTATTTATAAAATTAAATTAATCGACCACGTTCATCAATGAAACATTTTCGATTGACATGTATTCCTTGAAAATGATAATGACGTTTCAGAATGTCGATATCCTTCTCGATTCTAATTAAAATTCACTCGTGAATTTAATTAATTGATTAATAATTGAAAATAAATTGCCATTCGAGAAATAATTTCAATTAAATGTAAAAAAAAAATTACCAAATTGTCATTTTATTGATTTTTCAAATATTTTTAAAAAATTGAGAAAATAAAAATGTTTATCATTTCAAAATAGTAATTAAAATCAGTTTCGTCACATGAGAAAAAAAATTTGTTTTTTTCCAGCTATTTTAAAAAAAAAATATTTTTTTTTCGTTAAAAAAAGGAATTTTTAGTAAGAATTTAAAAAAAGAAATTTTATCCGACCTTCAAGATTGTAAGGCACAGATTGAAAATTGCCCGAGAAAATTGCTCGATATATAAGATACAAGGTTGATGGAAAATCCTTGTTGTAAGGGCACTCTTTGCTCGTTAAAACAGTCATTCCATTCATTATAAATTCTTGATAATTAAGATTACATCAAGAGCATGTATTAATTATAAACAGTCACCTATTGCTTTTTAAAAAAACCACATTTTCAAGATTTAAAAAATTTATTCATGTTTAATAATCAAATATTGATATCGTTTATTAAATATATTTTATTTTTTCTTTAAATTCATTTATTTTTCAATTTCAAAAATTAAGAAATACATTTTGTTGAAATTTTAACAAAAATTGGTATATTTTTTTTTTTAATTTACATTTAACTGAAATCTTTTTTAGTTACAAAAAATTTTCTAAAAACGTACCATAAAAATATTCCAATAAAGAGAATTCATATGATTGAAAAAATTATTTTAATTTTATTACAACTTCTATTTAAATATATCATTAATATTCTATTCTTTTTAAGAATATTTATCGTCTTGTTACATTATCTTTTTGGAATAATTATAATAAAGAAACCGGAAATAAATTTTCAATTTGTCCTTGTTAGAAAAATTCTCAATTCTCCAACTGTCATCGAGTTAGACATTCAAATATTTCTTTTTTGTTTCCTTGAGTTCATTTGCCAAATGATTGCATAATTATTATGTTGTTATTCGATAAATTTTAATTTCTGACGTCATGAGTCGTAAAAAATTTTGAAATTTCAAATAATAATAATAATATCTTTATTTTGTTCCAGATAAACCATAGGAACAAGAATTAAAATACAGAATAAAGATTATGTGTAAAATTATCTATTTTGACAAAATCGAAGAAATGAATTTCAAAATATTGATAATTTTGATAAAATTCGACAAATGTTGATGTCTGACGTTATGAACCGTAAAAAAATTTTGAAATTTAAAAATATTAAGTAATCAAACAAAATTATGTGTAAAATTATCAATTTTCACACAATCGGAGAATTGAATTTTAAAATATTGATAATTTTGAAAAAATTTCCAAATTGTCAAATAAAAGAGAAAGGAAGAAACTGAAACGATAATAAATAAAGAAAGAATATGGAAAAATGATGTAAGAGTAATTTTGTGCAATTTGAACTTTAAATTGATCACTCAATCATTTTGAAAGCATTTTTGAGAGGGTATATTTTTCTTAACACTTTTATTCATACAATCAAGTGCTTAGAAATAATAATATAGTAAAAGAAATTAGATATATCTATGCCGTCAAAAAGCCAGTGAACTTTAAATAGTAATCACTTAACTGCAACATAAAACCATAGAATTTAATGCCGTAAAATGAAAAAAAAAATTAGAAATTTAAATTCACAGAGGAAAATATCAAATTCCTATGCTTTCAACACATTAATTTTAGAATAAAAAAAAAAATTCGAAATCTTAATTGACTTATCACTCAACATAAATTATAAAAATTAAAATAAAATTCTAATTAGAAAACAAAAATTGAATAAAATAAAATTCAAATTTGACTTTAGCTTTTTTCTGAATTTTTTTATATTTAGAAATTATTCCAAAGAATTTCTATTTGAAATTTGATGAGAAATAAAATTTATCTAAACGCATTTATTTTCGAATTAGTTGCACATTTTAAAAAAAATGCTAATTAAAAATTAATGGTTTCAATTTTTACGGTTATAATGTGACTTAATAAAAACACTGAAAGATCATAAGGCAGATAAGTGTGTTTGCAGTTGGGTGTCACAAAGATGAAAGTACATAGAATCAAGATATCGTAAGTCCTTGTATTGTGAAAGTACAGAAATTCTTGTTTTCATCGACAATGTTTTCCTGAAATGCAAATTACTTTCAAACAATTCACAAAAAAAAAATATAATAATAATAATTGCTAACGAAAAAATAAGAAAAGACATTTTTTTTTATAAAAAAATTTTTCCTTTTCATTATCGATTCTTGATTTTTTTTTTTTTTAATTAATGAATTCCAACTTTCAGTTTTTCATTTTCTTTCTTTTCTCTTTTTTAGATTGCACTTTATATTCCAGAGGGATCGTCATGAGATTCAATAAATTGCAAAAGATGATGGGAACTTAGATGTTGAAAGACTCACAGGTGAGAAATGCCCTGAGAAATGGACTATACGAACTATTATTCTATGATTTGAAGAGAATGAAATAATTTTTCATTCATTGATAAATAGTGAAATCCAACAAACCGGAATACGAATAATGGAAATAAATATAATTACTGTATTAATTGCTCATTATAAAATCTTCAAATGAAAATTCATTAACAATATTTTTCACTGAAAGAAATTACCAAATTTTACTATTTGTTTATATTATTTATTATTATTTTTTATATAAAAATTTCATCTATAAATTAAATAAAAATTTAATTTTTTTTTTAAATGGTAAAATATTTTTTACAAAAATTATTATTTTTATTACATATTTTTATTTTCATTTTCATTAAATATTGTCTAATTAAAAAAAACTGTTTTATTTAATAAAAAAAAAGGAATCAATAATTCTTTCCGTTGAAAAATATTGAAAATTAATTTTTTTTCAAAATCATGTTCTATAAAGGAGAAAAAATTGATTTGTTTCGTGATTTTGAAAATTATATAGTTCGAAAAGCTATGCGAGTTTAAGAAAATTATTAGTCTCTTTTACACGACGCAATTCCGCCACGAGTCATTCAATGTTTATTGCGTAATTTCAACGTGTAATTGACTCTTATTCGTGAGAGTTACGCATCGATATATAGTGGAAACTCTTGATATAAACTCTTTTGAAATATAATCCCACGAGATTTTTCACACGTCCTAATACTATTTACTAATTTAATTCCAATTTAAATTACATTAACAAAAGATTTCTCTATTTTTACAGTATAGACTTAAAAGAAATTATAAAAAATTATTAATTATATATACAATTAATTAGTATTATCATCTAATAGAATATTAGTGTGTATACTAGTATTAATTAAAAGCAACTAATGAGAATTATTAAATTAAACAAATTAACAAGCATTATTAATTATTAATAATGAATAATTTATTAATAATAATTATTAAAAATTAAAAATATTAAAAATTAATAATAAATTAATAAGAGTAATTAAATATTAAATTGATAAACTTTAAAATAAATTTCTAATTTATTGAAATATAGAGAGACAAAAAATTACGGTTAAAATTATTTTAACGACAGTAAACGGAGAATGTAAAATTAAAAAAAAAAATTATAAATAAATGAGGCAAAAAAGTAACGATGAAACTTCTCGTGTAATTTAATCAGGAGACAAAGTAATTGCTGGACCAACTCTTCACATCCCCCACCTCTTAAAACCCCTTCGCTAAGAATCGCATTTCCTGTCTCGTAATTCACTGGCTCATTATCCCTTGACTTAAAGACCTTCACACGGATTTGACACAAATGGACCATAAAGATCTCAATTAAAACTTTTCTCTCCCTATAGAAAAAAATTAGTCTTTTTTTTTTTAGAAAAAATTCTCTCCCTAGATTTATGAATTAAAACTTATCACTCAGAAAAAATTGTTTTCAAATTGGTACAATTTTTTTTAAATAAAAAAAAAATATATTTTTAAACTTCTTTTTTGAAAATTATTATAATTATATGATAATAATAATAATTTAAAATTATTAATAATTATAATATTGCGAATTTTTTAAAATTTATTTTTAATAATTTGACAAAATTCATTCGATCTTCTCTCCATATTAAAAATTTGAAAAAATTATAATTAAAAAATTTGAACTATAAGGACCTTTTGTTAAAAATGCTTTTAAAGATTCCTTATAATTCAGTTCATTGGCATTTATAAATTTCTCTATAGATGGAAACAACTTAAGCGTATAAAAATTAAAGTTGTTGACCTTGACATTTTGCAGTTCTCTCTTGTAATTTTCTCATTCCAAATTGGCTTTTCCGAAGGATTTACGACTACTCACGTGAAATGCAATAAAGTGCCTCATAAATGTCGCGTTTGCGAAAATTTACTTTTTGTCAACAAAAGACATTTATATTTCTTCTCTCGAGATTTATGAAAAAAAAAAAATAATAAAACGAGACGAGAAGAAATTAAATACAATATATAATTTCACATATGACTGCTCGTGAGTTAAATTATACAAAGTAATACATGTGTTTTGGCTCGTGCCACTGAATCCGGTTTTAAATTGACGTTTATAGAGTTTCGCACATGGTATAATCATATCAGATTTGTCCAAAAAATCCAGGAGAGAATAACAGTTTTATGGTGTCTAAGGAGTTGTCCTTTCTCTTCCAGAAAGCCTCCACTTTCACCTTGTGAAAAAGTCCCATTAGATTATCCAGTCTCATATTTTCGGACTTTTGAACAATTTTTTTTTTTCATTTTTCTACTTTCTAGTATTTTTTAATTTAATTTTTATTTGATATTTATTCTATATTATTATTATTTTATTATTATAGTACTTATTTTCTCGTTGTATTCTCAATTTAGATTGACTTTTGTTGACTGTTTTTTAAATCGAGGAGAATCAAAAATCCTTAATTTTTTATAATTAGAATTTTTTTATCCTGAAAAATTTATTTTTGCATTTTTTTTTAATTGAAAGCAATTTAAATTAATCAACAAATGAAGCGTGTCAAGAGATGCTAAGAGGAAACGTTTTTATTCTCTGATATTACTCAACTTTTTGCTGCAATAAACTTGGAACACTAGGTTTGTTATTTGTCTCTTTTGCGGAAGTTATTCACGAGATTACTGTACTCAGAATTATGTATATGAACACGTGTGTATACATAAATACATGCAATCGTCTACATAATATATTTTGTGCAGAAATTTGCAAAAAAAAAAATTTCATTCATTTTTTTTTTTTGTAGATTCTAAACAGATTTATCTAAATATCAGGAATTAATTATTATTATAAAAATTAATTATCATGAAATTAAAAATAAAAAACCTAAAAATGGACTAATTTATTTTCAATTAAAACAGTATTTACAAAAATGAAAAAAAAAATTTATGTTGAAAAAGTAAAAATAGAAAAAATGGAAAATAAATAGAAATTAAAATTCATTTCAAAATATTTTGATAGTTTTTGAAAAAAATAGTTCGGCTACATTTTTTTATGTCTTTCTAAATTCTGTGATGAAAAGAGAAAATTTTTTTACTCTCGAATAAAAAAAAAAGGACGATTTTTATTGATGAAAAATAAAATTTTTAAAAATCTTACTACGAACTGGTGGCAAATGTTCCACGCGAACAGTGACTTTTCTGAATTTGTAATAATCAAATGGATACAATGGAATTGCTGGTTGATCCATAATCACTTCTCTAGTAAATTTTGTGAATTTATAATAATCGTAGGGATACAATGGAATTGGATCGACAATTCTTGTTAATTTTCTGAATTGATAATAATTATAAGGATAATAAAATGGAAGCGCAAGATCCATAGTCACTGTTTTTTCGCGAATTTTTAATAAATAAATTCGTACAACTTGCGTACAGCAAGATACTATTCAGACTGCGAAAATATTAAAATCTTTTTCGGTCTCGTTTAGCAATTACTTTTACTCTCACATAGAAAGAAACTCCTTTGGAGACGAGGGGCCCTTCAGTTTCTAATTAGTCTGGCAACACTCCAACCATTCACTTCCGTATTTAAATCTCGTGACCGAAAACTACTGATTGTAGCCAGCTGCCAAAAGTAGACTTAATTGTTGATAAAATAATAGAGATAAAAGTGAGATGCTTGAGAGACGTCGAAAACTACAAAAAAATAAAAATGTAAGTCCATTGTAAATGAATAAATTTTAATTACATTATTTTTTTTTTATTTTAATTAAAAAAAAAAATTTTTTATTTTTTTTTAATTTTTTTAATTAAATTCGTAACTAAGTTTTTAATTTATACTATCTTTCATCACTTCCATAATTAATTATTCAGTAATTAATAAGAAGATCATTTTAATATTAAAATAAATTTTAATTAGAAAGATTTTCAAATTTATTTCCGTATAATTATCGAATTATATAAAAATGTCATTTTACTACGGAAATCATGATTTATTATTTTTTAATGCGCTAATAAATAAAAGTATTTCTAAGTTACAATGAGATTAAAGTATATAACGTTATCTTGTGGCTTCGGCAACGATAAGGATTCTTTCATATTTTTTACCTATAATTTCATGAATTATTATTGCAATTTACTTTTGTCAACTCTTACACAGAATTTTTATTTTTAAAATTTCCAATTAAACTTTAATCAATTAAAAATAAGTTTTATTAAAATCTTCAAATCCGAGACTCTTGAATTGCAATTTTTAATTTTTCAATTATTAATGAATTAGTGTTCTTTAATAATTAATTCATAAATTAATAATAATAATGATAATATCAATGTAAAGACCTACTAAAAGGTTTACATGGAATAAATAATAATAATAATAATAATCCTATAAATTTTGTAAAACGTATTTTAGTTATTAATTACTTTGCTATTCTTATTTTTAATATTATCTGAGTAAATTAGATAATTACGATTTTTTTTTTAAATTCTACAAAATCAAAAAATTTCATATTAAATATCCAAAAATTGATTAAAATTTTAAAAAATTATAAACTATATTTAAATATAAATTAAAAACTATAAATTATAAACGATCTCAAAAGGATTCTACGTGCTAGTTCGATAAATAATTTAGTTTTAAAAATTGTGACCAAACAAATCAATCGATATTATTCCAAATGCCCTAAATTATAATTTTAATGAAAACAAAAAAAATAAATTTTTCAAATATTCTAAATTAAATCCCTTTAGATTTTCTTTAAATTATTAAATTTATTTGCTATTAATTTTTTTTTATTCTAAATAATTTGAAAAAAAATTATTGTTCGTATTTGTTAGGCGAATTATTTTTTTAAATGTAGTCATTCATCCCATAATTTATTAATGATCCGATAGAAAGAAACTTTTTGCGCAATTTTCAATTGTCTATAGTAATAGGTGTTCGTTTCAGTATGTCACGATCTTATAATTGTCTATCACAATTAACAATGTGATGGCAACTATTCAAACGCATGCCAATAATGATTCACTTACTATTTATTTACATAAAGATGTTTGACAAAGAAAAAAAAATTTTATTCCATTATCTATGAATGAATGGAAATTATATACGTACTATATTTAATTATAATAATTCTTTTTTTCTACCTTGATCCAAATTGATAATCAATAATCAATCAAAATTCACTTATTTTTGAAAATTAAAAGAAAAAAAAGAGAATTTGATAAAAAAAAAAAAATAGTTAATTTTCTCAATTAAGCGATAAGAAAAAAATAAACATGTACATAAAAAAGTTGAAGTATTAAATGAATTCATTTTTAATTATTCCTAAAAATTTTTTAATTAAAATTTCTTTGAAATATTATTTTTATCATAATCAATTTAATTTTTTTTGGTAAAATATGCAAGTTGAACAATTTGAATTTTTATTACTCGTAAAATTATTTATATTTTATTATAATTGTCAACAATTTTTTTAAATTATAAAAAAAAATTGATAAAATGTTTATATTTTCATAATAAAGAAATTTGTAATTTTTTTCTATTTTAATATTAAAAATATTTACTTTAATGTCAAAATTTATTTGCTAAATTGTTTATTGATACAAAATGTTTAATAATGATTTTATTTGTTATCAATAAAATAATAATTGAAGACTCACCGTTTGTTAATCGATCTCACGTGCACTCAAAAATAAAAACAGAAACACAAGTGGCTGATATTGATATTCGCTGTCAGACACTCAATTGAAGAACCGCACTCTTCGGAAACACTGCGAGAGATGTGACTTTTTCATGGACTTGAGCTCAAGAAGAGGGGATTATGCACGAGAAACTTAGACTTGAAGCCGTGGGTGGGGGAGTTGTACCCCACGAGAAAGGCCGGGATACCCATTACTTATTTCTAGAAAATAATATTTTTTATATTAATTTTACCGCAAAAACCTGTAATAGCTTAATTTTATTTTTCTCTTAATCAAATTCATATTTTATGTTCGAAATTGTTTAAATTTTTAAACACTAATTAGAAAATAATTATATTTATATTATAAAAAATTATTTACCTTTGAATTTTCTAATTCAAATATACATCTTCTTCAATTAAATAAAATGGCAAAAATGTCTGTCAAGTGAATGGCAAAAAAAATCTGAAAAAACATAAAAAAATTATTAATACATCAAAAATGCATAATCAATAATGCACAAATTCAATCATAAAATGGAAAATCAATTTAAAATACTCAAAAAAAAAACTGATAATAAAATACTTAAAAATCATAAATTCTTTTCATTTATAATCCCAAGTCATCTTGGATGATGTCCTCGTAAAATCAATGGAGTTTTAACAAGTTGAAATTCACTTGTTGTCATCGAAGCGAATAATAAAAGAATGGATTACATCACAGATGAATTTATGTAATTCCTTGAAGTTCTGATGCCAATTTTCCTCAATCTAAATATATATATATATCGTAACAAAAATTCTGAAAAAAATAAACTTTTTCCTTTAGAGAAAAATTAAATGAGGAATTTGAGAAATAATCAATCAAACGTTTTATTTATTTTACAAAATAGAACGTTTATTAGGTTCCTTTTAAAGTTCTTTTAACAAAATACAATATATCGTGTTTTAGACGAGCGCCTGAAGATAGAAAATGTAATTATTCTTAAATAATATACAGGTAAAAATATTTCACTGTCAAGATAATAATAATTATGACTGTAAATCGCATTAATAAAAGAATTTTAAAAAAGAACGATAATTTTCGTTCTTTTCAGTTTTAACAATTAAAAAGAATTAATGGAAATCACCACCACCATCAGATTTTCTTTTTTGAAATTATTTACAAAAAGAAGAAAAGAAACTGAGATATAAATTTTAAAAAGTGAAAGAAAGAGAAAAAGGAATTCTTATTAAAAAAAAGAAGAAAAACATTTCTCGTCAAAAAAGAAAGTATTGAAATTAAGATTCAAATTTTTCTCTTTTATCGTTACCAGTCAAAAAATTCTCCTTTCAATGAAAATTTATAGAAGACTAATGTTTTTTTTTTTTTTTTTAGAGTAAGAGAAAGAAACTCTAGGACCTTTTCTATATTTACAAACTTCTTTAAGTCTAGCATATCGTGAAAGTAATACCAAAAGGGTAAAACTCGATACTTTAGATTTCGTCGCATATACTCACGAAAAATTTAAATAAACACTTCATGTTCACAAGCCTTATTATTATTATTAATAATAATATTAAACGACATCTACTTAGTATAATTAATCAAGCTGCAAATCAATTCGACTAATTTAATAAAATTATTCTTATTCTACATTTTTTTAAAAAATCATTATACCCATGACATCTCTCATAATTGCGAATTTTTTTCAAAAATTTCGAATGTTTACCCACAACAATCTTCGTCAAAAATTAATGCTGGTTTTTTATGAAAATTTCGAAGAACTAAAAACTTTTTTACTTTTATTTATTTTCGATTGAGTTTCGAAAAGAAAAATTAGTTTTCTTTTTTTTTTTTATTAAATATTTACATTAACTTTTAACAATGAGTATTTAAGATAAAAAAAAAAAATTTTTTTGGAAAACTGATTAGTTAATGGAATTAAAATTATGGAAATAAATTTATAAAATTAGTTATTGAAAAATATGAAAAAATTGTGTAGTCTCAGATTTGGCTTGTTTGGAATTATTGATCTATCCTAGATTCTTGTGTACTAAATAATAGTATCAAAGAATCTTTGTTTTTTCAGTTTTCATCTGCGAATGATAAATTGAGCTATTTTCAATGATTATAGAAATTCCATTATTAATTCTATAAAGGAGAATTATATAAGACAATTATCAAGTCTTTAAATAATTCTATAAAATATCAATCCTATAAGTATAAGACTATTAATCCTATAGATGAATTATCATCATATCCGAGGAATCATTTTACATTCAAAAAAAAAAAATCATTTTAATAGTAAAAATAAATGATAATGGAGACTTTCTTTTCTTGCATAATATGAAATGTAAAAATTTTCAAAAATTCAATAAAGACAAAATTCTCCAATTGGACCCCACTTGATAATTCGCTTTTACTTCAATCTTAGAACCATGATTCATTGGGACGCATGAAATAAATAAATTTTTTAGAATCATAATTTGATAGAATCTTATTCTGTAGAATATTACATTTGGCGAATATTAAATTGTCAAAATATTATTTTTGCAGAATATTTTGCAGAATATTTTGCAGAATTTCCATTAAATATCAATTTTGCAGAAATTTTATTTGTTAGACGAAAATTAATTTACAGCAGTAATTCTATTTCACATCTCAATTTGTGCGAAACGTTATTTGGTAGAATATTAATTTTGCAAAATAGTAATTTAAAAGAATTTTAATTTTGTAGAAAAAAAATTTGGAAAGATTTTTGATTTTGCAAAATATTAATTTGATTTTCGATATTTGCACTTTCCAGAAAATTAATATTCTGCAAAATTAAAATTCTGTTCAATTTTTTTTTTTCTACAAAATTAAGATTCTTTTAAATTAATATTCTACGAAACAACGTTGCAAACAAATTCGATCAAATTTCTATCAGACCTTGGATTGACTATAAGATGCAAAAAAATGTCGTTTTAGTCAATTTACATTCCAAAAAAGTCGAAAAAGTCGATTTTTTTTATTTTAAGTAAATATAATTAGTTAATAAATATTTTACTTTAAATAACTAATTATTTTTTATTTTTTAAATTTTAGTTTTAATGGTCAAAAAAATTTCGGACAATAATTAAGTTCAACAGCTTTTTAAATTACAATTTTTTTTAAAATAATTGAATTGTAGATTTTAAATTTCAAATAAATTTTCTGCAAATTTTACAGATTCTATCAAATCATAATAGTAAAAAATTTCTTTTAGACCTTATTCATGCGTTCCATTTCATTTTGAGTGCGTTGTGAGCAAAATTTAACACACGAGTGCAAATAAATAAGAAAATTGTTAATAAATTACTAAGAATTGATAAAAATGGAATGAGAAGCAATGAGAAAAGCTCAGTATAAAAGTTAAGAGATGAATCGCTTTTAGGCTCGATTTTCTTTTTTTTTACAGTTTATTGTATAATTTATATCACAATGTAGTAACGACACAGATAGTCTTCACTTTTTTTTCAATCCAACTCTCTATTACCGCGCCTAGAATTATTCTCCTGAATCTCTTCAACTGGAGGATTTTCCGGTTCATTTTCCTCCTGTCTCGTGTCGGTTTTATTTTTGTTTTCCACTTTGTACAAAATATCATGACAAAGAGGACATCTGTCCTGGACATAGAGCCATTTTCTCAAACAAACACCATGAAAAAAGTGGCTGCATTTTGTTATTTTTGCACTTTGCATTTCCTGATAACAAATCGCGCAAACATCATTTAATCTTCTTAATTGCTCAGCATTTGCTTCAGGTAGGGAATTAATTTTATTGACAGCGGCACGACGTTTCATGAAAATATTCCATCCGGCTGTTGCCTCACAATAAATATTAAAATAAGCATGAATACACATCATAACGGCTCTAATTGCGCCACCAGATTCAAAAATAAGAATCCAAAGTCCATTGAAAAAGAGAATCACTCCAAATGCAAATTCCACAGTATTGCCGAATGATCTTATAATATATACACAGTCATCGAGTTGTTCCCAAAAGATACTGCGATAGGCGTCGAATAAAAATAGGAAGTAAATTGACAGTGAAACAATAACTTTGACAATGACCTCGATACTGAAAACAGAAACCGCGAGCATCCATGTGCTGATGGTGAAATGTGACCAAAGGAAGATCAATAATGATGTTGGGAAAAAGATGAGAAATGTGCAAACCGCGAGTGCACGGAGATGTCGATGAAGAGCTGGATTATGGGAAGCACTTAATGACATCAGCAAGGGATTCACAGTGTTGTGGACAAAGTGAAGAATTGCAGTGAAAAGAAGACAAAAATTTCGATACAGTCGTAGGAGGCGTTTCTCGCGATCGAGACTCGTAAGGCCGGTTTGAAGTGCAAGAATGTAGAATAAAATTGCTGACACTGTTCCCATATTTTTGTCATCTTCGTCGGCTGTAAGTAATACCCAACGGAAAAATGTTCCAATATAATGACAAATTAGAGAAATAATACTTGTCATTCCAAGAAGTGATGTCAATGTCTCGCAGCCATTAACCAATAGAGTTCGCAGCATTAAATAGTACGTGAATGTGTCCTCTTGATAATGATTACCCATAATTTGAATCACCTGCTCCAAAACGCGAAGAAGCCAAAATGTTCGTAGAACACATGGAACGTTGAGACGATTCCATTCCGATTCAGCGAGAGCGGAAAGTCCATAGTTGCGAATGAAATTTCTCACATGTTGATAGCCCATGTAGATTGTCTTCAGTATCGACATCCCATGATACCAAATTATGAATTTGCAAACTCCTAGAGGAAGAAGAGTCGCCAGGACGGGCGTGTGATGTAAGATAAATGTCTGGAAAAGTCAATTTTTCTTTTTAATAAAGATATTTTTACCTCTTTTTATGAATAAATGAATTATTTCCATAATGAAATAATCATCTAGATCGTGTTTTATGTCTTTATTTTAAATGCTCCTGAAAATAATATATACTTTTTTCATGTCACCTGGAAAACCTATAATTCTCATAGCATTTTATTTTCATTCACCGAATCATTAAAATGTTTTGGAAATTTCCAAAACTTTTATTTTTATTTAATTTCTCTACTTATAAGCGTATTGATTATATAATCGTATTTACTTTTAGAGAAATTTTTATTTATAATCGAATCATTTGACGAAATTTTCTTCTATACGAATTTTTATGTTTGAATTTAATAATTTTTAATAATAATAATAATAATATATAATAATTTTGATAATAATTTTTAATTGATAAAATTTTTATTTAACGAAAATAGAAAATTCTAACAATTTTTTTTTCAACAAATAATAAAAAAATTTATTTCGAACATAAATTAAAAAATTATAAATTAAATATAAAACTCATATTTTGACTATTTGAAAATTCAATTAATATAAAATACAATTACTTGTTAATTTAATTATTCTTAATAGAAATTATTTTATAAATTCAATTATTTCTTAAAATCAAAGTTTTAAATTAAAATTGTTATATTGAACTAAATTTTTTTTTGTAACTTAATTACATTTATTTTCAAATATTTAGAAAATTTAATTATTTTTGTTTCCACATAGAGGAGACTGGATTTTTTAGAAATAATGAAACAAATTTTTTTAGCACATTTGTTTTACAAAAAATGCGATTTTTTTATAAAATTTGTTTTCCTGTTTAAAATGTATTATAATAAATAAAAAAAATTAAATTCTTTGAATTGAAACGAATCTATTGACCTAAATATAAAGTATTATATTTCATTAAAAATTGTAGAATTAATTGCGATTTTTCGTTTTTGAAAAAATCGATTTTTTTTTTTCTATAAATTGGTAAATTTATATATTATTTGATGATTGTTCTTTTCGAAAAAAAGGTTTTTACATTTAGAAACGAATCAAATAATCATATTTTAGCATAAAAAATTTATAATTAATTGAGATTTTTATTTCTTAAAGAATTCAAATATTAGTTGTTTTTTTTCATTATTACTTCTCAAATTAAATAATTTGTTAAAAATTATCTAAATTAAAATTTTTTTTTAATAAATGATTCATGAGTAAATGAAGAAACTTGTATTAAAAATAATTTTTTTGTATAAGGATGCAAAAATGTTAAAGATATGAACATAATCAACTACTTATTATTTGAATTTAAAATAGAAAATATTAACAAGTAATGTTTTTAAAAAATTTAACAAAGTAAAACTAAAACGTGTTCAAAACCTGTTTTTTTAATAAATGTTTCTTATGTAGGATACTTAAAAAATAATTGAGTATTAAAATAGTTGAATTTGTAAGAAAATGTATAAAAAAGTAATTAGTTTTTAAAGTGAATATATTATATAATAATGAAGTATAAAAAAATTAAACTTTTTTAGAACAATTGTAATGTAAATTATATTTAAATTAAATTATATAATATTTCATATAATGTTGAATTGATAATTTTTCAATTTATTTTTAAAATAAAATTTTTTTATTTGCTCAAAATAAAATTGAGAGAATATCCTAAGCTATATTTAGCTAAATTTGCTAAACATATTTGCAATTTTTTTAATTTTTAAGATTTTTTAACTAAACTTTTATATTTTTCTCCAATTTTTATATATTTAAAAATAATTTAACCTTCTGAGATTTGGAGTATTTTTAAATTTTGACCCCTTTTAAAATTAGAATTCCAATAAATTTCTGTTCTAAATTTTTTAATTTTTAAAACAATTTTTCTTTAGCTTTAATATATTTTTTTTAAATAATCAAAGTAATATTGATTAATTTTATATCAATTTTTTCCAACGTGCTCATAAAAAAGTAAATTTTCCTTAACTTACCGACAATGGATGAATTCCCAAAATTGAAGGCGCCATAAAGCTAATGACGATGAGTTTTTGAATCAAGGGATGTCTTGGAGCAAGATGAATGTAGCAAAAAATTCCTGACAATAAACATTGAAGAATGTAATTTTGTATGACAAGAAGACCTGGACCATATTGTAACAGTTCTTTTAGATTTAAGCTCAAGACATCTTCCAAAATGCAGGTTAATCCCTCGTGTGCATTTAAATACGCAATGATTGCCTTAATTGTACTAACGTTCGACCAATATGATATGAATATTACTCCCACGGATATCAGGTACAAATATACAATTACAAGATGCTTCGTAAAGTGCATAAACATGCACAGAGACGCAATACATCCTGAAACATTTTTTTTTAATAATTTACATTTTTTGTAAACAAAATATTGTATGTATTTTTATAAACAAAAACATCGTAAGGGACATTTAAAGTCACTTAACTGATCATTTATTTAAAAAAAATATTTCAATTCGCAATAACTATTAATTAATTATTAATAATTTTTACAAATTTTTTCTTATTAAATCATTTTGTTGATTTAAAAATAAAAATAGTGATATAAAATTTCTTGACAGGAATTTTTTTTTTTTCGTGAAAAAACAACATTCCAGTAAAGAACAACCTCGAATCGTGACATTTTATATTAAAGTCATTAACATAACAAGCTTGTTGTGAGAAATATGTAATAATTCTCGAAGTTTAAAATTTAGAAGTAGAAAAAAAAAATCTAAAGCTCAAGTATAGCAAATAAAGTTCGATATCTCATTTAATTGAAATGGTTTTTGTCCTTCACGGTTGAATTCTTGTTCTAGAAAGGTGTCTCGATAAATTCTTACCTAAGCAACAGGCAATGACTTTGAAGGCTGTCATGAAATAAATCTGGTATGAATTAAGGCTCAAGTGTTGTAAAAACGGTTCTGATGAAGCTGAAGCTATTACACCAATAAATGAGTCCGATACATTCATCATGGTGAAATTATCGCTAATTTTTTCCATTTCAGAATTATCTCCTGAAAAGCCAGGGCTGATCCTTAACAGCTCATCGATGACAAAAAGAGGTGGAACCCTCATTATTACGTCTGCAAAATTCATCACCCACTCACGCATTGTTATTTCCATTTTTTTTTTATTTTTTTTTTTATTTTAAATCTATCTCCGTCTTTTCTTTGCTAATTCTTTCTCATCTTAGGCTACTGTAAAAAAACAATATTAATTATTAGAACAATTTTTTTTGCAATAAAAAAAAAGAAATTTACTTCAAACAATAAAAAATGTTTTAAAACAATCAAATAAAATGATAACTAATATAAATTGCAATTTCTCGATTATGCAATTATAATAGTCTCATTATTTTTCAACAATTTTAAAACTCATTTTCTTCAAAGAAAATAGAACAATTATATACAATTATTATTATTGTAACTTCAATTCAACCACTTACGCAATAATTATATTTATATGTTTGCCAAAGAATTATAACACCTGACATTATGAAATTCGATTGACAAATAAATAATTAAAATACCCAAACAAAAGTACTTTTTAAACTTCTATTGTAAATAAATAAACGTCAAATAAACTTTTTCGATTTATTAAATTACACAAAAATTTTATAAAAAAAAAAAAATTAAATAAGAATATATTTACTATAAATATAAAACAGGTTAGATATAAATTAAAAAAAAATTAAATATTAAATATGTTATTGTAAGAAACATAAATATGAGTCAATATTTACCTTTTCAACGTCAACATGTAAATAAAACTTTACACTTTGACGAAAAATTAAATTTCTTCCCTTGATTTGGACACTTTTTAAATTCCTCCAAAATCACGTACAACTTATCTATAATTTATAAAAAAAATAATACACTTTTTTTTAGATAACAAATTAATGTTCTTTCTATGTTAACGATTTTTTTTTTTTTTTTTAATCTATTGTGTCAACTTTTTTTTCATTTATCAATTTGAGACAACCAAAAAAATGAAATAAATTTATAAAATTTAAAAATTATTAAATTTTAAATTTATCAATTAAAATAAAGCATTTAATGAATAATTTTTGTGCAAAAATCTTGAAAATTCTTCATACATATCCGATTATAGTTTTACACAAAAGTAAACACTTCTAGACACTCTTTTTATGTACACTAAAGTCATTGACAGTTTTCCGATTGAAAAAAATTTAATTGATCACAATTTATATAAACAAAACTTTTAAATTCTTAAGAAAATCACAATGATAGAACCAGGCTTCCATTGTTTCAGCATGATTTTCTGAAACTTCCCGAAAACAATATTTGGTATGAAGCAACTTATTTCAGGGACGTCAAATGTTTTATTCTACTTTTTAAATTGAAAATTCATAATTTATAAAATGTTTTAATATTTTATATTTTAGAAATATTGTTTTTATTAATTATATATAAATTATAAAATAGAAAAGCTTTTAAAAATTATTAATTTAAATGTATGTAAAAAATTACCTAACCTATTAATTTTGTTTCATCAAACTTTAAACCAGAAAGGAACATTTATTCTCTCGTTAATATATATACTCTTTAAATTAAGATTTTAAAAATGTTATAACTTTTTTTTAAATAAATATAATTCATTGCAAAAAAAAAGTAATGAAGTAAATAATTTTAACTTTTAATATCTGAATGACAGATAAATATGTAAATGACAATGATAAGACGTTCCTGGTTAGAAACCACGTGACACACTTTGACGTCCAATTGAAAAGCAGGATGTTTTTTCATTAACGAATCATATTTTAGTATTTCTTAAAGTTAATTTCACAACACAAACATTCCAGGAAATTCAAATAGATATGAATGGATCTTACTATACTGAATTTAATTTTCGTCGACCCACTTTGCAGATTCTAAAGCCATTGAATAAACGACTCTTTATTTATTATTAAATCATAAAAGAAATAAAAGAAACAATAATAGAGTTGATATTAATAATTCCACACATAGAATGTGAAAAACTATTAAATAATTGGCAATATTAAACATTGGAAGTAACCTTATTTAATGTTCAAGAAACACTATATAATAAGAGTGTGAAGTTTTGTCAAATAAGTTTATCGGTCATGTTAATAATCTTCTCCAATCTGTTTGTTAGTCGTTAATTATTCGTTCATTAATCATGTCTTTAATTAACAAATATTGCGCTTTTGAAGTTTAGCAAAACTTGTGCAAAGAGGTCAGCCTATAAAGGTTTGTTATTTTATTTAAAAATTTTCTTATATTTTAATAGTTTTATTTGTTATATTAAACATTTTATTATTGAAATGATTTATTATTTAATATTTTAGTTTTCTTTTTAGTAAAAATTCAGTCAGTAATTATTTAAAATTTAAGAAAAATGAGGTGCGGAAAATTTTTATTTAATTTTATTATCCTTGAAATTTATTTTGACAAGTGAACAATTGTTGAATTAACCAGGTGTTTTGTAACTTAATTATAGTTGTAAAATTTTAATTATTAAATCGTAAAAATATTTTTTGTTGAGAATTATAAAATTTAAATTATATAAATACTGAAATTTTGTTTTAAAAATTTGTTTTAATAATATTTAATTTAACAATTAATAATTAATAACTCTTTTTTGTTACATTAAAATTATTAAATTTGAAACATAACACTTAATTTGGTAATTATATTTATTTGTTTTAAAAAATTTTAATAATCGTACGTACTATTAATTAAATGTCACACGAAAGTCTTAATTTTTAATCCCAGGTTTTTGCGTAATTTGTTACTGTAAAAATGCGTGAATATTGATCTAGAAATAACACTATTGTCCACCTTTACTATCACGTTTTTTTAAAATTTATTATTTGCCATGACTCTCAACGATAAGGAGCCACTTATCGTTGTGACTTAAATGTCAAAGATTAAGTATTTCTAACAATATAGAAACAAGTGGGTCGTAATATTTTTACTTTTTTTTTTAATTAAACTTTTTTTATTTACGTCAATTAGAGATATTTTTATTTGAGCTGAAAAATAACTATTAGATCACAACATATTTTTAGTTAATTTCTTAGAAATCTAAATTTTTATCAAAAAATACATTATTAAATGAAAATTGCTTTTATCTTGAATAAAAAAAAAAATTGAACTTAAAGTCAAGATAGTTAATAATAAAATTATATCTTGATTTATTTATATTATTTTAATTTAAGGGGGAAAAAGAATGAAAATTATGATTTAATTTACAGAATTTGCAAACTGGAAATTCATCTCATCAGATATGACAAGCAATGAAACAAATCCTAGTGAAAGCATGAGAAATATAGGAGGAAATTTTTCAAGAGTTAATTCAAAAATGAAGAGAACGAAAAAGCCTAAATGTAAACTTGATTCAAACAATTGTCTTAATCTTAAGGATATCTTGCTCTCATTTAATGGACCGATAAGTCAAGAACAGGCCTGGGCATTATGTTATCAAGCTACAAAAACATTTTTAAATCTTTCTCAAAATGAATTTCGCACAATATCCGATCCATCTCATATTTTATTACACAAGGATGGAAGTGTTCAAATGGACTTTGATAAAGGTGAGAAATAAAAAATTTTATTTTAATGTAAACAATTTTATTTAATTTTTAACAAAAAACAAAAATATATAAAACATACAAGGGAATGGAATCTAAATATAGAACTTGTGTAATGTCCAATTTAATTAATCTTGACTTTTTTCTGTAGTCTCAAAACATAATTAATTGAAATTGAATCTCATCTTCCAATTATAAGTCATCGTGCAAAAATTTTTATTTTCTCAATTTCTTTCCATGGGTTTGAATGACGTACTTTCTGTTTTTATGAGTAGAATAACAAAATCATAAAATGGAATTTCAGACATTATCAGTCTTTAAAAAAAAAGAGATTAAAGTTGTTTGTATTATTTTATATCACAAACTAGAACTATTTATTTTTCAAAAAAATATTGTCCGAGATGTATTAATTAAATTTACAAAATTTTCTATTTAAAATCTCTTGAAATTTGATTAATTCTAAAAATATGGAATATATTCTAAAATTCAAATATTTTTTAATTATTTAATTAAAAATTATGTATCAATTCAATTTAACATCTCTTGAAATTAAATATAATTAAATATTATTATAAATTAAATTAAAAAAATTTTAAATTAAAATTTAAAATTTAATTTAAAATTAAAATTTTAAATTTAATTTAAAATTATTAAATTAAATATAAATAAAACTGAATTATTTTTTAAATTATCTTAAATTCTTTGCCAAATTAATAATTATCAATAATATTAATTGTTTCAATTTACATGAAATTTTGAAATTCTTGAAAATTTGTCTCATTTTCAGTTCAATTTTGAAATACTGTGTTTAAATAAAATTTTTTGATAAATTTCTATGCAATTATTTTTATTAAGAAATTATGAAAATTTGTTTTTAATATCTAATAACAATGGTTAATAGAAATAAAATATTTATTAAATTAAAATTTAAAAAATCGATTTTGACATTTTTTCTTATGTAAATTGACTAAAACGATTTTTTTTGTACCTTAAAGTAGGTAGATCAATAACTTTGAATAAAATAACAATTTTTGACTAGAAAAATTTACAGTTTCAATTTTTCTCTAATTTCAATTTTTTTATTTTCTTTTCTCAGATTCAAGTAGTTCGCATGTTTCGGAAAAAGATGTAAGTGCCTTTTAAATAGAAAATACCTTTCTTTCTATTATAATGTTTCATTTTAATTTTTTTTTTCCTACTTTATTTTAGCTTGTATTTTCGTTGGGGTTGGTTATTTTTGATGCGTTAGATTACGGATTAGAAGAAGCGGAAGAAAGACCTATTTCTCCTGATTTAAATACGCTTATAAGTTTAATGACGAGTGACAATCAAGGTAATAATTAAATTTCTCATTTAATTTATATGAATTTATATTTGAATATTAAAATAATATATTAAAAAATTTGAAAAAAAGTATTCAAATAAATTTACATTTATTAACGGTAGAATGTCGGCCCGAAGAAGAAAGATTACAGGAAACGGATGACGAAGGAATAGAACGAGATTCGGGAGAAACGGAACTCGACGATTTACTAGCTCAGAATTTAAACGGTTCTTATTCTGACGAAATTAAATTATGTTCCCTTCAAAATGTACTACATGTAAGTATCCTATTTTATCATTCTTTTTTTTTAAATGTAAATTTATATTATATAAATTTTATTTTATTATTTATTTATTTTATTATCGTATAAATTTAATAAAATTTTTATCTGTCAGATGTGTGAAAGGCATGTGGGCAATAATGATCAAGCAGAAGCACATTATCAGGCCGTAATTCGAGCCTTTGTAACAGAGGCTTTAGAATTATCTCAATTTCTCGAAAAAGTGGCCTACGAAAAGCAGAGAACAAGTTTTCGCGATCCAATCACGGGAGATGGGACAAAACACTGTGATACAGTTTGCAAATTAAATTCACTTGATTTCGCTGACTGGGTGAGTTTTATTCGTTCATTTAAAATGTATTAAATACCAATAATCTACAATAATTTAATAATAATAATTTTAAAAAATGTTCTTTTTAAAAATAATAAAATAATTTTTAATAATTTAAATGTATATAACGATTGAGATTTTCAAAATGAATTTTATTTAGTGCAAAAATTTGCATTTTAAAACGAAATCAGTCTGTTTCCATATAAAGCTGATGACATCAGCATAAGTTGACACCTTTTTTTTTCTTAATACCAGACAAATTTGTATTCACATCTTTGTTTTTTTTTATATATATTTAGACTGACATTAGGATTTGGCGAGCGATACAAGTACGTGATTTATGCAGTGTATTTTAATTATTGCATCATAAATTCTTGTCGCATTTCATTCGTATTCTTTTTTATCGATTTTAGTTTTTTTTTGGTATATTTTAAAAGATCAACGCGTCAGTCATCAATTAATAAATTGCACAATTATAATTGGATAACAAACAAATTTTAAAAAAATTAAAATATAATTTTTGCATCGAATTCGATACGAGATATTAAAAAAATAAAGAACTTTTCTAATTAAATACTAATTTTATGTTTTGTTATCCAATTTTTGTTATAATTAATTTTATTTTTTACACGTTTTATTAATTGATATTATTTATTTTTTAGTTATTTTATATAATTAATTTTAAATAATAATTCAGTTATAAATAATGAATGAATATTTTATTATATTGTATTGTTAATAATTTCTTTAAAAAAATATTAATTAAAATTAAAAACTTTTAACAGGCAAGGTTTTGGGTTCAAGTAATTGGAGAATTGAGAAGAGGTGTAAAATTGAAGAAAGTGGAAGACGATTTAGGTCGACGAAATTCCATTCGCGGTATGGCAAAAGGAGCAGAATTTGAACTAACGCCTTATGAAATTCTAATGGATGATATTCGTAAGCGCCGTTATCATTTAAAGAAAGCACCTGAACCGAAACCTCAAATCAGAAAAGATGCACGTTCAATTATTCTCGATTTTATTCGAAGTAGACCTCCTTTAAAAAAAGTACGTATTCTTTCTTTTATTTTTGAATTTTTCTATTTCTTTGACTATAAATATTATTTTTATCTTTTTTATTTTTAGTTTACTTTTAGAAAAAATTAATTATTTTAAATTTACTTTAAAAAGATATTAAAATAAAATTTTAATGTTTCTTATAGGCATCGGAAAGAAAATTGGCACCTCTGAAAAGGGAAGCAACTTTACGAGAATTGCTGATGGAGAGTATCAAAAAGCCACCTAAACCTCTAAAGAAAACTAGACTTCATCATTCTCCCATTATTGAAATGGCATTTGAAAACGGTGAGTTTTTTTAAATGGAATTCAAAATTTATAAATTTGAAAAAATTTCGATATAAATATAAATTTGTCTAGTCAGTTTATTATAGTAATTTAATTGTAAAACTAAATTCAGTTAAGCGGAACTGAAATACAATTCTGTGAACCGAACCGAACAAAATTAATCGTTTCCGTTTCATATTTCCTTAGGGGTATTCAAATAAATAATAGAAAAGGAAGAATTAGATTTTAAATTTTATATTTAATTTGAAATCACGAAAACAAAAAAATATTAATTTATATTTTTCTTCGCAAATTGTTATCTTTAAAAATTGTGGAATTTCTAGAATTTCAAGTTATTTGATAGAAACTTTGGAGAAATTGGAGTTTTTCAAATAATTGTCAGATTGGTAAATAATAAAAATATAAAATGACAGTGAAAGGTGGTAAAAAGGTTGAAGGTGGTATATTCATGGACATGACTCATGTGGTTGAACGAGGATTCGCCGCACTCGGATGCGTTGCAAAACGTGGAAAGGGAAGCGCAGCTGTCGACGATCAATAGTCTTAGACTTAAGTGAAAATGTGGGCCAAAGGACTATTTCATATACATTAGACAAAATACAATAATGTCGCGACACTATATTCGCGACATTTATCACATTCGTCAAACCTTTTTCTCAACATTTTTTTTTTCATCCAAAAAAATAAATGATTCATTAATCGTGGTAAATTTTTCAAATCAGTGAATTTGTGAAATAAAAAGTGTTTAAATCATTTTTTTTTTGAAATAATCAAATTGTTTACATTGAAGAAAAATAGCAAATTTTTTTTTCTCAATAAATCAGAAAAATAATTAACAGATGTGTTAATTTAAAATGAAATTAATCTTATATTTGAGAGAGAGAGAGAGAGAGCTGAATTAATTACTGTGCTGGATGCTGACTTATAAATAAGATGACCTCTTGGACTTTAAAATTATTGAGTTGGAAAAATTCAATTTCTGTGACAATTTGAAACTTGTGCAATTGCAATACTTATTCTAGAGGATTTTAAAATTACACGAAGAGAAAAAGAAAAGTAGAAAAAATATTTCTAATCTATTTATAAATATTTTGAAAAAGTATGTTAACATTTTAGGACATATTTTGGAAATATTTTTAAAAAAGTGACTTCCAAAAGAATAAACATTTACGAGAGGATAAAGAATAAAATTTTTAATCGAATTTTTGAAAATATAATCTCTAAATCGAAATGGAATTAATAAATTCGAAAAATTCAATTTAATTCACGTAATTAAAATTAATGAGCCTCAATTTAATTATAAATAAAATTAATAATTAATTATATTATAATATATTATTAATAATTGATGTTCAATAATATTATTAAAAATTAAGAAGATTAGAATAAATTATTTTATTGAATATAAGAATATAAGAATAAAAAGAATAATAAATATAGAATTAAAGAAAAATTAAAAAAAAAATATCATTGGCCTAAAGAAAAACAAATGTCAAGAACTTGGGAGAACAATATTGCAAGAGTTCTTCAATCATGCTTGACGAAGATCAACGATCCAGAAATTTCAAATCAGTTACAAAGGGAGAATCTTTAAGAACGGATCGTTATAAGTAAAGGTCATCGATCGCCTTTCTTTTACAATCAACCCTGACCATTGTGCGGAAAACAATAAATTTATCGTGACACCTAGAATTCTTTCCCCTTTCTCTCCTTATATATATATATAGAAATTGAATAAAAAAAAAATCAAAAAAAAAATGCTGCTGGCAGTTGGAGGGGAATCGAGACGAATTGTTCTTGGAGAAGTTCCACCAGCTCGTACTGAACAGGAACAGGAACCAGCTCAAGATGTTGCTGCTCAATGGCTTCATGATGATTCACAGGAAAAAAATCGCGATTCAAAAATTAATGCTTTATCGAAACCAAAAATGCCGGTTCCTCAACCACGTTCTCGTATTGGAAAAACCGAGGAAGCCAAGTCTCGCGGGATTAGGAATCGTAAGTCGCGTAGAAGATGTATTAAGGGCACAGGTAATCGTTCATCTTCATATACATTTCACATCATTCTTGTGAGTAAATTTATTTCGAAGAAAACTTTTATCTTTAATGTTTTTAATTTTTATTCAAGTACAATATCTTTAATTTCTGCTCAAATATATATATTTTTTTATTATATTTTTAATTTATATTTTTAATTATATTGATTAATTAATCGCTCATTATTTATACTTTGAATTTTTTCAAGCGCTAATTATTTATTTTTAAACGATTTTCTATTTTAAAAAGGGGATATATTTAAAAATTAGAATTTTTTACTTATTCGAAAAATCAAAAATCTTGCATTATCGTTCACGATCATGCATTTTCATTCATATTCCAGGCCTTGGATTATTCGATTTTTTTCGATTTATTTTAATAAGATTTTCCTATAATAAATTTTGATCTTTTATTAATTAATTTTACGAGTTAGTTGTTCGTTCATCGACATTAAAATTGACGGATCCAATTGCAAGAATGGATATTTTTTTTTATAAAACTTGTTCTTCGCTGACATCTAAGATTAAGTTTGTTAATTTCATTAATTGAAAAAATAAGTAAAACTAATAGAAATAAAAAATATAATATTTTATTGATAAAATTATAATTTTCTTTTAAAAAAAATTATGTACCAAGGGAGAAACTTAATGTAAAAAATATTTTTAAAAAATGAATATAATTTTTATTAATAATTAATTATTAATTGTTATATAAAATTGTTTCAGCTCACGCACAAGAAGCATCTGTGATTGAAGGTTCAAAAATCTCACAGCGAAATCTTGCGAGTGTCGACTCGGTATCGAGACAACCGAGGAAATTAATTCCAGTTGATTTTGATTTGAAACTCGATGGAGAAGAGGAAGATGATGATGATGACGATGACGATGACTTTGAAATTTCTAAGTTCGATGACGATGACGACGACGACGATGAGGATGACGAGGATTCCACAAATTATTGGCATTCCAAAGAACGTTACGCTTGCGGTAAGGGAAAGTTGACAATGGATCTTTGCGAGGATTGTCACGATGATGATGACGAAAAAGATTCAGCGAATCCATGGCGAAAAACTGGAAAACTTCGTCTCACAAAAAATGAATATCATCGATTTTGTGACGCCCAATTAGAATGTAATTTTAATTCGAAAAAACTAAATTTTTTTTTCCCCAAATATTTTGTTTCTTATTTAAAATTTTTATTTTCCAGCTTATGATTTGGCAACGCAATGTCCATCGAGAAGAGCGTCTGCCAGAAAACACGCGACAAGAGGAAATAGTTTAGTACTTCCGTCGTTTTCCGGTACAACTTCCCTTCCACATTCAAGGCCTCACAGTCGTCAACAGGCTGGAATAATCGGCACAAATACAAGTCCAAGTGCACACAGTCCCAATGTGAGTTTAAATATAAGTCCGAGACTGAGTCCTCAACCAAGAACGAGGCCCGTTCCAAAACCTAGAGGAAGTATCGATAGTGAAATTAATTCCGATACAAAAGACTGGGAGAAGGAACATTCTGAACAGGTAATTTATTGAAAAGGTTTTTTTAATTTTCGAAATCGATTTTAAAATTGTATTATTTTCTCAGAAACCGTCTTTAAACGATATGTTCCTCGATGATCGACTTTCGTTAACATTAGAAGAAATAGTTCACATACGAAGTGTTTTAACAAAGGCAGAATTGGAATCATTGCCAGTCGAGGGTCGAGTAAAGGAAGATGTTGAAAAGAGGCGTGTTTGCTTTTTGTGCTTGAAAACAAGATTTGGTATTCTTGGTCCTTGGGGTCAACGTTGTCGTCTCTGCGAGAGGACTGTTTGCGTAAAATGTTACACCAAGGTATTTAAATATTTTTTAAATTTTTTCTAATATTATTAAATTGAATTAATTATTAATTTTTCACTTCTATCAGATGAGAATTCCAACGGAGCATTTTTCGCACGTGCCAGTTGTTTTACTGTCTCCTGGAATTTTACTTTCGCCAACTACTTCGGAATCTGATTCAGGAAAGAATTCTTGGCTGAGGGCTTCCGGAGCAGTTGGTTCTGCACCAGCATCACCTGCATCTCGTCGTCGAGACTCAAATTTAAGAAGTGCGACTCCTTCAAGTCCTTCAGTGACGCCTAGTGCTGTTCCCACTGCTGAATCAACGCCAACTTCATACTCAAAACCGGAACATCTTCACAGTTCCGAAAAACGGTAAGGAATATTTTTATATTTAATATTTTTTCATACTTTTAGTATTTAAATAATTACAGAACTCGAATTATTATTATTATTAATATAAAAAAATCTAGAACAAAATGTTCAGCGGAACTCGAAATCTTTGACGTTCTTAAAAAGTCATTGAATTTTTATTATTTAATAATTTTAATTTAATTTTCTTTGAAACATTTTTTAAATGTTATTCTAATTTATTAAATTTTTTGCTCAATTTTGTAACAGACGCTTTAAACCGACTGGTAGCCCAGCAAAATTATCAACAACTGCGACATTTGGAAGTCTCGGGGGCCTGAGTCCGGAGCAACGATTGATAGCCGAACGATTAAGGGGAGTATCAATGGTAGTTTGTCACGATTGTCGAATTATGGTAGTTCAAATAATCAAGAGTTCGCGAAATACACGAGCCACTATACGCAACAATGTCATTTCACGATTAACTCTCAATCTTTCACCTGCATATGTTTAAGATTTTAAGAAAAAAAAAAAACAAAAATGAAATCAGTTTTGAAAATAATTCACAAGTACAATATCCCTTCCAAAAAAAAAAAATGAAAAAACAATTTTTAACCCTCCGCTTGAAAGGAATAGAACTTTGAAAAAAAAAAGAAAACTGATTTGCTTCCATAATTGTATACAGAGATGTTAGCCAATTTATTATTCTTTAGATAAACTGTCTCTGTGAAGAAAATAAATTTCAAATTTTTGAAATATTATAAAAGAGAAATAATTTTGGAATTATTTTTCTTTGCATTTATTAAATTAGTGTTTAAAATCTGGCATTTTAAATACTAAAGACAGTTTTTCAAATTTACGCTTCGTCTAGTTTTGTACATGACTGGATTTAGTGAATCTGTCACGTCACAAATAATTAAGATAGTAGTTAGATATGAAATATATATAATATATATATATATATGAATATATGTAGAGAATATATATTACAAACTCGTTTGAAAAATCATGATTAAACTGAGAGATATATAATAAAACGATATCAAAAAAAAAGCTCTCGAATCACGATTTTCCTACGAGACTTACTCTTTATTGAGTTAAATTGTCTTTCAAATTCTACTTTTTTTAATATTCTCATTAATATGAATATTTTATGATTCTTTGTTTATTCAAAAATTAATTATTCGATTCAATTCGAGTGTAAATTTGAAATAACCAAATTATTATTCATTTTTATGTTTCCAAATTCCCATTTTTGTACGAATTCTGATTTGAAATTTCTCGAATTCTTTTGGATTTAATTTTTTTTACCTAATTATTCTATGTTTTATCATTTTCATATTATATAAAATAAAAAAATTTATAATTATATACGTTAATGATTTATTTATATTACAGAATATACCATTTCTGTAATATAATAATCTAATATAACAATTTATATAATTGATTAATTTTTCTATTACGAATACATGGAAAGAATTCAATAAAACGAAAATAAATTCATGAATTTTTGAAAAATTTCTAATTATAAATAAAAAGAATTTGAAAAAAATTAAACTTACAGGAAACATAAAAATTGACGATAAATAACAAATACAAATTATAAAATTTCAAATTAATGTAAATTATAAAAATTGAGAAACAAAATTTATATTTATTATTTATTTATTTATTTATTATTGATGATGAATTAAAATTCAGAAAAAAATTATGAAAAATCGAAAAAAAAATGTAAAAAAAATGAATAAAAATCTAATTTTAATCACTTATTTGATTGTAATAAACTTAAAAATATTTAAGAAAAGTAAAATTTGAGGGATAATTAAAAGTCCCCATCAAATTACAATCAAAAAAATGTTCTTTAATTTATGTGTGAGCTATCGAATACAATGAATTAGAAGGTGAACGAAGTTTTTTCAGAAAAAGAAAAATTGTGGAACTAATAAATTTGTTTAATTAATTGTTATTCGAAAATGTTGTTTCCTAAATATTTTTTTTTCTGAATAATCTTCGATATTGGATGAGTACAATTGAAATACCTCAGAGTCGTACTGTCTTTTGTGGATTGATACGAATGGTTAATTAAAAAAAAACTGGTCAGTTTTCTTCCATTTGTTTCACATGATTCTATGTGAAATTTAAATTTACTTCCAAAAAAAAAAAAAGAAATAATATTTAAACGGCACGCACCACCCATATCAAAGAGCAATTTAAACGAAGGTGTCAATATTAGAAAAAAAAATTGAGAAATAGTGAGAATTCAATGTGTTCTGTTTCTATGTTCAAAATGAATTTTTGTAATATTTTTATCATTATTTGTTCTCATTACAAAGTGTTTTGAATTTTTTTTTTATGACAAATTGTTTAGTTAATTTAATGTGTAGTTAATAAAAGATTCGAAATACAAGAATCTTTTTATATTATGTCTTAAAAATTCAAAATATTAATTATTTTTCAAGTCTTAAATAACTTTTTAATATGTAGAATATTTTTTTTTATTAAAAAAATTCAGTTTTTTGAAAAAAAAAAAAATCTTTTATAAAGTATCAGAGTGTTCGATCATTCGTTTTGATCAACTTGAATGTTTTTTTTTCTAGTCCCTGATATTGATTGTAAAATGTCATCGATTTAGAGGTCTAAAAGAAAAATTATTTCAAAGAACAGAGTGACGAATTATTTTGTTGAGATATTACTGGAGACCCGAAACTGTTTTATTTATTGTAAGTTTTATATTCTGTTTGAATTTTTATTTTGGGTTTTTTTTTTTTTTAAATTCTACTTTTAATTTCTGTAAGTTTTTTTCTAATGTATTGTTTTATTTATTTTGTAATTATTGAGGACCAAGTGAAGTATGTAATTTTAACCTTGTTAATATTGTGTTTCTTTTATATTTATATTTTATATAATTTCCGGTTATTGGGTCAAGCGGCCTGACTTGCAACGTACAAATAAATCTGTTCGTCTTTATTAATTTTGAAAATTGTCTATGTATATATGTACCATTATAATTCTATTTTAATGAAATCCTGTATAGTATCGAACAATTCAAATGGCATTTAATGAACAATTATTTATAAATTTAATTAGACGACTATTAGAGAATCTATATATGGAAATATATTATTTATTTTTTTGTATGTAACTCTTTCTGGCAGATTGTAATCGAGACTTTAGGTGTACATAATAAAATGCATCGATGCTACCGTTAAATTTATTTAATCATTTCTATATTCCCCAAAATTTACTTCCAATTAATACAGGGCTGACACAAAATTTTTATTATAATTTTTGGCTGACATTTTTCTGTCTACCAGACAATTTTTTTTGTTTTTCCCTGATATTTTCGAATTTTGTTCTTTTTTTTTATCAAATGTGAATTTTATTTTTTTTTAAAATTAGATAAATAATAATTTGATCAAACAATCAACAATTAGTTAATTTGCAAATTATTAGTAAATTGTTAATAAATAATAATTAAAGGACGGGTGTTGAATATATTTAATAATCAATTTAAAGTTAGAACGAATATGATTTTATTTACATTTGAGCGATGAATACACATTATCTTGCCGTTCAATTATCGTAATATTCATTAATAGTTAAAAAATAAATGGCAATTATTAATACACGTGTGTAAATGAATGAAACGAATCACATTTTTTTTTTTTTAAGATACGTATTTCGCAAAAAACTGTAACAAAAATTTGTGAAAAATAAAAGACGGATGATTCAGCGAGTTTGTTCTATGTACAAATTGTGTTTGAATTAAAACTTAAACTAGTATAGTCTTGAATTTCTTTTTTTCTTGTTTTCTTTACGAGTCTTGGAGAATTTACGGAGAATTAAGAGAACTTTCTCAATTATTTTTTTTTCTCGAGGAAGTAACACGGTTCAGTTAAACTATCAAACTTCACCTACTGCTTATGATAAAGCTTAAATGCTAACTTCTCTACGTGTAAGTAGTTCCTTACAAAAGATTTTCCTGGTGATTTCACAAAAAAAAAATGAATTTAAAAATTAGAAAAATCTCTTGACAAACTTAATTGAGAATCAAAATTCATGACAATAAATAAATAATGAAATTGCAACTTAAAGTGATGTCAATGGAAGACGATATTGAGTTAAACTGTAGTAGACTTTTTTTCCTAGTGTCTAGGGATACAAGTTTTTTCTTAAAATTTTTCTTGAATTTTTAATATTTCTTAATTTTAATATTTTAACATATTTAAATCACATTTGTTAATATTATGCCGTATTGTATTAATTTATAATATCAATTAATTTCTGTTTTGCTTATTATGCAGATCCGATATATATATATTGTAAAAAAAAAATATTATTTCGAGTTTGAACATTTCAAACTCGATCGTCAAAATAAATTATTATAATAATAATAAATATATACAAGATTCATTATAAAAACTTACATCAAATTAAACTTATCAATTAAAAATTATGCTTTCAACTTAAAAAGTAGCTTAAAAATATTTTTCAAAGTGGTGGGCGAGACTTATAATTATTTTTTGTCAAGGTATAAAAATTAGACTTCACAAAAACACACACAATGTTTTTTTTTTTAAAAAAAAGGAATATAAAACAACTTACTTTATAATAATACATTAAAAATAGACTATTTTGATTAAAATTCAGTTTTGCTTAATAAGAACGATCACGATCGTATTAAAAAACAAAACAGAAGAACATCACATTTTTTAACAAAATCTCAATTTCTTTTTCCTGTATCCCAGACACTCTTGAAAAATTCAAGAGATTTCGACTCAGAGTGTCGAATTTACTTTTTGTTTTTCTTTTAAAATATCTAAAAGCTACCATCTGCAATTTCCAGACAATTACTAAAATATATATATATATATATATATGTATATATGCCTCAATTCTACACAAATCTAATATAGATAATAAACAAATTGAAGCTCATTATTTACATGTAAAAGTTGAAAATCTTCAATGACAATAAAGTATTTGAGATTATAATATATAAGAGAATATTCAAATGGTTTACATTATTGTTCCTCAAAATTTATTACGAAAAAAAAAATGATGAAAAAAAAATTCGCTGTGTCTATTTAAAAAATAATTTATTTAATTTTTCAATATTTAAAATTTAAATTTCCAAATAAAAATTAATATATATTTTTTTGGATTGCATATTAATTAATTTAAATAACATTTCAGGTAAATTTAAAAAAAAAATTCTATTGTCATCGGGTTTTATAAGCGTAAAAGAGAACACGCGTTCAACAAAAAGAAGAAAACTCCCTTTTTCCATCTTGAATTTAGATTTAAAAATTCAAGAAATATTGTCATGGATTATAAAACTAGAACTAGTCCAAAAATCCATGACAGGATCTTATAAAATAAAAGTGGGGTATTTCAAGAAGACAGATCCACAATTTATACCTTCTGCAATAAAAAAAAAACAACAAAATATTGGTTTTGTTAAAAAAAAAAAAAAAATTGGCAATTTTTAAAATAAACGAGCTAAATAGCCAAAATCCCGCATTTATCCCGGTAGCAAAATAGACACAGCGAAAAAAATGATCAAATAAAAATTAAAAAAAAAAACATTTTGAGGGAGAATAATGCGTTCCAATTGAAATTATTGGCAAAAAGCTTAATAGTTAATATTGAAAATACATAAAACTGATAAAATTGATCCGGCACTCTGATTCCAAGTTCTTGGAATATGAGTTTAAATATTTTTTTTTCGTTTTAATAAGGGAAAATTTATCAAGAAGAATTTTTTTTTTATCAAGAAAAAATGATTAACGAATGAGACAAGTAGCGCAAATACGTTGAGGCCCAATACAATCGTCGTGACAAAAAGCACCGCATTGACGACAAATTACCATTGCTCCTCGCATATTGCATTCCCATGGTGGAGGTGGATCGCCTCCCATTATTACGCCCGGTGCTCCTGGTTCAGCGCCGCCACCTCCTCGTCCATCGAGAGCACCTCTTGCTTTCAATGTGACGGCTTGATGAGATCCCTCGCCTGCACTGGCTGGTCTTCCACGCACAAGATGTACGCCAACTCCCATTCCCGCTATTTGCGGTGGTAAGGGTGGCGCTGACGATGCACGTGGTGCACTATCACCAACGCCAGTTCTCTGCACAAGAATATACTGACCAAGACCTCCGTTTCCATTTGAATTTATTTGTGTCACTGCATTGCTCTCAGTCACCTGTAAAACAATTTTCATCCGAATCAAATAATGCATTTGTAAAATTACCTTCCACTGGAAAAATAAATTAAATTTCAACATTTCTGTCATTTAAATCTTGAAGGCTAAAAAAATTTCAAGACGCTACAAAATTAGTAATAAACTCTACATTTAAAAATTTTACACAACTAATTCTATAAAAAAAAATGCATATTAAAAAATTACCTTTTTATTTTATTTTTTTTTTTAAACTAAAAAGGTAATTTTTTATTTTCGTTATCTACTGTGAGAAGTGTATAATTTATAATAATTTTGTGAATGAAAAAATCAGTAATATAAAAATAAATAAAAAAAAAGAGATACTTTTTATTTTCACTTTCTATCCTTCCAAAAAATCGAAAAAATAATTCAACTTTAAACAATTGAATACTTCAAAATAAAATCCTACACAGTAAATTGCAAACAGGTAAATTTTACATTGTTAACGAAAAAAATCTACACAATTAAATTTAAAAACTATAATTAATTAAAATTCTAAACAAATATTATATAAATCTACAAAATAAATTGTACGCTGGAAAACTCTACACAATTAAATCTGCACAAGTAAATTCTACAATTGGAATTTTTTTTTTAACTATATTATTAAAATTTATTATAGAAATTATACTTTTTCAAATTCATTTTTTATATCCAACACAGTTGGCATCTCTACTTTTGTTTTAATTGAAACAAAAAGCAGAGTTACCATGTCAAATTAATTAATTGTGTAGAGTTTTTCTTTCAGAATTTTTATTGTGTATTGCATTAGAAAATATGTACATTTAATTTTAAAAAAATTGTGTTTTTTCTCCTTTATGCAGCTGTTTTAAATAGTTAGTATTTGCTCAATTGTTTTAAGAGACACATGAATATTTTCCACACTGAACTTATAAAAATTTGCATTTAAAAAAAGTTTTACTAAATCAAATTTTTTAAATAGTAGATAGAATCATCGATTCTCCATTTGTCTCAAATTTTATTTGTACGAAAATTCGAAATTAAGTTCATTAAGGATAATATTCATGCATTTCTTTTAAATTCCCAATTTAGAAAGAAAAAAGATAACTTCGTGAAACAAAGAAAAGATTTAAGAGAATAAACTAAATATTTGATTAGCAACTCGATATAGATGATTATTTATTAAATTATCTTAATTAATTAAGATAGAATTTAATTTTAATACTTGAATATTAGTCGATAATCAAAAATTTTATAAATTATAAAGAATAATTATAAGAAAATTTTTGATGAAAATATGTCCGTGATAAAAGATGTCTTAGAGAAAATAGAAAATTCGACAAAAGAATAATAGAAAAAAGAAAATTAAATAAAAGAAAAAAAAATTAAAGAATATGTAGAAAAATATTGTGCCTAATAATATTTGAAACTATTTAAAAATGTTAGATAATAATCAAAATGAAATTTACCAAATGTTTTCTTTTAAGCAGAGTTCTTACCTCTGCAGGCGCCGTTTGACGAGCAGTGGTAAAAACATGTCTCAGCATAACAGCTTGACCTTTCGTTTGCTTGTTATGTGAGTTCAATTGTTGGGATTTTTGTGCTTTAACAGTAGTTATTGTTCTGCCACCTGATTTTGTTGTTGTGAAAGCACCATCGCCTCTTGCCAGTAAACTGGGCGGCGGTTTCAAATGCGCTTTCAATTGATCTCGATTTGGCGAACTTTGTATAACCTGGCAAATAAAATACAAATTTTATTAAAATAGATATTTTTCAGATACTTAATTAAGTTTAAAATTTGGGAAAATTGAAACTTTAATCAATCAAAATTTTGTATTTCGCATAATATAAAACACAAATCAATTAAAATTCGGATAATTTGAAACATAAAATCGAATAATTTTTAAATAGATTGAAATTTCTTTAATTTTAAGTTTCGTTCGATTGAAATTTGTTTTAATCAATAAAAATGAGAATTGATTAAAAAATGTATCACATTAAATTTGAATCGATTAAAAATGAAATAGAATGAATTTAATTAAATTAAAATTTGAATGAATTAAAATTTAAGGGTCATTCCATTATATTTCACCTAAAGTCGTTGCGGCCTAATTTTTAAAAAACTTGGTACTTTCAGAAATGATTCTTTATTATATTTAGGAAACGAAATAAAAAGAATTAAGTTTAAATTTTTATTATTTATCTCAAAATATGTATTTAAAGTGGACAAGGTGCGGAAAAATGTCACCTTTTTAGCATTTAGAAACTTTTTTTAAAAACATAGAAAAATTGTTAAAAGTGTAAAAAAAATTATTTTTTCTTGTTTAGAATCGATTAATTATCTATTTTTTAATGATTAAAGTAGTAAATAAATTAAAATAATATATAAAATAAGTTTTCAAAGTTGGTCTGTCAAATAACCTAATTTTGGGATTTTTATTAATTAATTATTAAAAAGTGGAATTATTAAATAAAATAAAAACTCACTGAATGTAAAGTATTTGCGGTGAACTTTCAAATTTTCTTAGCACTTTTTACTTTTTCCATTTATAAATGTAAAAAATCTTGAGTCGAAAATTGGCACTTTGTTGATTTTTCCGATTTTTAATCGCTTGTAACTCTTTTGGTGCAAAATAAAAACTTTTGAAACCCGGCGGAATATTTAAGTTAAATCTAAATAAAAACTCACTGCAATTTTTGTGATGGATTTTGATCAAGATTAGAAGAAAATTTAATTCCAAAATTGTACGTATATTTCCAGGTTAATGTATGTAATTTTTCGTCTTTGAAGTAGTGGCCCAACTTCAAGTTTAAAAAAATTACATACATTAACCTGGAAATATACGTACAATTTTGGAATTAAATTTTCTCCTTATCTCGATCAAAATCCATCACAAAAATTTAAGTGAGTTTTTATTTAGATTTAACTTAAATATTCCACAAGGTTTCAAAAGTTTTTATTTTGCACCAAAAGAGTTACAAGCGATTAAAAATCGGAAAAGTCAACAAAGTGCAAATTTTCGACTCAAGATTTTTTACATTTATAAATTTAAAAAGTACAAAGTGCTAAGAAAATTTGAAAGTTCACGACAAATACTTTACATTCGGTAAGTTTTTATTTTATTTAATAACTCCACTTTTTAGTAATTAATTAATAAAAATCCCAAAATTAGGTTATTTGACAGACCAACTTTGAAAACTTATTTTATATATTATTTTAATTTATTTACTACTTTAATCATTAAAAAATAGATAATTAATCGATTCTAAACAAGAAAAAATAATTTTTTTACACTTTTAACAATTTTTCTATGTTTTTAAAAAAAGTTTCTAAATGCTAAAAAGGTGACATTTTTCCGCACCTTGTCCACTTTAAATACATATTTTGAGATAAATAATAAAAATTTTAACTTAATTCTTTTTATTTCGTTTCCTTAATATCATAAAAAATCATTTCTGAAAGTATCAACTTCTTTAAAAATTAAGCCGCAACGACTTTAGGTGAAATATAATGGAATGACCCTTAAACATTTTCAAATTTGAATAAATTTAAATTTAGATCGATTACAATTTAAAATTTGTCCTAAATAATAATATCGATAACAAATTTTGATAAATTCAAGATTTTATCAATTGAATCATTTATAGGAAAAATGAAAATCTGTAATTTTTTTTTTTTTAAATTAATATAAATTCAATTAATGTTTTTACATGGTAAATTTAATTTTTTTTTAATACTACATTTACAAATTAATCGAATCATGAGAAAAGTAACGAATCATCGAAAAAACTGAAATAGAGGTAACCAAATTTTAAATAAAATTTTAATCATTTTCTATATTTTCCTTTTATTAATAAAATTGTTACTTAAAAAACAATATAAAAATTTAAACAATGCAAATTATTCAAAAAAAATTTTAATCAAGAAAAAAGAAAAATTAGGAAAAAATCAGGAAATTTTGAAAATGATATTTTGCGGTCACCCTGTAATTTTTATATTTAATTTTTGATGATCATTTAAAATAAAACATTTTGAAATGAAAACTCACCGCTTGACAAATTTGATAACTGCGCTCCAAATTAACAGCACCAGGTGGTTCCTTCGTGGAACTTCTAGCTCTTCCGCCCTGTTCTTTGTTACTAGCCCTCGACCTCTGTCCACCTTGTGCCGATCTCGAGGGTCTCGAACCCACTGTCACAACCGGATATTGCTGTGTCTGTTGTTGTTGTTGCTGCTGCTGCTGTTGCTGTTGTGATTGTAAAGTTGCAACAATTTGTCTCGATTGTGCAGCAATTGGCGTTTGATGTTGAATGACAATCGCATTTGTTCCATGATTTTGATGTTGAACAGTAACAGCATTTTGTAAATTGTCCTGCGTTGGATTTTGTTGAACGCCATTTTGCAAATTATTGTGAATAACATTATTTTGCGTTCCAATTTGCACTATTTCCTCATGAGGCCTTACAATACTCACTTGCTGCTGTTGTTGATTGTGTTGAATCTGAGTGGGAATTGCATTTGTTGTATTTAAATTTTGCGGCGCTCCATGACCCGAGTGAAAACTCGTTTGAACAAATCGTATTGATTGCAATTGTGGGAATGCTATGATTGGTGAACTTTGTGTTGGTAAATTTTTCATAAGACAATTCGTAACTGGCGTTCCAATTGCCAAGGTTTCTGATTGAAAAGGCGTACTTTGCACCACTGGCAATTGAATGCAATTAATTGATTCCGTATGAGCTTCCGAAGTGATGAACTGAGATGGATTTGTTGAGTCAGTGGTCGTTGATGTGTCGCCGCATTCATCGTGAGTTGTTACCGTGATATTGGCGGCTACTGATCCATCGAGCGATGTAACCAGTGGCAATGATACTTGAATTTCTTCCTGAGCCTGTGAACAAATTATTAATTACAAAAATTAAATTACAGGCTTCTGGATTCTAAAAAAAAAATTTCATGGAAAATAGAGGACTGAAAATTTAAAAATAGGGGACTTTTAGGGTACTGTGAAAATATGACACTGAAGTTACCAATGTTGATTCGACGAAAAGAATTTTTTTTTCCAAGATTGAATTTTTAAATAGGATACTTTTAGGTACAATAAGAGAAAAAGGAAACTTTTAGGAAAAATAGTGGACGACTATGAAACCCGAAATTAAAATTACAAAATAAATTAAGAAAAATTGAATTTACCCTAGCATTAGGATTGCTAACTGCTCCAACATTTGGATCAACAGCCCAGCTGCATTCCAACATTTCGGAGCAAACATAATTATTTGCCTCTCGTAGAGCTTCGTCTTCATTTCCAACAGTTAGATGTTCAACTTCCTGTACATCTTCCACGGGTCCTGAGATGACAGAAGTTTCCGCCTCTTCCTCACCAGTTGAACCAATTTCCATTCCCTCTAAAATTGGATATATTATTTCCTCCGGACAACCGGATATTTCTTCATAAGCCTCTCTCATTTCACCGCGAACTTCCAATTCATGAATACGTTGCAATGTCTCGATATCGATTTCCATTCCCTCGGGAAGTTGTGATTCCGGATCTGTACAATTTTCATTTGATCCTTGCATATCTGTTTGAATATCTGATTGTATTTCATTCTGCATATCAGCCTGCATTTCAACTTGCAGCTCCGTTTGCATATCGTTTCGTAATTCCTGTTGTATTTCATGATGCATTTGTTGTTGAACTTCATGCTCTACTTCGTGTTGAATTTCATGATGAATTTCCTGATGCATCTCATGTTGAATCTTATGATTCATTTCATGATGCATCTCGTGATGAATTTCCTGATGCATTTCATGATGAATTTCCGGATTCATGTCGTGTTGAATTTCATGATTCATTTCATGATGAATTTCTTGATGTATCTCATGTGGAATTTCACGATGCATCTCATGATGAATTTCCGAATTCATTTCGTGAAGAATCTCTTGATTTATTTCATGATGAATCTCTTGATTTATTTCATGATGTATTTCTTGATTAATTTCGTGATGAATTTCCTGATTAATTTCGCGATGCATTTCCTGATTTATTTCGTGATGAATATCTTGATGCATTTCATGATGAATTTCTTGATTAATATCGTGATGGAGCTCTTGATTTGTTTCATGATGAATTTCATTTTGTATCTCTTGATTGATTATCATTTCAGACTCATCTGCCATGAGATCTTGTGGTGAAGTTGAATTATTTTCGCACTCGAGTTGATAAATTTGTTCAGCAGTGAGTTGAGAAAATTGATCTTTATTAAATTGATGAATTGGTTGCTCTTCTGATGTTTGTGATAATTCTTCCGAGGTTTGAGAAATTTCATCAGACAAACATTCAATTTCTTCATTAGGATTTGGATTTATATTTTGCATTTTGTCCCAATCGGGAATTTCCTCGTGAATTTGTATATTTTCATCTTGTACTTGTAATTCGATTGTTTGGGGAATTTCTTCATTTTGTGAAATTTCACAATTCTGTGAAATCTCAATACTATGTAAAATTTCATCATCTTGAGAAATTTCTTCAGTTTCTTCAATTTGCTCCTCTATTTCTTGATTCACTGGTTTAATTTCTTGATTCTTTTGTCTCGATTCATTCTTTTGTTTCAATTCTTGATTCTTTTGTCTCACTTCCTGTCTCAATCTCACTTCATGATTCTTTTGCCTCAATTCATGGCCCTTGTGTCTCATTTCCAAACTTGGAGCTACTTCTTGATTTTCTGGACAAACTTGTTCAATAACTGGAACTTCATGATGAATTTCTGTTGAGACAATTTCGTCTTGTTCTGTTGGCTCTTGAACAGAATTTTTTATGATTTCATCGGGATTTATATTTACATTTACTGATTCTAAATTCTCATCCTCCAAAATTTGTACAGTGACATTATACTCGGGTAAATTTTGTTGAATATCCTGAGCACTGGGAACATTATCAGGAACGTCAACAATTGTCTCCGGAACACAAATATTTTCCTCCATTTTCTCTTCTGTAACAGTGGTAAGACAACGGGTATTTTCTGGTATTACTTGATCCACATTCATCTCGGGCCGCAAACGAAGACTCGAACGTGTCACTGCACCAACTGATCTCGGTTCAGTACAATGGAATCCTGATCTTAATTTTGGTTCTCGTTTTTCGCCCCAAATTGGCTCGAAGTGTTTCAATTTCCATGGATCCAATTTATTCTTGTCTCTTTCTGCTTCCATTTTCAAACGTTGCTGATTCTCGGGAGTGAATTCACCTTCTGCGAGTCGTTTTCGCCATTCCAAGCAGGCCCTTGCGAAAAATTCATTATTCAATCCTGAGATGGCTGCATCCTTTAAGAAAAATTTAACATCGATATAGAAATTATTGTATATTGTATAAAATTATTCAGAAACGTTTCTATTTATTGATTAAAATTCTTTTTACCTGTCTGTCGACTGATGGTAATAATTGGGCAAGTTTTCTTTGATATAAAGGAGGAAGGCCTTGAAATGTGTGCCTATTTAGTAAAGCACGTAAACTCGTACTAGCGAGAATACTAGCTGGAGATTCGAGATCAACTAATCCTGCTTCCAATTGTGCTGCCGCTGATAACCTTTTAGTAGAACGTCTTCGTCCTGACTTTAAACTGAATCCTGGCAAACTGGCTAATACTTCTCGCATCGTGGCAGCAGGTTCTTCAACAACTATAATTCATTTTTATTTTTTTTCAATAATTTCTTTAAATAATTTTCTTATCAATATAATTGGAATCATCCAACATAATTGGAAGATTTATTTTTATATTAAATATTCAAAATTGACATTGAAAATATTTAATCAAACTATTAGTTGAAATTGAGATATTTACGATGCTGAAATTCACAACGTTTATGATCAACAATTTTTAAAGATTTTTGAATTATATTTTTTAAAAATAACTAAATCGCAAAAGATTTTAAATTTGAAATAAATTTTTTGCAAAATTAAATTGCTGTAGTTATTTTTAGTTTCTGACAACAATTATATTATCAAGTTTTTATTTGAAATTTTTTTAAAAATATTAAAATTATTAAAAATAATTGAATTTTGGAAAAGTTACAGTTGAAATTTCCAGAAATAATTGAATTTCAAAAGTTTTTTTTATTAAACAATGCTTTCAGATAATTTAATTTTTAAAGAATATTATAAAAATTATTAAAAATAATTGAATTTTGAAAGAGTTACAGTTGAAATTCTTAGAAATAATTGAATTTCAAAAGATTTTATTAAATTTCAGACAATAATTAAATTTTACAGAATTGGAAATAATTTATTAGATATAATTTTAAACAATCTATTTTAAAAATAAAATAATTTGCATTTTATAAAAATTAAATTTCAAATAATTTTGAATTTTCGAAGATTTAAAATTCAGATTTTTGAAAATAATTGAACATTAAGTGATTTTTGTTTAAAATTTTTTAGAAATTACAGACAAAAATTGAAATTCAAAAGTTTTAATTTGAAAAAAACTTCCAGACAATTGGAGTTTTTAAGATTATTATAAAAATAATTGAATTTAGGAAAAATTATAGTTGAAATTATTAAGTTTCAGACAGTTTTAGATGGAAAAAATTATGAAATTTTTGAAAATGATTAAATTTGTGAAGAATTTTATTAAAATTATTAAAAATAATTAATTTGGAGAAGAATTTTAGTTAAAAATTTGTTAAATAATTGAAATAAAGGAGATCTAAAGAAGATCTGCATTCTATACTAAAAAAACACGAATTTCGTTTTAAAATTTTTATAAAAACTGTAAAGAAAAGTCGTATAAATCCAAGGCCTGTGTTATTATACATAAACTTTTTTTTACGATACACGTCATGCGTGTGAATGTAAACATTATTTTGACATAACCAAGAAAATTTTACAAGAAATGTTCAAACAATATGAAAAATTTCAAAATGTTATTAAATTTACAAACAAAAGAATAATTATCAATAGTATTCAATTATCAAATTAAAGAAAGACATTTATTTATATTTTTTCTATCTGTTCTTGAATAAACAAAAAAAAGTTTCAAATTCGATAGAAATAGAAATAAACAAAAATACATGTTATTGTTTATAATTACCAGAATTAATATGCGGTATATTATTGACAGGCGAGGGTGGATCGTTGGGAGGTGGTGGTGGCAAGGGTTTGACGACAATGCGTGGCAAAGTACGAGAATTTCCAGCTGCAATTGTTGTGTTTTTTCTTCGTCGTTTAGCTTGTTGACGAAGTGCATGTTTAATGACTTTTTTACTATGGACCATGCTCGAATAACCAGAGCATCCTGGCCCAGTTTCACCACCCCCATCCCCCTTAACAACGTCGATGTCCGCCTCCATGGTTCAACAAGATGCTACCATCACTCTTATTGTAGTTAAAAACATTTGTGAATTTAATCTTGATTCATTGCAATATTGTTTTGTTGTTCATTTCGTTGAATGTTGAACTCTAAATAAAGACTCACGAGAAAATTTCCATCACGAGCTCAAATACAAGACACAATAACATTGTCTTTCTACGACTTTCGGCACTGCATTTCGCGAGTTAAAATCACTGAACGAGGTTAGGTTCTATGTAAACTTATAATCTAAGACTTTAATGACGAGAAAAATAATTTAATTTCGATACTTGTTGATTGAAAAAATGCAAGTTTTGTCAAAAATTAGACAAACAAAACACCTATTGAAAGAACTTGCGTGTTATGTCTCGGCCATATTTACCTATTTTTTTGAGAACTGAAAAAATCCCTAGAGAAAAATTGGACAAATTCTTTATTTTTATTGACTTTTCTACCAATTGCGTGCTTGTAGAGTTCGACAATTGAAGAGTATCCTTAAGGTCGTTTTCTGATTGGTCAATAGTAAAAAATTGTATTCCACCTGGTGGTAATTATATAAACTATATTTTATTCTGCTAAAGGATAAAATAACCTTAAATAATTTTTTTTATAAACAATATAAACTAAAATTATTAAAATAATACGAACAGTACTATAAGTATAGTAATTAACTAGTATTTGTACTATGAATGTTATCTACTGAATGTAAGGGTTTAATTTTCTTAAAATAATGTTTTTATGTGAAAAAATCTTTTTTTTTTATTTATGTTTATTGTTGCATTTTAAATTAGTTTTTGAAAATATTGGATATAATTTAACAATGTTTAAGAGTTTTAATTTAGAAAATTACCATTTTTTTTTTGTAGGAAAAATGAATATTATCTCAAGAGTCACACAGCATTTAACAAATAGTTTATTTTCAAGAGTAATAGTAAAAAGTAACGAGGCACACAATATTCACAGTTTATGCAATAAAATAACAAGAATTGGAGAAAATGTACAACAAAGTTCTATAAATTCAGGATCATTGTTACAACCAAAATTACCACTTCTTCATCAATTATGTGGGATGAAATATAAAGTCGCATTGCGATTACGTTGTAAAGGATGTTATTTTGTACATTGTAAAGGAGTAAGGTATGTAAGATGCAAATTGAAACCAAGACATAAACAAAGTTCTTTTTCTCCTAAAGAAAAACATACCTGGATATGGACATCAATAACGCAAAGTAAAAAAAGAGAATGGTAGAATATATAATTGGAATAATATCTGAATTATTAATTAATAATAATTCTATTGAGATTGTAAATAAATGAAATACAAATATTTAAATATTGTTTTAAATTAAATAATATTTTTTTTTAAAAATCACATTTTCTAATAATACAAATACATAAAACTAAATTATTTTTAACTTTTATGATAAATTTGATTTTAATCTTTCGTTAAAAACAATAAAATCTATTGCATAAATTTTGGTATAGGTAAAGTGTAAGGTAGTATTGTGTCCTTTGCATGTCCGTTTAGTAAATATGTAAATGATCCTGAAATTCTTTTGTCCATCCAAGAATCTCTTTGAACTTCACTTAAGGAACCAGCCCAAGCCTTTAACAAAGTGTAAATATTTAATTGCAATATTTAAATTAATATTTCATCTCGAGATTCTTAAAAAAAAATATTTAAAAAAAACGTTTTTTCGTTCTTTAGAATTTTATCAAATACTTGAATATATTTAAAAATTTTTACGCTTATTAAAATTATTAATTTTTATTATAAAAATACCTTTTCGTTGTGATCGGCCCATTTATATAACAAAAGAAGTTGATATTTATTGGCCAATTTTTTGGTTTTTTTCAAAAGATTGAAGCCCTTTTTTATTTGAAAACGAACCATGAAGTAATAAGCTCTCATTAAATAATATCTGCGAAATAGAAAAAATTTGAATTCTTTATTATCATTATTTAATAATAATTGAATATTTTAATATTCGAAATAAATATATATAAATTCTATGAACCTGCAGCAAAGAACTTTGATAATTTTTTGCAATTTTTTGAGAAATTTAAATAATTCTCGTATCTCTTCAAGAGTTTCAGCTGCTGCTTCTGCATTTCTATTATCAACTTTATTTACTAGAATAAAAAAAAAATTTCCTTAGGAATAATATTTTTTTCATTTTGATTTTACAGAATTTTACCATAAAGTATCAATAAGCCTTCAACTCTTTTTAAAATTGTAATTGCTGATGAAATTGTATGTCCATCCATTATAACATCGGTATTAGCAACTCTTCTATTTTTCCAAACTGTTGCAATTTCCCAATCACCTCCTCTCACATACCTGTAGTAATTCTGTTTTTTTTACATGAAAAATATATTTTAAAAAAATTAAATTAATTAAAAACAAACCAAAGCCACATGCAAGTAAAAAATCGTCTTTCTGCCTCTGGATCTCTCAAATTTAACATAGTATCACTTTCTTCTTGAAAAAATTGTTCACATTTATAAAATGGAATAACTGTTATACTTGCTTCTAAAAGAACATCAACACAAAGTGCATAATACCAAGTTTTTCCCGATTTATCCATATCGCTATTGGAAATCATTTCTATTATCAAAATTAAATTTTCAATTAAAAATATTTATTTTTAAAAATTATTATAAAAAAAAAAATTATAATATTTTACCCATTTCGTTTAATAAATAAATAGCTTCATCATTTCGACAAGTTACTAACATAACTTGAATAAGTCTTGGCAATATTGTTAATTGTAAAATAGTTGATCGAACAGTCGCAGCAATTCTGTTTCCAATAAATCCTAAATTGCAAGATTTCAAAGTCATTCCACGTAGCCATCGAGAGGAGAATATTCCCGAATAAAGTTCACCCACTGCTTTCAATTCTTGCAATTCAAGAGCATCTTTTCTTTGACTACAAATTCTCAAGCCATCATTTTCCAAATGTGAAATAATATTTCTGTATTAAATAATTTGAGAAAATATTGAAAAATAATAATATATATAAAAAAAAAGTTGAGGTAATTTTTAATTAAAAAAAAAAAAAAAAATTATTCTGTAAAATAGGAAAAAATTGATCAAACCCGAGATCGATATAATTAGCCGTGACCATCACATTAGCGTAAGCAGTGCAGAGAACAAAAAAATCTTTACTCGATTCAAGAGCAACAATTAATCCCCAAATTGCAGCCAAATGTGCATGAATAAACATTCCTTTCAACTAAAAAAAAAGAAATTTTATTTTACCAAATCTATTAACCGGTGATTTTTTAATATAATAAAAATAACAAAACATAATTAAATTCGCATTTGAAATATATACCCTGAATATAATGAACATTTGGGCGAGACAATTGGCGAATTGATCGACATAATCAGCTGCGATGCCATCTAAAATTCCCACTTTACATGGTCTAAACCAAGTGAGAATTTTCTTTAATTTTTTAAGCATTATTGCTGTTTTTGTTTTAATCATAATTCGACTTTTTGGAAAATAATATCCCATTGTCTTCACAGCCAAATTAAAACAAGTTTCAGCCTCGGTTATAAGACCACTTTCAAGAAAACATCTTCCTTGTAATGTATAAATTTTACCCTTTAAATAGGGTAGAGTTATTAAACCATCTTTTATGGTTCCGTACATCTATTGAAGAAAGATTGTTTTTTAAATTCAAATTTTTTATTTTTCTCAATTTGGAATATTTACAAACCTCTTCTAAAATTAATTCTCCTTCATTAACTAATTTTCGAGCTTGAGGAATATTACAAGTGGATATGCAAACATCGGTAAATTCAAGAATTGCTGTTAATAATTTACTTTTCATACCTGAAAATGCATTTTAAAAAAAAATTTAATTTATTTATTTATTTATTAGGAATTTTAGATTTTTTTTTACCCATTCCCCGACAATGGTCCACCATTTGAGAATAAACTGTTAAAAGAATCATGTTACATTGACAATTACTAAAATCCATTTGAGAAAATGATCGTGTTGGAACTTTTTCAACTGATTTGCAAATTGTTAAACAGGACGTTGCCAATTTTCTTGTCATTGTTTTTCGTCGTTCTAGAAATTTGAAAAAAAAAAAAAAAATGAAAAAAGAATTCGTTTTAAAAGAAAAAAAAAATTTTATTCTCACTAGTGTTATTATAAAGTGCTCTTGATGGATTAGGAGAATAGGACTGAGTTTCCAGTAGATGATCAATCACATCTAAAGTGTCACGAGGAATTGTTTCTTCCACTGTTGTTTCGCCCAAGAGTTTTGCAAATCTTCCCTCGCCACACGAAACACAACGTCTTGTTGTTCTTTGAAGATATTTTAATGCCTTATTATGGAATTCGACCTTTTGATTTTCCGTCAGAAGTCTAAATTCAATTGATTTAAAAATTAAACTCTTTTTTGGTATATTATTTATAAATTATACATTTCAATTTTTTTTTTGTTCAAATAAAAATAAAATTTAAATAACTGATAGTTTTTTTTTAAGTTTGGAGAAAATAAATCCAATCTAATAAAATTTAAATAAAATAAAATGAAAATAATAAAAATTAAAGTTAAATGTTGAGGTTTTTTTTATAAATTCAAATTTTGTTTTACTTGTAAGTTGTTTCTCGAAGTAAAGTCATTTTGAATCGCATTAATCGACACGAGGCATATTTTGGTAAATCTACCAAGGATTCTGTTAGAATAAAAAATATTGCAAAATTCATTAAATTAATTTAATTAAAATTTATTTTTAATTTTATCTCAAAATTTTGTTTCACAACCATCAATTTCAAATCCTAAGCAACCACATCGAACTTCGATATCAAAAATTGAACCTTGCAAATTTTTAAAAAATATTAGAGGCCCAGGACTTCGGTTAAAATCGCCGACAGCACATCCCAATAATCTCATTTCAAATAATTTTGAAACAGCTGCAAAAAAAAGTGCAAAACAATATTTAAATAATAATATTGATAATTCATTTCAGTTCTTACTAATTGCAATTTCTCTTTGAGCTATGCCATGCATTAAACTTTCCATCATTTTTCGATCGATAGTCTCTCCCAAGACAGCAGCACATTTTAAAAGAAGTTGATCAAGTGGACTTAATGAGTCAAAAAGTTTCAGAATTATCACTAAAAGAAAAAAAATTCGATATTTTTAAATTTATTCAAATCAACTGAATATTTCGAAAATTTTTCATCAAATTAATTTTATTTGTTTATTAATTTAATGTTAATTTAATATTAATTTTAAAATTAAATTTTTTTTATATATTATTAATTTATACTTTTTTTTTTTAATTTACCATCTATTGTTACCTCAGTGCCTAAATCTTCAGTGCCTAAATCTTCAGTGGCAAATTTTTTTGTCAAAACACAAACTGTGATTAATTTTTCATCCACTTCCAATTTGTTCTTTTCAACTTCCACATCACTTTCCTAAAATGAAAAAAATAATTCAAACTTATTTAATTGAATTTATTCGGAACTAAAATATTTAATAATTAAAAAATTGCCTTAAAACTGTTGCCGTACATTTTCCACGGATTAAGTTCATTTTTATGACTGATTATCGGTATTGTAGCATCTGGTAGTATTTGTCTGTTAATTTAATATTAATTTTAATACGACAAATTATTTCCGAATTAATTCGATACTTGCATTATTAAATAATTTACATGATTAATGAATTATTTATTGCAGTAAAAAAAAAAATAACAAACCTTATTAGCATTTCTTTTGGAGGAAATACAAGACCTATATTTATAACATCAGTTTTTGATACATTTTTTATGCATATTCCTTCTGATTGTTCTAAACTGACAAGATAGCTTTCTATCCATCCAGGATTGCCCAAACTTTTTTGTTGAATTGTTCTAAAAAAAATAATTTTAAACAATCATATTTAAGAAAAACCATTTACGGAATATAAAAATTGAAATTTTATTTAATTTACTTTTCAAGTTCCGCCGGAATAGCTTGGCAATTTAGAAACTGACAAGCGAGACCAGCGTGAAACCATCTCTTCACACCCAAAAGATCAATCGTCTAAAACGATATCAAAAATATTGAAAATTCAATTAATTTTTTTTTAAATTATTAAATTATAATTAAATTATTAAAATAATTTATTTTGAGAACAGTTAATTTACCTGTGTTCTTTCTATAATTTCCTTATGAAATGAATAAGGATTTGTGACCTTTTGCCCAGAGCCAATGACAAATAAAATTAAATCCAATTTTATTAGAGTATTTAACAAAGAAATTGATTCTCCATCGGCATATTCAATATCGTCAATAAAAATAACCCAAAATTTTTCGAAACAATTATACATTAATATAATGAGTACTTTTCGTAAGAATCGTTGTTTTTCTTTTCTTTCTAGCTCTCTAAATTCGGCACTTATTTTAAAATCTACCTTAAATGGCTCATTAAGAACGCATAAATATTCTACTTCTTGAAAATTCAATAAATTCTGAAGCAATTTATCCATTCGATCTTTTACTGATGAATTTTCCGTCAGTCCCATTGTAACAGAAAATATTAAATAAACAAGTCTAAATGGAATCTATAAGAAATAATTGGAAAAGCAAAATAAAATTCATCAAGATTAAATTAAAATTAAATAATTAAAATAAAATTAAGTTAAATAAATAATTTGAACAATTAAATTAAATAATTAAAATTATTAAAAGAAGAAAAATTATTAAAAAAAAGGTTTGTTAAACATAATAAGAAAATTTGAATAATATTGAATTAATTAGTACCTTGCCGTCGTTTAAGCCAAGAGATATAAAATTGAAAGAAATATTCGATGGAACTAATTGTGTAAATTCGTCCATTAATCTTGTTTTTCCTATTCTGGATACACCTCTAAAAATTACGAAAATTGAATTTATAAATAAATTACATAAAAAAAAATTTTGTAAATAATTAAATATATATATAATAATTATCAAATAAACTAATAATAATAAAATTATTGCAAAATACCTGCCTTACAATTAAGATACTTTTATTAGGTCTCGTATTTTTATTTCTCCTTTCATTGCGCGATAGCAATAAATTTTGAAGTAAATTTTTGAAAATCTTTAACTCTTCATCTCTTCCAAGAAGAGGATATTTACTTGGCATCAATTTTGATCCAGATTCTCTAAATTAGTTTATTTATGTGATACAAACAGGAAACAATATTTAGAAAATTAAATGTCCGTTTAAATAAAAAAAGGTAATTAAAAATTAACATACTGCGCTTGCTCTAGAAATTCATAAACAGGACCAATATTTGTTATGCCTTTGAGTTGTTTTACTTCTTGCAAAACAAAATGTCTCGCCTCTAAATGTGAATGAAGAAAACTATCTCTGTCGCAAACTACCTGCAAATTATCAAAACAAATAAAATACAAATTTCATTCAAGAATTAATAATTTATCACTCGTATTTTAAATAATAATAGAGAAGATCGATATATTCTCTATTATTATTTAATTAAAGAAATGTTAAATTATTAATTTTCTTTTATTTGTAATTTTATTCTAAATGATATCTTTTTTAATATAAAACAAATTTTAACTTGCTTTGTCGGTGTAAGTACACATAAGTCGAGCTGCTTTATTAACAGCCATACCAATCACAGTGTATTCTCTTCTTAAAATATGACCAACAACACCACAATATGTAATTCCAGTTGTTACTCCAACAGTCACTGATGCAATATTTTTCAATTCAATTAAACTTTGTCTTATTTTTGAAGCACAACGTAAACCAATTTGAGATTCTAATTCGTGTTTGTCGCCTCGTAATCCAAAAATGCAAAGGAACATAAGATCCTTATCGAAGAGAGAAGTTTTGTTCACACATCCTTGCATTTCACTCACGATTCTAATTTACAAATGAAAAAAATATATATAGAAAAAATCAAAATAGAATAAAATTAACTAAAAGAATTTGGAGTGAAAAATAGCGAGTTTTATAAGGAAAAAAAAATAAATAAAAAAAAATAAAATTTTGTTGATAATATGATTAATAATTTTTGAAATTAATCATCAGGATCAATTAATTACGTACTCACAAATTAAAGTATACGTATGATTGACAAGACGAATTAATCGCATTTTATTGACATTTTTCGTGATTACGTTGACAAAAACTATAACAACTTGTCTCATTTCTGTTAAATATTCCATTGGTTCATCCAATTCGACTGATCGAACAACCGGCCTTGGAATGTAACTGCTAAGTGCGTTTTTCAAACGATTTTTTGCAACTTTTATCAATTTTGGACGAACTTTGAAAATGTTTAAACTACTTAAAATTATTGTTACAAAAAAATACATATAAATAAATAAATAATAATAATAATAAATAATCAAATAATTAATTTTAAATAATGAATAAATAAAGTCAAAAATGACTTCTTAATTTAAATGAAAAAATATTTTTTTTGTCAAAATATTTGTTACTCACGACGATAATCAATTTGCTCCAAAGGAGTCTGATATTGTTTTTCAATACTCATGTCATATCTTGAAATGAAATCAACATTATATTCAAGTCTCAGAGAATCAACATGTCTATGAAATTCTTCATGTTCAGAATCCGAAGCTAAGGAATATTTTTTTTTTTGTTTTTCATTATATAAATTATAGAAATTTTTTTTTAATCATCTAAATGACTAGATAAAATTTTATATTGATAATCTTACGAGTTGTATCTTCAAAATCCCGTTTACTGGCACTTTCATATAAAACAGGACACGCCAAAATGAGAATATGAATTCCGTCCGGTAATTTTGTGTAAATATAATCAGTAGGATTGGCCCATTTCCAACAACTCGGAGCCACTATAATATCTCCACCTCTAAAAAAAACACAAATTTTTCTTATAGTTTATATTGTATTAAATATATAATTTTTTATTGACAAATTACCTGCATAAAGTTTCAGCATATTTTACATCCCAAACAGGTTTCCCCGTAATGATATAATAAGAGGATAATGTAGCTTTTCCAATTGATGTAAAACTCGTTTTTCCTGATGCAATTGCTAATTTCACTGAATAAATTTTAATATTAAAAATTTATAATTTATAAAATTAATTAAAATAATAATTATTGTATTTATTAATAATATTTTTAATAAGTTTTTAAAGTACCTTTAAGCGTCACTCCAACGTCGGTTTCAAAGGTACCAAAATGTTTCTGAATAACACAGGCGGTTTGCATTGCTTCAACTGCAATGTCCTGCATTGACATTCCTTCTTGTAATTTCCACATTACGATTATAGCATCTCCGGAAAATTTCAACACATCACCACGATGAGAGAGAATTTCTTGGACCATAGAACCAATGTAGGTATTTAAAATTTCAGTCAATTTCGATGGTCCTCCTTTTCCAAATTTAGTGTATTTTTCCGTCAAATCAGTGAAGCCTGCATTAATAATTTTTTTGAAATATATATTATTTTATAAATAGCTTTTCGGTTAAGAATTTTTTTTTTTTTTGTAAAGTAATTTTTTAATATTGTTTTTTCATCAATAAATAAGCGAAAAACGATTATAAAATTAAATAATAAATAATAAAATGAAAATTTAATTTCTTGTAATAAGGAAACGAATTATAAATACAAAATCAGTAATAAATATTGCAAACGTACCTGAAACATCGCCCAACATTAAAGTGGTGTAATAAGATCTTGTCTCATAATCGTCATAATAATCTAAAATTTCATCGGGACACATCGAAGCAAATATTGTAGTATGTCTTTCTATTTTTAATCCATGTAATAAGCGTCTGGATCTTCTGTCACTATTTTGACTAGATTCAGCGACTATTAAGTAATTTATATATTCAATTCTCATTATTTCTAAGATTTATAATTTATTATTTTTAATTTTTATAATTTATATTCAATTCTCGTTATTTCTGAGATTTATACTTTTTTTTTTTAAATTTTTATAATAAAAAGAAACTAGTTCGAATCTAGTCGAAAGAAATAAATATGAATATTTAAAAACAAAATAACCTTTTTATTTTAAAAAATTAATAAAAAGCGGTTTTAAGAAAAAGCAATTATTTTTTATACTTTATTATTGTTTTTAATTTATAAAACTTACTCGCATCTGCAAATCTAATTCTCGAAACGTTCGATTCTGCGATATCTTTGTCTTGCTTTGACATTTTTAAAAACTTATTTTTTAAAATAATTTTACGATTTTTACAATATTTTATGTCAAAGAACAATTTACAAGTTAGTTATAACAACGATTTTCTTATGTTTTTTATATATATTTTTTTAAATAAATGAAAATTTAAAACGAAAATATAGGTACGTATTAAAAAAGGTAAATAATAATTTTTTTTTTTTATAAATTTCAAAAACTAATATATTTTTATTCTCTCAAAAACATATTTTTCACAAGTCTTTTCTTTATGTCGATTATTAAATAAACGAAATTTATATTAAAATAATGATGATTGCACACAATAAAAAATGTGCCTGATTTTTACAATGATTTGCAAAATTCTCACAAAAGATTTTTTATTAGAAATTGTACTAAATATTAGTTTTATACTAATTAATTATTGTTATTATCGTAAAAAATTTAATTTAACTAAACTTTTTTTTTACGATTTCTTACTTTGTATGTACAAAAAAAAAGGAGACAAAAACCAATTTTCGCTTCTACAACAAATAGAATTTTATACAAATATTCCGTGTAAAACATTTAAATGATCAGAAGTAAATATAAACTAAAAAAAAAAGCCAAAGCTTTTATAAATTCTTTAACATTTATTATGGTCGATCGTATTATTGAAAAGAATGATCATCCATTGGATTGTGAATTTGCTCGACATTTGAAGCAACAAAAACTTGCGACTTTGATGTTATCGCCGCCTGTAAAATCACAAAAAAATTAATATAATGTTATTATTTATTAATTAAAAATTAATAAACTTGTATTTCAGTACAAATTATGCAACCATTTTTTATGATTGTAAAATAACTTCGAACATAAAAAATATAAAAACTATTTTAGATAATTAAGATATAAAATATTTAATTTTCAATTATTTGATTTTGTATTTTAATTTTTCTTTTTCCCTGAATAACAATTTTTTTTATTTATATTTTATATTGTTTTTTAAATGCCAATTTCACATGTAAATGGAAAAATACATTTTTTAGGAAGCAGATAAAGTTGGATTAGTTTTCTGCGATTATTTAAAGTAAAATTTTCATATGTGATTTCTTTGAATAAATATTCCCTGACTTTTCACTAATTTGCGGGTAAAAAAATAAAAATTTTCAAAATGTAACTACTTTCACAATATTAACTATTTTTCATCGCCATTTTTTTACGAGCTTTTTTTAATAATTTTTTAGAATCTCTTGTATGGATTTTCAAAAATTTGAGTTAAATTCAAAATTTTAAATCAAGTAATAAAATTAAAATTATTACCTGTGTTACAGTAGATGTGACGTTATGACTGGTACCAGGCATACAAACGACCACCAATTTAGTTCCAGGAGAAGGCAAATGCGGTTTTTGTTGTACAGGAGTTCCTTGAGTAATTTTCACCTGTTGCGGTTGTTGCTGTTGTGTCACTTGCTGCGGTGTTGTAGGTGCATTCGAACTTAATCCCTGCGAAGTTGAAGATTGCCGAGATTGCAAAATTACGTATTTACCAGTTGACGAAGGTCCAGCGCTTCGACTAGGATTCAACATAATTGTACGATTCGCTTGAGGCGTTGCAGGACTTGGATTAGATACTGCTATATGTTCTAAAATTTTTTTTTATTATTAACAAATATTCATTATTATTCCAAAAAAAAATATTTATAATTTTTATTTGAACTTTATTTTATAAACAATTAAATTGTTATAAATAAGGGGGAAAATATAAAATCATAATTTATAAATTATATTCCAATTACCTGTTTGAATAATTGTTTTTCCAGTGCTAATTGTATTTTGCTGTTGATTAGTTGTTAACGCAGTTGTTGAAGGTGTTGTTACAATTGTAGTTGGTTGCGTTCTCGCTTTGGCAACAGCGGCACACAAAGACGGTCCAAGATAGCCGAAATCTTGTTTATATTCTTCAACAAAATCTGGCGGCGGTCGAATTGTTTTCAATACAGGAGCTACCGATTTCTATCGAATAAAATTCAATTATAATTTTCATAAATGAAAACTAATCAATCTATAAATTTAAATATATTTCTACGTACAACTAATAAAGTTTTAATATGACCGGCAGCATTTTTATCGATAGTTGAAAGTCCAATGCCATCAATACTCGCTTCAATTCGTTCTGAAATGGTTTTGATTTTAGGTATAACCAATGCTTTCACCACTTCTGGTCCTAGTTCACAAAGACCGTCAATTGCACCATACAATGAAGCCAATGGTGTCTGAAATTTGTTTCCCCTCATTATTTAATGGAACTTTTAATTTTTAATTTATTCAAACATACCTGATTACTTTTTGTCAATGCTTGACTAAACATACGAGTTACTCTAGTTTGAACATTATTTGTTGAGGTGTTGAAATTTTTGCATATTTGTGCCATTAAACGAGACGCGAAGTCTCTAAGTGCCCAATGATTATCCATTTCGGGTCTCATACAAAGTTGTTTTGTTACTATACAAGTTGCGACCGATGGAATGAGTTCGTGGAGCTGTAAATTAAAAAAATGTAAATTTTTTAAACGTTCAAAGACAAGATTTTTTATTTTAAATTTCAAAATGATTGAAATATTTTCAATTTAAAAATTACTTACATATTTTTCTAGATAAAGACTTTGATTGTCGAGTAGCGCTTTAACCATACGCATAAGATAAATTAAAATAGCGAGATTGTTTTGCACTACATTAACTCGAACACCTTCGGCAATAAATGTGCACATTCGTGCTAACATTTCATGTAAGCCAGGATCAGCTGAAAGCGATTGTAATGCTTCAGCTCGACGTGCTTCATCGGAACCAACGCAAGCTTCTGTTATTTCTTTATAATACAATTGTTGTTCCACACTCAATTCATGAGTTGCTAATTGTTTCACATGAACAGTTTCAACATTTCGTAGTTTTTGACTTTTTCCACCACCACCAGGTTTTCCAACACCTGTATTTTGATTTGTATTGGTCAACTTTCTTGTTGGATCGACACTTTCCAATTTTTGAATATCTGAAATATGCCATTTTTTTTTATATTTTATATATTCTATCCAAACATTTGTGATAAATTTATTAAATTTTGGTTAGAAAATGAATATTATTTTTAAAAAGTATTCTCATAAAAATCAAAGCTTTATGCTAATTTTTTGTGAATAGAGAAAATTTTTAAATAAAAACGAATAAACTTACCTTTAGAAACAGGAGGTGGATTCTCAGGAATAGTCGGTTGTATTCCATCTATACAAAGCCAATGAGATCGTAAAGTTACTTCTAAAGGTAATTTAGGCCAACTTTGACCGCCCGAGGTAGATAGCACTTCATTTAAATCAATTTCCTTCTCCTCAACAAAATGTAATTCACGACCACCGCCAGATGCAAATCGAAAGGGAATATGATCCTTGGCAAAAAATCCATAAGTTGGCTCGATATTTTTAATTTTCAAAGCATGATCAATATCTTGAGTTGACATTCGTTGACGTTTTCCATGACGCATAAATTTTGCCGCATCCTATTTATTCAGAGAAAAATAAGTTGTCAACAATTATTTGCTTCCTCCAATTTATTACATTTTAAATTACAATAAAAAAAAAATAGTTTTAAATTAAATTATTAAAATACCTGTATAATTTCTTTAAGCTTATAGCTCACATCTTCTGCCAGATCTTTTGCAGCTTCATCGGGTAAATTACCAATACCAATACTTTCAGCAATAACTTTCATTGACTCCTGAGATAATGTTGTCCCATACACAGATTCGTGTTCACTCATTTTGAGACCGTATTTTTCTGACCGACCCATGTGGTTTAAAGCTTTATGACTCTTTTCAATCTTATTTTGTTTCATTAACTGTAAAATAATTCAAATATTTCAAGTACCCTCCAAGTATAACTAAAAATACTCTAGAAAAAATCTAACCTCTCGTTTATGGAAAGTTATGAAAATATTAATTACAATTGTTAGAAATACTATAAGAATTCATTCGAAATTGAAAGATATTACTCTTTATAATTTTTAATTCATCGATTGATATAATAGTTATGTTAAAATTCACAAGAAACTGAGAAAAAACATCGTTAAGAAATATAGGTTAAGTTTTAATTTACTTACTCGTACTTTATGCGTTTCATTTTTATTCTGGCTTGTAGACTTATTTTTTTATTTCCTCATTTTTTATTTTTCTTTTTTATTTTATATTTATTTATTTATTTAATTTGTTTAACGAACATTAATCATACGTATGCACAAAATAATATGAGGCTCCTCAAGCATAGAAAAATAAGCCTGATTTTCTGGAAAATTAATAATTCTTCAACTTGGATTAACCTCACTAGCGGTTCCTAGCGGAAAACTCTTCTAAGCTCTAAAATTAAATGCTGGCGCGTATCAAGTAGTGAGATACCCCAAAAATACATTTATCGTATTTTTTTTTGTAATATTTTCAGTTTCTTGTGTTTAAAAATTTATATCAATTTCAAAACTTGTTTTTACAGTTATTATAAATCCACAGAGTAAATATATCGTCTAATTAAAAATTAATTTGGAAACCAACAGGGTTAAGTAACTTATAATACTTGGAGTAGAATTGACCAATCAGAAACAGTTATTAAAAAATCCAATCATCTGATTGGTCAAATTTGTTCAACTATTCCTACTACTTTCGCGAAACTATTGTAGATTGGCTTTAAAGTTTCCCAGAAAAAGCAGACGTCGCTGGTCACAAATCAACACAAACAAAATTCTGTCAAAAATCTAACTACTGTTTACATTTATTTTATAATTGTTATGTCTTACCTTTGATTCTAATAATACGTTTAATTACAAATAAATAATGTCTCATGTTCAATATATTGATGAATTATTTAAGGAATACCTGCTTTTTAGGGGATTTACACAAACATTAAAATCATTCGATAATGAAGTGAAAATGGAAAAGGAAAAAGGTTTTCGGGTAAGCTGTTATATAAAATAAAATTATTTATTAAAATAATATATACAGCCTTGTGAAATGTTCAAGACAAAAATTGGAAAAATTTTTCGACAATTTTAAGTAAAATCGGTTGTAAAATTTTCAAGTTTTTAGATCCGTAATGTTTTTATTATGTTCTATATTTTATTACTAAATATAAGGTAGTGTTTAAACAACCAATTATTTTTTTTAGAACATAAATTTTAAATTACCGACTTTTTCCTTAATTTATTTATTTAAAGTTACGTTATAAATAAATGTTTAAATAAAATGTTTCTTAAAAATATTTCCATTAAAATTAATATAAATAGTTCAAACTTGTCAAAAAATTGGTTTGAAAAATATTAAAATTTAAAAAAAAATTACTAATAAGTTTATCGTAATAAAAAAATTGTTTTTTGAAAGTAATTAACAATATTTAATTTTTGATGAAACATCACAATTCTGAATTTATATATTCAAAATGAGTGTTAGCTCAAAATTAATGTGCCTGAACTTCTGAACCTTGAAATGAACGAAATAATTTTTTTAGACCTAAAATCTTTTTAAAAATTACTACAGCAATAAAAATAAAAAGATACTTTAACACTTTTAATAAATTATTTATTTTTTGATATAGAAACTAATTTTTTATAATAAAAAAAGTTAAAACTGTGATAGAAATTTTTTTTGTCCATTTGAACATTCAAAACTTCAGGTACATAAAAATTAAAGTTATTATTTTATCACAAAGTGAATGATTTTTAAATTAAATGACTCTCCTCAGGTTGACAAAATTGTTGATCAATTAATGCAGCATATATATAATTATGATCTTTTATCTCTACGTGAACTGTGGGGACATTTAGATAGAAGAATGTTTTTAAGATTGGAAAATCATTTTATACCAGGAATAAAAAAATTAGAAAATTCAGTGCTAAAAATGTATCTTGTTAATGCCGCAGTGAATAACAAACAAGATCGTATTCAAGATTTTTTTATTAAATTGGGATCAGAATTACAAGGACAAGTGGAATGGAAAGAATGGTTTGGTATGTCACTAGTTTATTAACTTCTCTCATTGAGGCAAATTTTTTTAAATTAAATTTTTAAGAAGTATATTTATCACTAATTTTGAATTAACAACTAACAATTAATTATTATGAATTCACAGCACTGCCGTTTGTCAAAAATCCTGAAGATAATCCAATTTATTCCGTTTACTTTAGTCGTCACTGGCAAGAAACTATGCTAGTTTCATTACATAATTTTATTGCAACAATTTTTCAGGTGAATGATAAAAATTATTCTTTTTATTTATAATATAAGAATTATATTTTAATAAATTATATTTTTACTTCTCATCAAAATAAAAGTCTAATATTTTATAATTTTCAGTACATGCATTTACCAACATTACTAACAATCGATGAAGATACAAATAAATTTAAAAGATTACAAGAAGAAAATGATGTTTTGAGACAAATATTAAGTGAACTGACAAAAGGAGAAAGTTTAGCTGATGTAAATTCTGGTTCAACACCTCAGCAACTTCCAATCATGGATGACTTTTATATTATTGCACAGTTCGTATTAAAATTATTATTCTTCTCAAAATTGAATAGTTTTTTAAATTTTAGAATTTTAAATCATCGTAAGATAATAGAAATATTTATTGTACCAAACCTGCAAGATTTGAGAGAATTTAAAATTTATTAATTATTTTGTTATTTATCTCTTATTTTCAGAGAATCTCCCTTACTTGACAATCCTAAATCATTGAAGAGTTTAATTAGAAATATTGGTGGTGGATCGAGTCCAATTTTAAATAGAAAATCTCAATCTAGTGTGAAAAAATTAGGTGATTCTGAAATTGCAATTACGAAACGAACAAATGTGAAAGGAAGATTGACATCTTTGAATAAATCAGAAGTAATTAGTAAAAGAAGTATAAGCTGTGATTCGAGGCTCACTAGAAAAAGAGATTCATCTGTGGACGCTGAAAATAAGATAAAAGAAAGAATAGACATTAATTATTCTCTATTGACACAAGTAATATTTTTTATTTCAATTCATTATTGAAAATTTTGTATTCAGTGAAGTTAATAATTAAAATTTTTTACAGGAAGAATATTTAGAACATAAAACTTCAATTCTTCAATGTAAATGTAATACCAGTGGATCTTGTGTTGCCACTGGAGATGCTGATGGAGTTATTAAAGTTTGGATGCCAACTTCTACGCCAAAGTAAGTAATTACATTAAATTAAATATAATTTTGTAAATATTCATTAATATATTATTTAATGAATTAGATAGTGTTGTAATAAATATAAAACGTTTTACCTTAAAAATTAAATATATCATTCTAGAACAATAGCTACTTTTTCTGCATCAGCTGTAAATTTTAATAAAGCAGTTACATCCTTAGATTGGATATCAAAAAATGAACGTTATTTTATACATGGAGATAATCATGGCCTGATTCAATTACATGATACTCGTGATTGCAAAACAATATGGAAAATTCAACATGAAGGATCGCGTGTTCTTAAATTAATTTGCAATCCTGCGGAATCTAATTTTGTTGTCTCATTGTCAGATTCAAATGAGGGAAAACTACTTTTGTATGATATTAAAACAAAAAAAATTGAACGAACTCTTCCAATGGAAAAGAATTTAAATGCTCTATGTTCAACATTTAATCATAATGGACAACTACTAATTACAGGTCTTTCAAATGGCAATGTATTGATTCACGATCTTAGAAGGAATGAAGTTATTGATAATTTTAATTGCTATTCAAATCCAATTATTGATATTGATTTGGTTAATGATTTTACAAATATTTGTACATTAAGTGAAGATGGTAAATTATGTCAAAGAAGCTTGAATCAAACTAGTAAAGTTTTATGGGAATCGAAGGCTAAAATTGAAAAGAATGTTGTGAGGGGAAAAATTTTTTGCTTTGATCAAAATGGCAGTAATATGTTACTTTGTACACAAAGCGGTGGAATTATTTGCAAGGCAAGTATAATTTGATTAATTCTAAAAATCTTTTAAATTTATATTTACAATGAAAATAAATAAAATTATTTTCATTACATGTAGGTGCCACCATCAAATCAAGGAAAAGTTTTGCAATTGGGGGGACATAAAGGAACATTATGTTGTGATTGGTCTAACAATAATCAAACAGGAATATGTATCACGGGTGGTGCAGAGGGCAAGGCAAGAGTATCTACATTACAAGCTCACTAAATGGTTAAAAAAAAAAACCTACTTTAGATTGCAAATTTTTAATTAATTTTAATCTATAATTATAGTTTTCTTTAGTTCAATGATGTGATAATATTATGTAATATTTTGTTAATTTTAAGTTTAAATTATTTTAATGTATATTAATTTAATATATTTAATTACTTTAAATTGTACTGTAAAACATTTTTACTGAAAAGCTTAGTTAATTTTTGTAAAATACTGATTTTAAAATAAATATTTTTTCTATTGGTGAAAACAATTGAGAATGTATTTTCATGAATTAACTTTATAAAGTTATGAATGAACGTTTGCAAACGTAGAAGTCAAAAAACAAAATTATCAACAGCATCAAAAAAAACTTCAGAGTAATCAAAAAAACAAAAAAATTTCTGTTTTTTGATAATTCCTGATTTTATTTTTTTAAGCAAGGATCAAGTATCTCTGTATTTAAAGTAAAAAAAATCAACAATAGTATTTAAAAATTTATTTATTATTGGATTCTTTACTTTCATTGCAGGATATAATGAGTGGTTTACATTTTTTGTCATTAAGTAAGCCATGTTCTATTAAAAATGCGGCAACGTCATCGGCAAAAAAATCTTCACCCAAACTATCAGAAACATGAATGAAATTTCCTATAACTTGGCCATTTTTATATGCGAGTAAAGCTGGAACACCATCCTTTTTGAAATGTCTACTGACGTTCAAAGAAGATCCTAAAGAGAAATGTTAGATTTAATATTAATTTCTATTAGCGCCCATTTTCAAAATTTAAACATTTTTTTATAAACAAAAATTTATTTTTTATACAAGAATCGATATTTCAAAAAACGATTCTTAATTTTACAAGAGGTCAAATTATTAAAAACAAGCATTGTTACTAGTTGTGAAATAAAAATATGTTACAAAAATAACTTAAAAATAAAAATAAATACGTTACCTAAAATTTTGCAAAATTTAACAAATGGATATTCTTTTGCCAAAGTTATTAAACTTCCATTCATTGCGTCACATCCTGCGACATTTTTTTCATAAATATGAATAATAACCGTAACAAATTTATTTTCATTGTCGATAGCATCTAGAAATTCGTCAGTATTTGTCAAATGAATAACGTCACCAAAACGTAAATTTTCAATTTTTTCAAACATTTCTTTCATTTTTTGTTTTTGATATTCAAACATATAGTCGTCTGTTAACAATTCTAAAATTTCAGGATCAGTTTCCAAATTATTATCTTTCTCTTCATCTAATAAACTGCAACAAGTCATACTGGTTTTCTCTATCATTTCTTTCTGTCTTAGTGTAGCAATATCTTTCTTACTTTTTTCTAATTCTCTAAATCGTTCCCAATCCTATTTGAAAAAAAAATTGAGAACAATAGTAGCATTAATTATTTTATAACAAATTACTATAAAATGAAGTATATAGTCGGACTATACATCTAAACAAGTTGGAAGAATTTTATAAAAATATGACAATTTGCTCAATTTAAGGTTAAGTGGAATTTATTTTCTAAAACTTGTTTGTGCATCATTTTTATCTAAAAAGGGAAATTAAAATAAAATAAGTGGGTTTAATTTACTACAAACATTAAAATTACAAACTTATTTTTACTATTATAGCAACAATTGTTAACTTAGCAGCAATGGTATAATTCATATTTTTTGCTTGAAAAATTAAATCTAAAAATAATTGAACGACTAATTTTTATTTTAAGTTTCAACAAAGTGTTTATACCCGTATAACTCCTTTTGGTCCAGTGTTACAGGACATGCCTTCCCATTTTGATGGTTTTGGATCATTGTATTCACTCCTAACAATTTCAGTTTCAGTTTCTTCGTCACTGGAACTACTACAATAATATTCACGCTGTTCGCCTAATATTTTATCTTCCAATGTAGCCATTATAACTTTATTTTTATTTTCTACACAGAAATTATAAAATCATACTGTATTCTGTCACTTTTTTGTTTTCATTTAAATGTTTATTTCTCTCAAAGCTTATAGGTCAACAAGGTACGCTCTTAAAAAAAAAAAAAAAAACTAATATAGAACGTCCGAAATGTTTCACCCCTTCTCGGAAGTTTAAGCTGCTTCTACAATTTTCTTTTCGTTGATTGGTATCACTGTCACTAGTGTTTTAAAATTCTCGGTAAAATTGAAACCTGAGAATGTAAGAAAGAAAATTGCGGTAAATTACCGAAAAAAAAAGAATTTATGAGAATATTCATTTAAGTGATTGATAATTGCCTTTTTTAAATTTAAATATGTATTTTTATAGTATGTAAGTTATAAATAAACGACCGACATGTTATTAAATGAATAATTTGAACAATGAATATAATAGACTGTAAGGGTGCAGTCCCATGGAGCAGATTAGCAGAATAGATTTCAGCCAATCAAAAGTTAGTCTCTCGCGGCAAATTTTGCATTTCCGTTAGAGACTGTTTTTTTATTGGTCAACGTCTAAGCTGCTAATCTGCTCCATGGGACTGCACCCTAATTTTCTCTGTGTTCTTACTGACAAGATGACAGTCGGGTATATATGCCTGCACTTTTATCATTGTCTAACACGTGCGTCGTCATGGCAACATGTGTGTTAGACAAGGATAAAAGTGCAGGCATATAAATGTACCTGATTCAATATAATAATGTAATATTATATCAATATTAATATATTAATATATATATTATATATTGTAACAAAGATATTTTTCATTATAATAATAATTATACAGTCAGGAACATATGTCTGTACTTTTATCCTCGTCATACACGTTGTCATGACAACGCACGTGTCAGACAAGGATAAAAGTATAAGTAAAAATTCTCATAAATTCTCAGAGAAAAAACGATCCGGTAATTTACCGGTAAATTACCGTAATCTTCTTTCTCTTCTTGACGTAATTTACTGTCTTTAGAACACTAACTGTCACTAAATAGGCATATTTATATATAAACAATAAACACTTTTTGTTATTATTTCGTGTGTAATTAACAAATCGATTCAGAATATAACAATTTTTTACTCTAACAACGAAAATGGAAATACAATGGAAGAAAGAAAATGAGAAATACCTGAGGAGATTTTCTAGATGTTTGCAGGTGGCGCTGCAATTGTTTGGAGATTGCAGTGGTATAGCCGCCGACCGCTGATGCAGTAGCGCGTCGGTCTCCGCCATTTTTAGTTGACGAATTAAGCATCTGTAAAGATCTGCCTGATTGCGTGAAGAAGATAAAAGTGATTTACATAAGTGTCTAATTAATAATATTTCTCTGTGTTCCGGTCATCGGAATTCCGCTATTTTTCATTAACTGAAAAACGGTAAGTGAACGCAAAGTCTCGTGAGTTTCTTATAGAATTATTTGAAGGTGCTTTGAAAAAATGTTATTCGTGTTTACGCTGGGTGTGTCAAAGCTCTATCGCCCCCCCCCCCCCTTACTCCCTTCTGCCATCCCTTTGAAAAATCCCATTCCTCTTTCTTTACCCCTGTATCTGATGCTGCAGTACGCATACTTCTGTCAACTACCACTACTAATTTGACAGAATACGAGATGCAGTGCACGCTTCGTCCCTTTGTTGTGTGATGCGTCGCCTACGCTTTAAACCCTTCCCTTACTAAAAAAAATCGAACCGACTTCTCTCACATTTTGCAGACTCCACTTTCTCATCTTATAATAAAAAAAAACATATTCACTTTTCTTTTGTTATTCTTTTGTTAAAGACTTTAATAATTGAAAAAAAGGAGTAAAAGTTTAGAAAATTTCTACGTAAGTTCACCGATTTGTCAGTGAAATGTTTTGTGAATCTGTTATCGTGAATATGACTAGTATGGATGAGTCGTTTATTTTCTTAGAATGATCGTTATAATGGTACAGAACGCCGACATTTCTTCTTTTGATTTTCATCACCTACAAAGAATCAATTGTTTTTGTGAAATGTTCCATGTTTCATTTTTGGGGTCGTTTATTTTTGCAAATTAGCGTTTGTTTTTGGAGCAAAAGTAAATTGACATTGTTAATCAGTTTGGATAGAACAAAAAAGTAAACTGACTCAGTATGACTCAAAATTTACATATTTAACGTGTGTTACTTTTTTTCAAAATGAAGTTTGTTTATTGTTTTTAAATAAAAATATTTAAAAAAGTGGTAATTATCGTTTTTAGAAGAAAATATTTTTAATTTATTTTCAACTGAATAATTAAATATTATAATTAGTATCGAAATTTTTTTTTATATATAACATTTTATTTAAAATAAATAAATTTTTATTTTTAATTAAATTACACAAAAAAAAAATTAACAATAGCAAAAAAGATTTAAATTTTGAAAAAAGAATTGAAAGAAATGTTTAGGTTCATAAATTTTTTTTTCTATTTTGAATAATACACTCACAGTAAATATTTAAAGAAAGTGGACATAATTACTACTATCAATGGATTATAATTTAGAAGTTAATATCCCATTGTTAAAGGGACATGTTGTTTTATTACCCTAACTGAGAATTTAAATCTCAGGTATTAATACTCTCAGCTGGGTATTTCCTTTATTCAAATTTAAATATTTTTACTGATGTAATTGTTTATCTTCAGGTGTGGAAATCCGTCGGAACCATGAGTTACCAAATGACATCAAATCAATCCCGACCCAGTGAGTATATTTTTAGCAAAAAAAAAAATTAGTATTTAATAAATTTTAAAAATTAATTTTTTTTAACTTTTTGAATGAACGCAACTAACAGCTTATCAAAAAATAATAATTTATAACGTCAAATAAAATGTTAATTTTTAATAAATTTTTAATTTTAATTTAAGGTATTTTTTTTTTACAATTTTCGAAGGTAAAATTTCCAATAGACAAAATTTAACCAAATTTTTATTAAATAAATATTAACTTCACTAAATTATTATTTAACTAAATTCTAAATAAATTATTCTAAAATCATTTTATTTATTCTTCTTTTATTAATAAAATTGTTACTTAAAAAACAATATAAAAATTTAAACAATACTTTTTAAATTATTCAACAATTAATTATAGTGTTCAAAGCCCAAAAATTAATTGAAACTTATTTTGAGCCAAAAAATTGGTTGATATTCAGTCATTTTGGTTTTAAAATGTAAACGTAGTCAAACGTTGTTTTTTTTATGTGTAATAAGTTATAAGGAATATTTATATGTCTCAAATGAATAACTATAAACATATAAAACAATATCGTAAATTGGATTTTTTTTAATCATACATTTTATAAACTCAAAAAATCATTTTTATAAATTTTCGAACAAGAAAAAATATAAATAGACAAAAAAAAAAAAACAAAACACCGATGAATATTGAACTCGAAAAATATGTACTAATTTTCTTCTAAATGGAATTATACAAATATATATAAAAGAATCAAGTAAATGATGAAAATACGACAAAAATTTCTATGCAAATATTTATTTCAGTGTCGCATGGAAATTATCAAGGTCCTGGCGACCTGCCCATGGGATCAGCTAAAGAACAAACACTTATGTGGCAACAAAATTCATACATGGGTGATTCCGGTATTCATTCGGGAGCTGCCACTCAGGCTCCTTCCCTTTCTGGAAAGGAAGATGAAGAAATGGAAGGAGATCAGCTGATGTTTGACCTTGATCAAGGCTTTGCACAAGGATTTACTCAAGATCAAGTAGATGGTAAATTTTATAAATCTTAATTTCAATTTTGATTAATTTGGAAAAAAAAAATTAAAAATTGTCTTAATTATTAAATACCGTTGAAAAATTGTTGTAGAAATGAACTCTCAGCTGAGCCACACTCGTTCTCAGCGAGTGCGAGCTGCCATGTTTCCCGAAACACTTGAGGAAGGAATCGAAATTCCATCAACACAGTATGATCCAGCTCAACCAACAGCAGTTCAACGATTGGCGGAGCCAAGTCAAATGTTGAAACACGCTGTGGTTAATCTCATCAATTATCAAGATGATGCTGAACTTGCAACCCGAGCTATTCCCGAATTGATTAAACTCTTAAACGATGAAGATCAAGTCGTTGTTTCTCAGGCAGCAATGATGGTTCATCAACTCTCAAAGAAGGAGGCTTCGCGTCACGCTATCATGAACAGCTCTCAAATGGTGGCCGCATTGATTCGCGCTATTTCCAACAGCGACGATCTTGAATCCACTAAAGCTGCGGTTGGCACTCTTCACAATTTATCACATCACAGACAAGGTTTATTGGCAATTTTCAAAAGTGGAGGAATTCCAGCGCTCGTCAAACTTCTCAGCTCACCAATGGAATCAGTTCTCTTTTACGCTATCACAACTCTTCACAATCTTCTTCTTCATCAAGAAGGTTCCAAGATGGCCGTCCGACTTGCTGGTGGTCTACAAAAAATGGTCGCTCTTCTACAACGAAACAACGTCAAGTTCTTGGCAATTGTCACTGATTGCCTGCAAATTCTTGCCTATGGAAATCAGGAGAGCAAACTTATTATTCTCGCTTCTCAGGGACCCATTGAATTGGTTCGAATTATGCGTTCATATGATTATGAAAAGCTCTTGTGGACAACATCAAGAGTTCTTAAAGTTCTATCAGTTTGTTCGAGCAATAAACCAGCGATTGTTGAAGCTGGAGGAATGCAGGCATTGGCTATGCATCTTGGTAATCCAAGTCAGAGGCTAGTACAAAATTGTCTCTGGACACTCAGAAATTTATCAGACGCTGGAACTAAAGTTGATGGTTTGGGAGTTTTGCTTCAAGGATTGGTGCAAGTCCTTGGATCTAGCGATGTTAATGTTGTTACATGTGCCGCTGGCATTCTCTCCAATCTTACTTGCAACAATCATCGTAACAAGGTAAATTATAATTTACCACTGGTTCGAATAATTATTGTAAACTTAAAAATTTACATTTAAAAGTTCCAGTCCTCGGTTTATACGAATTTTTTGACTTTTTTTTTCGATGTTTTACAAAATTTTTAAACAAAATCCGTCTTTTTTTAGTAGACAATGCAGATCTTCTTTATTTCAATTATTTTACACATTTTTAACTGAAATTCTTCTCTAAATTAATTCATTTCAATAATTTTAATCAAATTCAATTATCTTAAACTATTTTATTTATTTATTTGGTTTTATATGTATGACCTTTCGGCCTTTTACATTTCCCATACATAAATGGTTTTCTCGATTTTTAAGAAAATGACAATTATCTTAAACTATTTTTCAATTCAAATTTTATGAAATACAATAATAATTGTTTAAAATTTAAAAAATATCAATTCATAATCACTTGAAATTCAATTATTTTTAGAAATTTAAATTTAAAACCTTCTGAAATTTAGTTATTTCTAAAATTTTCCATCTAAAACATTTTTCAATTAAAAAATTTTTTTAATTCAATTTTTGTCTGTAATTTCTAATTTAATTTCTTCAGCAACAGAAATGACCGTAAATTTTAATCAAAAATCAGTTGAAGTTATTTTCAAAAATCCAAATTGTAAATCTTTGAAAATTCAATTACTTGAAAAAAAATGTTATCTAAAATTATTTAATACATTATTTTCAATTCAGTAAAATTTAATTAGGTACTGTCTATAATTTAACAAAATGAAATTGACAATTATTTCTAAAAATTTCAACTGTAGCTTTAAAAATTTATTAATTTTTAATGATTTTTATACTATTATTTAAAAATTCAATTATTTCTAAAAATTTCAACTGGTATCTCTTCCAAAATTCAATTATTTTTAATAATTGTAATATTTCTTTAAAATTTCTCTCATATTTCTTTAAAAAAGTTTCAAATAAAAACTCTGAAATTGAATTGTTTTCAGAAATTAAAAAGTAAAATTACAACAGTTTAAATTTGCAGAAAATTTATTTCAAATTTAAAATCTTCAATTTAATTTTTAAAAAATTATTTAAAAATATGTTAAACTTAACCTCTTAACTGCGATGACGAAGATTTGACGATCAAAATCTTCCTCATCAGCAGTTAAGGGGTTAATTGTTGTACGAAATTTTTTTTTACCATTAAAACGAAAAAGTATGCCAAACTTTTAATTTCGAATAAATTCTAAATAAATCAGACTTCAAAAAAATTTTTTAATGAAATTTTAAGAATTTTTGTTTTAAATTAGTCCTACTTAATTAAAATTATGAAAATTTGTCTTAGTTCGGTCCTGAAACATTTAAAATAAATTTTCCTGATAATATTCTTATAAAATAATTATAAAGGAATTAATAAACTGAATTTAATATCTAATAACATTAGTTATTTAAAGTTAAATATTTATTAACTAATTAAAAGTTAAAATAAAAAAATCGACTTTTTTTTAAATGTAAATCAATTAAAACAACTTATTTTCGCCTTAAAGTCAATCCGAGGACTAAATAAACGGTTAAAATTTAAAATTGGGAGGAAAAATTGAAATCTTAAAAATTGATATAAAGGAAACTGAAATTAAATAATTAATAATAATTATAATTAATCGATATTTAAATTTGAATTATTAATTTAAAGAATTGTATCATTTTTTTTTTTTAACAGGAAACAGTTTGTCAAGTTGGAGGAGTTGAAGCTCTGGTACGTACAATTGTTAATGCTGGTGACAGAGAAGAAATTACGGAACCAGCTGTTTGCGCTCTACGTCATTTGACTTCCCGTCATCAAGAGGCAGAAATGGCACAAAATGCAGTGCGCATAAATTATGGTATACAAGTTATTGTAAAACTTCTTCAGCCACCATCTCGATGGCCATTGGTAAAGGCAGTTATTGGCTTGATTCGAAATCTGGCTCTATGCTCAGCAAATCATGCTCCACTTCGTGAACACGGAGCAATTCATCATCTTATCAGGCTTCTCATGCGAGCGTATCAAGACACTCAGAGGGTACATTATTATCATTTTTTATTATGGATATTTATTTAAACTCCTATAAATCAATTGAAAACAAATTTTAGAACGAAAACAACATACAAAATTTTTTTTTTAAAAGATTTTTCTAAAAAATAATTTCTAAAACTTTTTTTTTCTAACAAAGTTTGATTTCTAAAATTTGTTTTCTAACAAAGTTCAGTTTCTAGTATTTATTTATTTACATATAAACGGGCTTACAGAGAAAGAAAATTTAGCCCTTTTGTACCGAAGTACTAAAATTAATGAAACAAAATATAAATGTTTCTTAAGAACTGAATAATAGTAATATGTTTTTTGTTATTCGCAAGCAACTTCGAAGAAGTCTTGTTAGTTTTTTGTTATAAAGTCAAAATAGAATATTTTAATTTAAAAATTTTCATGTTCTAAATTTCAATTTAAAAAAAAATGGTCGTAGAATTGATTGCAAGAAAAATTTTGCCATAATCAATTTTTTTCTTGAATTTTATATTTTTCACATTAACCAATATTTTTTTGTTTTAGCAACGGTCATCCGTAGCTAGTGCTGGAAGTCAAGCAACACCTGGAGCCTATGCCGATGGAGTGAGAATGGAAGAAATTGTTGAAGGAACTGTCGGAGCTCTTCACATTCTCGCTAGAGAATCACACAATAGAAGTGTTATTCGATCTCAAACTGTGATTCCAATATTCGTTCAGGTAAACATTTTTTTCAAATTGAATAATTATTTTCTGTTTTTATAATAAATAAATCTCAGCGTAACTAGTTACACAATTTTTTTCATATAAATAAAATAACTGTAAATTAATATAAATTGTCTTAGAATATATTTTTACACTTTATTTTACTTAATATTCTCTAATTTTAAATTGTTTTTAAAAGAATTAATTAAATTTTTTTTTTTTTTCTTTAGTTGTTGTTCAATGAGATTGAAAATATCCAACGCGTGGCGGCTGGAGTATTGTGCGAATTGGCAGCGGATAAAGAAGGTGCGGAAGTGATTGAACAGGAAGGTGCAACGGCGCCTTTAACTGAACTTCTTCATTCGAGAAATGAAGGCGTTGCCACATACGCGGCAGCAGTTTTATTCCGCATGTCGGAAGATAAGCCGCAAGAATATAAGAAAAGGCTCTCCATGGAATTAACTAATTCACTACTCCGTGAAGACACTAATTTATGGAATGGAGGTGATTTCGGAATGGCTCCTGATTTACAGGTGAGAAAATTTTATTTTATTTTAAAGTCTGTAATAGTATTTTAATAGATCGTTTAAAATAAGTATTTATTTATATGTAAAAGCTTTTATTATTTTATTAATGTCGAATGTTCGTAAGATATAATTTCAATGAGTGTTCTTTATCGGATATGAATTTATAAATATTTTTTTTTAGAAACATTTTTCTTAAAAAGTAATTTAAAAGCACTGTTTACTTTATAGAATTGTTTTTTTATATAATTATTTTATATAATTATTTTATATAAAGATTGTTTTGCATTGTTATTTATCATATTTGATTCATTACGCACAACTAATTTTTAACCTAGGAAGCACTAGCACTTACAAAAATCACGCGATATTTCTGTGTTCATTTCTTTAAATAATTCACTATTAACCACGCTTTTTTGTATTAAAAAAAAAGGTGTTTTTTTATAAAATTTTCTAATAGTTCAGTACCGTCATAAAGTATATTAAACTTTGAAAAGCTGTTAAATTAAGAGCTAAGAAAAGTTTTAATAAATGATTGATAAGTCCATTAAATTCTGCATAAAAAGAGCTAAAGAAATTTCGTTTTCAGTAATTCTGTTAAAATATATTATGAAATAAATTAAACAAATTAAGTTATTTTAGAAATTTTGAATTTTTTTTTACGAATTAGAAAATTCTTTCATTGTGTCATTCGTAGCTCATTTTTAGAACCGTACTTTTAATTTATTTTTAAAGTACATTAAAAGGAAATTTGAATAAAATTCTTGCCTTGGGTTTTTTTTGAAGTTTATTTTAACTACTTTATGACGGTAGAAATGGGGAATTAGAGCTACTAAAATTAACATAAAAATCAAAATTTTTGATTTGTTAAAAAATATATATTTAAAACTTATAAATTAATTTTTTGCTTTAATTGTAATTCTTGGATCGTAATGCTAAATTTTCAAAAACTTTAGAAAAACGAAATAATTGGGATCGGAACAATGATGGCTCTGGTTAAACATTTTTTTATTATTTTATATTAGTAATGATTTAAAAATCATAAAAAAATTTATATTTATTTTTAACTTTTACGTATTTTAAAAAGTAGTAAATTAAAAAATCTAATCTGTAAAGAAAACAAAATTTGTTCTTTTTACTTATAAAATAACATTTTTCCAGTTGATTAATTAAATCTATTAATTTCACAAGAATTGGTTTTGCAAACAAAAAAAAAATCTTAAAAGCAAAATTTTTCATTCAATATTTTCTGTGGTAAAATATAATATGCCGGGCATTTAATGCATTTTCTCTATATAAACAAATTATCGACTTATATTAAATTGAATATTTAAATTTTAATAATTTAATTTTTTTAATTATATAAATTTAGAATTTATTTTATAATATTCGAAAATTTAAAATTAATTCTATTTTATATAATTTATTTAAAAACGTGTACCAAAGTTATTTCTTTTATGACGTCAAGACTGCCGATCCCAATAAATAGGCATCAATTATGGAAATGAGACATTCCAGGTCAAAAAGATCAAAGTTGTACCTTGAGGTTTTGAAATGTATTGAAAATAGGTTATTTTGTTGTATTTACCTATTTTTTTTTTTAAATTCTATTTTTAAAAGTTTTTAATCGATCTTGCTGAAAAGTATATGAGAAATACGAAAAGTTGATAAATTTAAATTGTATTAAAAACTAAAAGTAAAAAAGTACTTTACTTGTTTATTTTTAATACTGGATTAGTTTTTTTTACGAAGGGAAGATTATGTGAAATATTTCCAAAGGGTACCAAGAGAATTAATAGTTTTTTGAATTATAACCATTTTTGAAAACTGTTAATAATAGAAGAAAAAATTCAAAATATATCTTAGTTAAATATTTAAAAAATACGTTAATACTATTTCGTTATATAATTAAAAAAGCGAATGAAATGTAAATATATTAATTGTTGTGCCTGATGAAACAACTTTCTATAGAAATAGGCTAGAGAAATTATTATTTTTCTCACCTGCATGAGAATGCTCTTTAAATTGATATTATATATTTTATCATATAAATGTGAAAAATCGATTTTTATCAGTTTCAATTAAAAAAAATATATATAGAGTTAAATAACTTTCCGTTAAATGTAGTAGTGAGTTTATCAGTTTTTCACTAGTCAATTGACACCACTGAGCTTCCTACAGCGATCCAAGGAATCACGACACGCTTGTAGTTAATAAATTTTGTGTTGACCTTTGCTATACCTACTCTCTAGGACATTCTTGGGCCTGATCAACCCTATGACGGTATGTATGGACAAGGACCCCCAAGTGTCCATAGCAGTCATGGCGGACGAAACTATCAACAACAAGGTAAAAAATTTCTTTCAAAAATTCACTACTTGCTTCTCTCTCAAGGATAGTTTTTTTAAAATTTCCCCAAATACTATATTTTCAGAGATCTGACAATAATTTATTTTATACAATTACTTTTTTTTTAAAAAAAAATTTTTATTATAAATTTTAAAAAAATTTTTTTTATAAATTGTATAAAAAAATAGTTTATAAAAATTATAACTGTTTTTTATATTTTTTTTCAATACTAATAGAAATGATATTAAAATATACTTTGTAGCCCTATTGGTTTTTATTGTTTTCTTTTTAAATAAATAATTACAGGCCTCGGATTGTATAACTTTTCCGATTTATTCTAATAAATGTCGACTTTTTTGACTTATTTTACAAAGTAAAATTAAAAATTAATTTATTTGCATAAATCAGACTTGAAAATTTTTAAAAAAAAAAGTAATTTTCATATTTTTTTATTTGAAATTTTTGAAATTCACAAAAATTTGTTTCGATTTTTAAATATTAGGTAAATAAAATTATTAATAGAAATAAATTATTAAGTAATAAATTTTATTTATAAAAATTTGAAAAATCGACTATTTCGAATTTTTTTTTTCTAATTTAAATTGACAAAAACGACTTTTTTTTTGCGATCCGAGACCTGTAAATAAAGTCCGCAGAATAACTGTATTTATTAGAGTAAATAAAACATTTTTGAAAAATCTTTATTTAAGATTATTGTGAAATATTAATCTAGTCTTTTATTTGTAACAAGTTATTTGACTAACAGAAATGCACGTGAAAATGTATATATTTTTCAACCTAAACTTTGGTAATCTGACTACAATTCTCACTCTATCCTCATAGATTAAACTCTGTATTTATATAGATTATTTAAATACGTTAAATTCTTAACTCTTTGTTATTTTAACAGCAGCTTAACCCTTGGACTTAAATTTAAGTACATGAGGCATTCTATTTCAACTCGTTCCACCTTCAAAAGACGATCGCTAGCAGAGCGTTTTTCAAGAGATTTTTATTATATAAAAAAGAAAATAATCTTATAATGTTATACACTATTTCGAAAGAGAATTTAATAATCTTTCGATTGGTCTTAACATTTTTTTAATTTTCTCACAATTTCATACAGAAATCTTGATTTGAAATATAAAACTCATGATATCTCAAAACATCCCCCCTTCAATTTTATTTTAATATATATGAAAATAAAGCTTAGTTTTTCTAGTTTCAAATTCCGTTTGGTTTATCATGGACATTTGTGAGGATTTTTGGATAACAGTGATTCAAAATATTATGTGTTTTTGAAAACTTTGACACGAAGTATGAAGTTGAATCCTAACCCGCATTCAACCTACGTCACACACGAATTTCATTGTTTTGAAAAAAAATCGCAACCTATAATAATAAAAATTTTCTGTAAGGGGATTAATAATATCGTATTTATTTTAATAAAATGCTTTTAAGTGATTTTTAAGTTTAAATTTAAAATTACTCACCAAATTAATTTTTTAATATTAAATGCAATTATTATTGGAGGAAAATTTTAAATAAATACTTTTATTTTATGAAAAAAAAGACATTTTTTTGTAGGTTAAACGAAACATTTTTTATTTCAGCAAAAATTAAACACAGAAGAATTATAGTCCTTGAAAAAATACTAATTTTTAAATAACAAATTTTTTTCTTTATTTAGTTTTGAAAAATTTACTTTCCTCGGACGAAGAATATTTTTTTAAAAGCATTTGTGTTTCAGAAACAGGAATGAAGGTGTGATATTTTTGTGTTCCTGAAATTGTTTTAGATTCATTAAATCTTTTTTTAAGAACTCTTGCTTAAAAATCTCAGAAGTACAAAAAATTAAGAAAATTGTTCTCATATAGCAACAATTATTATCACGGTGCAAAAATTCGCAATATTGCGTATACTAATATTGCTTTTTATTTGTCTCTTATAAATAATAAAAATTATGCTAATGATAGATAAAAGCTATTAGAAGATTAAATTAAAAATATTTAGAACACATTTATTCAAATTATTTATTTAAAGATAATTATTGTATAAATAAATAAATATTTCAAATAAATTATTGTACAGGTTGTGATTTTTTATCAAAACAATGAAATTCGTGTGTGACGTAGGTTGAATGCGGGTTAGGATTCAACTTCATACTTCGTGTCAAAGTTTTCAAAAACAGATATTTTGAATCACTGTTATCCAAAAATTCTCACAAATGTCCATGATAAACCAAACGGAGTTTGAAACTAGAAAAACTAAGCTTTATTTTCATATATATTAAAATAAAATTGAAGGGGGGGTGTTTTGAGATATCATGAGTTTTATATTTCAAATCAAGATTTCTGTATGAAATTGTGAGAAAATTAAAAAAATGTTAAGACCAATCGAAAGATTATTAAATTCTCTTTCGAAATAGTGTATAACATTATAAGATTATTTTCTTTTTTATATAATAAAAATCTCTTGAAAAACGCTCTGCTAGCGATCGTCTTTTGAAGGTGGAACGAGTTGAAATAGAATGCCTCACATACATCTGTCACGAAAATCTCGCAGTAACATATAGGTGAAATTTAATACTTATGTGGAATGTCATCCTGCATTTTGTTTATTCCATGTTAAATGCTTGTGTGTTAATCCAATTTACTTTTGCATGCTTGATTGGTCATTTTTCCCAGTCTCTTTTTTTCCATTATTCAGAATGTCTCACACGCTTTTTTTTATGAATTGCACGACTTGATTAAATTTTCTCTTTCATGTTCATCTTTCGTCTGTAGATTAAATTTTTCTTTTACAAAAATATTTGTTTTTCTCTTTTTTTTTAAATTGTTTTTTGTTTATGTATTATCGTTTTTCTAGTATTTAATTGTATTTTATAACAGCAGTTGTCAGTCTCAATAAAATAAATGAAAATTTGTCACATATAAAAATTTTCTCAGCATGCAATTTGTATTACAATGTGATTACAGTATTTACTTAATTTGTATATTTGTGATGATATTTAGATTAATTTTCACTTTAAAAATTAAAAAACAAAAAACCAATTTTTAGACTTCGATCATTTTTAAAAATATTCTTCGTTTAATGTATTTTTTTTAGTAAAAAAATAATTTAAAAGTAATATTGAAAAACCAAGATCGTAGTTATCCGCTTCACATAAAATTTCCCCATTAACAATTTGACAGTCAATAAACTGTCTGTGTACGATAAAGATTTTATGTATTTTCCTTTCCCCTTGGCCAAAAAACCGCAGGCAAATACAAGTTATGGATTCAAGGGAACTATTTCTTGGGATTTCATATGTAAAGAATAAGAGGGAATTTAATATTTAAAAATCCTACAGAAGGATATACACGGAGGAATAAAATTCAAATTTAATTTACATTATTACTTTTATTTGTAACCGCGTCTGGGAATTTTTACGACCAAAAAATCGATTTACACTTTTTTTGCAATTCTAATAAAAAAAAGTACGTTGATTACAAATTCTATGTCACATTTAAAAAATTCAAATGGAAAATTTTTTAAAAATTGATTTGATCTGAAGCTTGAAATATTTTACATATTTTATCATTTATATATGTATATATATATTTTTTTTTTTTTAAATGTTATATACCGTGGATGTACCAGTTACTGTCCATGTCCCAATTTCTGTCCATTTTACAAATATCTCGTATAGTAATTTAAATTATTTTTTAACAATAATTTATTCCTTTTGTCACACAATCGACTTATTAGTTTAAGTAAACAAATAAAAGAAAATAATTTTTTTATAAATGTTATTTTGAAAATTAAACTGGACGGAAACTAGGTCTTAGGTGGACGGTAACTGGGACATCCACGGTATTTTTTGTCTGGAAATTACGACACTTTTTTTTTTTCTTTAAAGTATTATTTTTATTATTTATTTAAAGTATTATTTTGTTCCAAAAATATTTCAATTTTTTAAATACATTGCAAATAAATATTAGGATGAAATTTTAATATTTATTTATTATGAATAATATAAAAAATATAAAACATGATTTTTTAGAAATGAAATAATTTTCTGAGAAATTCGTTGTTCTATGATTGTCCAATTTTCAAACTATTCTATTCAAGTTAAAATATTTCAAAATAAAAATTACACATTTAAATTACAAATTGAATTCAAAGCAGTTCCAGCATAAATTTTTTTTATTTTAATATACTTTTCTATTATAACTCTATTTTTGTTAAAGAAAAAAAAAAAGAAAGAAAAAATTCCATCTTCCCTGTTTTAAAAACATTTTTCCACTATGAAGCCTTGCCTCTAGTACGTATATACGTTATTAGGTATTTTGCCTTATGACGTCATACGATCTCTGGAGAGACAACAAAAAATTTTTTTTATTTATTTCACAATTTTTTTTCATTTTCATTAAAAAAAAATATATATGTGCGATTCCAAGTGAGATTTTGACTTTTTCGGAGTAGGTTAACCGATTGCAATGAAACTTTGGAATTTTGTTATATATGGTAAGACTAATCTTTAACGTAAATTTCAGCCTAAAATATTTGTTAGTTTACGAGATTTGCAATAATAACAAAAAATTTAAAACTGCTATATCTTCCGTTCTAATAAACGGATTGAGGTCTACTTTTTTTTAAAATGTCAAGGAAAATGAGAGGAATAAATCTCTTTCAGAACATTTTTTTATAATTTTACAACTAAAAAAATTATTAAATAATAATTGAATAACTTTCGCGCGACTAACTAAAATTCAATCACTTAAACGCTAAAATGATCTTACCTGTGTTTTCTTTAATGTTCCAAAGGATTTTTATTGTAAATGTAAGTTTAACTTAAGAAATTTTATTAATTTATTAGTATAAACAATTGAGATTTCTGCTAGTTGACGTGCAGACGACATTGCGCACGCAGCATTCTCACATAGCCAACTGACGTGATTCGTGGACTAAATTGGCTATGTGAGAATGCTGCGTGCGCAATGTCGTCTGCACGTCAACTAGCAGAAATCTCAATTGTTTATACTAATAAATTAATAAAATTTCTTAAGTTAAACTTACATTTACAATAAAAATCCTTTGGAACATTAAAGAAAACACAGGTAAGATCATTTTAGCGTTTAAGTGATTGAATTTTAGTTAGTCGCGCGAAAGTTATTCAATTATTATTTAATAATTTTTTTAGTTGTAAAATTATAAAAAAATGTTCTGAAAGAGATTTATTCCTCTCATTTTCCTTGACATTTTAAAAAAAAGTAGACCTCAATCCGTTTATTAGAACGGAAGATATAGCAGTTTTAAATTTTTTGTTATTATTGCAAATCTCGTAAACTAACAAATATTTTAGGCTGAAATTTACGTTAAAGATTAGTCTTACCATATATAACAAAATTCCAAAGTTTCATTGCAATCGGTTAACCTACTCCGAAAAAGTCAAAATCTCACTTGGAATCGCACATATATATATATATAATTAAAATAACTTACAATAATAATAAGTATTTTAAATAAACAAACTTTTATTATTTAAATAATTTGTTATAAAAGTTATATTTAAAAAAGTTCTGCTAGAAATTTTTTTTTTGGAAAAATAAGAATTAGGACTCGAATAATTAAAAGTAAATTATTATGCAAGATCAGAACTAAAAGAAATTCTTACAATATTCACAATCTTTTATAATAAATTCTTCAAATTTAAATTCAAAGAATAATTTTTTAACTCAGAAATATTCAAAAGTTATTATTTTTCATAAACAAATTTTGTACTGAATAGTCGAGAACAAAAAAATACTCTTAAAAATTGAAAAAGATACAATTTTAAAAAAAATTTAATTTTTCAAAATTATTAGAAATTTATTTTTGAAAAATGTCAATTTTTGAATATTTCTGAGAAAAAATTATTTTTTTTTTTAATTTAAAAATTGAATTATTTTGAAAATTTTTAAAGTTTTTATAAATTTTATGATTGTTTTGCTTTTGTTCTAGATATAAAGAATTCAGCACAAAATTTGTTTTTAAAAAATAATGAGTTTTCAGTATTTCCGGATAAAAAAAAATTTCTTGGATTTTAAAATCAAATTTTTTTGAAAATTTTTTTCTATTCGTTGAATTTTATTAAAAAATACTTTGTTCAAAAGTTAATAAACAAATAAAATTTTTATTTTTTATATTTTTTAAACGAATTATTATTTAACAAAAACACAAAATCAGAATTGTAGAGAATTTTTCAAAGAAAAAAATGAACCATTTATAAAAATTAAATAAAAAAATTCACTAATTTTTAAGAAAAAACACAAAATGTTTTTTTTAAATTATTATTTAACAAGAAATTTTAATTCAAAATGTTTTTTGAAAATTGTACAACTGTATTTTTTTGAATTTGAGTGAAATTAATTTTAAATAAGTATTTAGTTCTGACCAGCTTGCCATAAATTAACATAAAAAAAATTTTTTTTTTAAAAGAGTAAAATTAAAAAAATATATATTTGTTGTCCCTCTAAATTTGAAGATTCTGTGAAAATATCACCTTATAGTAAAAGTGTTGGATAATAAATATAAATTCTTTCAGCAGGTTATGACCAGATACCAATAGATTCAATGCAAGGATTAGAAATAGGCGGCGGTTCTACTTATGGTGCAATGGACACTATGGACGTGGCACCAGAAGGTGATCTCAGTTTCGATCATCTCGAAGAACTTCCAGCACCGCCTCAAGATAACAACCAGGTAGCAGCCTGGTATGACACTGATCTTTAAAAACATACCACTGTCTCCATAGGAGGAAACCCTTCTTTGGATTTACCGCGAAATTTTAGTTAAAAACCATTTTTATTATCTTTCGCATTATCTAAATGCGGTTTTTTTTTTTTATTTACTCCGAGCCTTGTATCCTTTTAATTAAAAAAAAGTAGTTTTACGAATTCGCATGAAAGTTGATCAATTCGCACAACAGTTGTAGTTTCTTTACACTGTTGAATGAATGAATTTTTAGAATAAAGAAAAAATTGTGAGCAGAGCCATATATGATACGTAACGTTAAAAAAAAAAAATATCGTGCTGCTCCATAGGCGATCTATACTCGCTTTCCATACCGATCCCGTAGTCTAGAGACTAAGAGAAAAATCTATTTTGATTATTATTCACTGAATTTTATGAATCCATCACGATTCTCAAATAATCTCAAAAGATTTTTCTCCCTGTAATAATTAAAATATAATAAATGAAAAATCACAAAAAAATGTATAAGTTAGTCTCAAAGCCATTGTTGGATCGAATGTAGTCAATGGCAAGTACTTTTGTACGCTGTGCATTTCTAGAAACGTAAATCCTGCAATATCTTTGCGATCGAACAAAAATATGAATACAATTTTGTACCTTCTTTTTTTACATGAGTTCTGAATTGTTAATATACTATAACGCGAAAAAAAAAATGTAGTTTTTAGAAAAAAAAAACTAACTGACAGGGTCGAGAAGATTCTAAATACGAAGGCTGCTATTTCGTATTTAACGAACATTTCAGTATTTTATTTAAAGTATCATCGCAATTGTGCGTAGATCTGTCATTAAGAAAACTATTTTATACCGCGGACGAGGGACAAAGTTTTAAGTAAAAAAAAAATTTTATCAGCAAAAAAAAAAATTTCAACTTTTTAGATTATATATTATAATTATATAGTTGACATTGCGTTAGGGACCATTTCTTTTTGATTCATCGACCAGAAATTTTTCAAAGTACGTAGCACAAATAACGTATGTGAGGGTAAAAAAGTCGAAAATAATTTTTATGCTTGATTTGTCTGATTCGAGACATCTAATTTGTTTGTATTTGTCAGATTGACTCTCATCGGACTTATCAATCATTTTTTTAATTCGACTCTTTGCCTTTTTAAAAATCATTATTTTTATTATTATTATTATTATTATATTATTATTATTACTATTATACTTTATGAATTTTTTATTATTATTACTATTATCATTATACATTATTACCAATATACTAACATTTATAAGCCTTACTAACCAAAAGTACTACTTAGGCTAAAGTGTTCTGTATTACATAAGTAGGAAAAAATTCACATTGGTATTGCGATCTCGACTTCAAACTCTGACTGATCGACTTCTTTTTTTAAAAAAAATCCATAATAGAGGAGCACTCGTTTTTAAAAACAATTTTTTTCAGATCAAATTTATAAAAATTGAATATAAGAATCGATGGTTTTTTTGAAAAAAAAAAAAAAAAAAAGTATTATAATTGTTATTTTATAAAATTGTAATTGTGCAATATAATTCATTTTGAGCTTTGCTGTTCATGAGAAGTATTTTCTTCTCTGGAAGTGAAAGACGAGTGAAATCCCGATCCATTTCACATTGCTTCCCTTGAAACGTTGATGTCATTCGAATATTGATGAAATACAATCATATACGTGTAGGCATAACGATATCATTGAAACTCTGCATTATGCATTATACAGGGTAGTAACACTTAATTTTTATTATCAAATATCGTAGCTGCGACGGTATTGGCCATTCATTAATGTTATGATATGGTCACCGTTTCGCACGTTGTCGATGTGTTAGATTTAAGTGAGAGACGTAATTCGTACATATGTACTATGTATATGTATTGTTTAATTGTCTATACAAATAAAGTAAGTAATAGAATTTTTTTTGTCTTTTCATTATTTTATTTCATGTCCCAAAAATCTATTAGAAATTTCCATTCGTCGTGGTTCTAGAAATTAATTTGAAATTTTTTAAAGTGTGGATAAATGAGGGTTATAAAGAAGCGTTCAATTTTTTTTAACAATTTGTAAATTTAAAATCAGTACGTTTTACAGACTTCGGATTGTACGACTTTTTCTGACTATTAAAATGCAAATTTTTCGACTTATTTTACAAAATACTTATACGCTTTTAAAAATATGCAAAATAAAGATTACGAAATTGCATCGTGAATATTCTATTTTTGATTAATAGCACCAAAAAAAAATTTATTCTATAATATTATTGTCAAAGAACTTATAAATTCATCGATTTTCAAATATAATATAAAAACTAGATTTTTTTAAAAATACTTCATCAATCAGATGATTTTCAGTGGATCGACCTACTTTTTTTAAATTTAAAATTTTTGAAATTCTGGCAAATTTGTCTCAGTTCAATTTTGAAATATTATCAAAATAAATTTTTTTGAAAAATTTCTATCCAATTCTTCTTATTAAGGAATTATTATTTTTTTATTTATTTATTCATAGTCTTCCGGTTTTGGACGAACTTCCGACTTACATTTTATATATTCCACATATTACATTAATTAAATTGCACAAAATTAATTTAAATTAAGATATGAATAAATTGTAAAAACCTTTTTTTAAATTAAATTTACAAAATAAAATGTTCAATTATTTAATTTATTAATTAAAAACAAAATAGTTATGACTTTTTTTTAGAACAAACTGTAGCTTTTCCAAAATTCAATTATTTTTAAGAGTCAAAAAAAGATAAAATTAATAATTTTAAATAAATTTTTAAAAAAAATTCTTGAAAATTGAATTATTTAAAATATTTTCAATAAATTTACAGTTGTACCAAAATTTGGTCGAACTAAAAATATAAGATAAGAATTTAGTATATCTAGCACACAATATTGAATCAATATTTCAGAGCGAGGTTGGTAGATATTATACAATACAAAGTATATTATATCTATATTTTAATGATAGAATAAAAACGTCAAAAATCATAATCAATATTCACCTTTGTTATCAAAACAGTTAAATAGGAAAAATTTAATTAAATTCTCCAATTAATTTAGATCATTACAATAAATATAAAAAAAAAATCGGAAAATATTTCTTAAGTCTATATCAATATAAGGAAAAGTAATTAAAAATGTAATTAAAACGTTCTTTATGGAGATATATTGGAGTTCTCACACATTTTAAAATTGAAAAAAAGACTGAACACATTTTTTTTTTTAAGTTTTTTAAAGAGAAAATATATTTGAAATTCAGCGAGCGTGAATTTTCACTCAAGCAATAAATTTTCCATATTATTTAAAAATGTCTATAAAATACAGAAGTTGCAAAAAAAACGGTTTAATATGCCTCAAGTAATTAGGTGCTGTGTAATCAAGAGATGCACTAACGGTATCAAAATCAATTCCAGAGGTAAACACGATGTAGAAGATGCGTTAACAGTTAACAAGTTGACGTCATAAGTATTTACGCGAGTACACAAACGGAAATCTACTTCTTGCAGAAATGTAGTTAAACCTCGTCAGCAAATTATTTTTCACTGGGAATATTTGTATGAATGATCAAAAAAAAAAAAATATATATAAATAGTAATTAAAATAATGTCAAAAATACCAACTTTGATAAGTAAAATTCTTTAAACAGGTTTTTAAAAACATTTGATTAAAAAATATAAATACCAATTACATAATTTTATAATGAAAGAAAAAAAATATAAAAACAAAGGCGAAGAAAACGAATTAAAATAAGAAAAATATTCACCAGAGTGAGAATATTTTAATATTTTCAATATTGTATATTTTTTAAAAATATTTTTATTCAATTTCTCCACTTTATACTATATTGAGTAGAAAACCGAACTTTTATTTGACCGAATTTTAATTTAATAATATTTGCGTATAACCGAACTTTTGTTTTTTCCTTTAATGAAATTGTTATTTAATAGAATTATTTGATAGAATTTTCATTTAATTGAATTATTTAACTGAATTTGATTTTCATCGCTTTTCATTTAACGAAATTATATTGAGCTAAAATTTACAATGTCAAACCTGTCGATTTTCAAAATTGTTACTTTCGGTTTTATTTCCATATAAACGGACTTACAAAAGAAAAAAAATTTATATCAAGAAAATTTTGAATTAGAGAAATTCTCAAGATTTAAACTCACAAAAATTTTCAAAACTAAATTGTTCTCTATTTTTACTGAATTTTTTTTTTATTTTCAAACAATAATTAAATTTTACAGAATGAAAAATCATTTATTAAAACATTTTAGATAACCTTTTTTAAAAATATATAATTGAATTTTTGAAGAATTTGATGAAAATTATATTAGTTGACAATAATTTCATAATTAATGTAAGATAACATTTTTTAAGATAATTGAATTTCGAAAGAGTTCATAGTTGAAGTTATTAAATTTCAGAAAGTTTTAGTTAAAAAATGTTACAAATAATTAAATTTTTGATGATTTTAAATTGAAATATTTGAAAATAATTGAATGCAAGTGATTTTGAAATTTTTTGTCGATTTCCGTTGCTGAAGAATTTATTCAAAATTAAAGACAAAAATTGAACTTAAAAAATTTTAAATTGAAATTGCTTTCAGATAATTAAACTTTCGAAGAATATTATAAAAATCATTAAAAATAATTGAATTTCGGAATTGAGTTTTAATTGAAATTATTAAATTTGAAAAAGTTTTAGATGGAAAATTTCAGGTTTTAAATTGAAATTTTTGGTTAAATTTCAATTGAAATAAAGAAGATTTGCATTTTATACTAAAAAAGACGTATTTTGTAAAAAAAAATGTCCTAAATATTAGATTACAAAATCAACTTTTTTTTTTTAATGTAAATCGACTTTTTTTGCGCCTTAAAGTCGATCGGAGGCCTGTATATATTTAATCTTCCATTTTCTCACGTTCACAGCACTAATTTTTCATACTTTCTTCACGCATGTAAAGGCAAGTGAAACAACTGTGAACAACGGTTGAGCGGTAAATAAGCGCACCTTTCTTGGGGTTTTGAATTGACAACCGGTACAGCTGTGCATCACTGTTTAGGTCGTTTGTTGTCCACATGTGAGTCGTTGATTCTATTTCGTGGAAACAGAGACTGAATCCAGAAGTAGAAGAAGACCTCCTTGGAAACAACGAGGATCGTTTACATTGAATGCCTCCAGGAAAAACACGAGTTACTCTATACAATCCCTCTTAAAAGAAGAAAGAAAAAAAAAGAAGGAAAAAAAAAAAAAAAACTGTCCAACGTCGGTGGTAATTTCATCTCTTCCAGCAGGTTCATTACATGTCCTACATTGATCCAAGTAACTAATCGATCAAGTGTATCCACTCTGGTGCCAGCAAATAATACATCTACTTTAATCCCCCTTACTCCTTTTTTCTTCCTAATGCATTACTTTATTTTTATTCTTTTCTTCCTCTATATAGATTATCACAAGGTTAAATGGACTGTTAATAATATGCCCTGGGGTGTATTTCTATTTTCAATTTTTCAAAGCCGGAAATAATATATGAAACTAAAAACGTGAGCCGTGAATATTGAAATATTCTTATCGAAAATTTCTTTTTAAAAAATTTCCTCGAGAAAAGAAATTCTATTTTTCTCGGGATTCTGAAAATTTATAATTTAAAAAAAGTTTCTATACTTTATATACAAACTTGAAAATAATTTATGGAAATAAAGCTATAATTGCGGAAATACGGAAGCGACTATTTTTCAATTAGTATATCTATAATGTAAAAATTAAATTTTATTTTTAATATTTTATTTCAGTTTTTATTTAATAATATAAATAATTTAATTCTAATAATTAAAATAAGTTTCTGAAATTGTTAAACAAAAAAAAAATAAAACTTTTCTGTTAAAGTTATTACACTGAAAAAAAATTTAATCACAATTTTCTTGATAATAAAATTGGTTAATTTTAAAATTAGCGTCACTTTCTGTCAATTGTCGGTCATATGCAGTTTCGGACAAATGGAAATTCGGCGTTTAAAAAATTCTATCAAATAATAATTATTGAGAATAAAAATTAATTGAGAATTCTGGAATTTAAAAATTCGAAAAAGAATTCTCTTGAATGAGAATTCATTAATATTCCGTTAAATTAGAATTAAAAATAAAAAGTTGAATGAAAAGAAATCTTATTCGAGATTATTGAAAAAATTCTAACTCCTATATATATTTGGTGCGTGGAAAAAAGTGAATTAAATTTTCTAAATTATGTTATTGACAATATTTAGTGCATTTTTATATATATATATTGTAGAAAGTGTCTGCTATTTGCTTTCTAATATATACTTAAAAGGAAATTCGCATTGTTTTGTTGAGTGAGTAATTTCTTCCCCCTCAGTAGAAGGTTGTCAAAGACAACCTACTTTCAAGAACACTTGGTTAATTCACGCAAGGTACATGCATATCCAACCACTTGGTAATTAATCGCTTGATGAATAAAGCAGGTGTGCTTGTATTCTTTTTTACAACACACAGAAATATCTAAATACAAGTTTTATTGTTATACCCATATATACATATTCAAAACTTTAAAGACAATTATCATTAAAAAGATTTCAAATTTGTTGAAACCCTAAATAATAGTGTACAGTGATTTCTATTTTATTAGAAATATATTACTTTTTAAATGTGAACGTTTTGTCATATATACACTTAAAAATTGTTGAATTATACAGAACGAAATGCATTGAAATAATATATTTATATTGAAAGAGTTTTCTTGTGCAATGGATTCATTTTCTTACAATTATATTATAACGTAATCGAATTTGCATCACGATTTGTATATAATCACCACCTATAGCCGCAAAGATACACTTTCCAGTGAATGGAAAATATTTTTTCTTCTCTTCATTTCAAGAAACTTTCTTTCAACTAAAAATTCATTTTTTTTCCCCTTATAATTTAATCCTTTCTACGAATTTGTTGAATGTTTACGCTTCTTTTCAAATCGTTAATTACTTTAGTAAAAATTATTAATTAATTTCTTTCAAATTAATTTTTTATTTATTTTACGCTGAAGAAAAATTTGATTCAAATAATCGGTTACTTGTGATTATTATCAAATAAAAATTTATTTGTATCAAATAATTATTATTTGAGTCAATTAAAAGTTATTTATTTTAAATACAGAAATTATTGATTTAATTACAATTTATTCAGGTCTCGGATCAACTTTAAAACGCAAAAAATCGTTTTACTCGATTTAAATTCCAAAAAAAAGTCGATTTTTTTGTTGTTAAATATAATTAGTTAATAAATATTTTACTTTAAATTAATAATGTTATTAAATATTAAATTAATTTTATTAATTCCTTAATAAGAATAATTCTCTAAGAATATTATCAAGAAATTTTTTTTTTTTGAATATTTCAGAAACAAACTAAAACAAATTTTCAAAATTTTAATTAAATAGGATGAATTTCTAAAAAAAAAATAAATGAGTTTTTCAGATTTTTAAATTAAAATATTTTTTTTTTTTATAATTTAATTGCAGAAGATTTTAAATTTGAAGTAAATTTTTTGCAAATTTAAACTACCCTTGTTCTTTTAAAATTTCTAACAATTTAATTTTAAAATTTTATTTAAAACTTTTTTAAATAATTTAATTTTTAAAGAAATATTAAATTTTTAAAAATAATTGAATTTTGGAAAAGTAATAGTTGAAATAATTGAAATTCAAAAGATTATGTTAAATTTCAGAAAATAATTAAATTTTACAGAATTGAAAATAATTTATCAAATAATTGTAGGTAACCTTTTTTAAAATTACATAATTGAATGTTTCGAAATTTACAATTGATATTTTTGAAAATAATATAATTGAACTTGAAGTTGAATTTCAAGTAATTTTGTATTTAAATTTTTGATAATTTTATTTTTAAATTAAAAAAATTTGTTTTGTGTTTTTATAATATTTAATAAATATTAAATATATAAAAAATAAAATTTTTTTTTAATCTAATTTTTTTCGTTTCTTAAACAAAAAAACAGTGGAATTAAAAAAAAATTTTTTAGGAGGTCCGGAACATAAAAATCACCCTGTATATGATTTAGAAAACACCTTTTGTAAAACATGCAAAAAAAGCAAAAACGTTCATGTGCCTCACGATTCAATTAAAATATACATCATAAACGTTTATTTTTTTTTTTAATAAACATATATGTATTTAAATACAATAAATTACAATACAACGCGATTTCTTTTTCCTCTCAACGTTTAAATATCATGACCTACATCTGAAAATCTGACTCAGTGTCAAAGAAATTTCTTGATTTCTGTGCATATTTAGTATTTCTCGTCATGAATGTAAATAAGGTTCATTCTTCATTGTAACGTGTAAAGTTTTTCATATTAAATTGTTGACTTATAAAGCTTCCCTTTTTTGTGACATTAAAACCTCTTGAATATACATCAAATAATAACTTTTGAAAACTTTGTTTACATACTATTTTCTTCGTGAACACGAGAAGAATTTTTAATTCAACAAAACAAACACATTCTATTTATAGTTCATGAAACAATTTATGTTTCTGTATTTTCAATTTATTAAGAAAATCTACATAAACAATATGAAATTGTAGAAATCAGTAAAAATGTTATTTTTGTTTATTTTTAATGAATGTAATTTTTTTTTTATTTGCAACTGTAATTTCTTTATCAATTAGAAAAAATATATAAAAAAAACAGAATAATTCTAATGAGTGTAAAAAAAATCTTGTTTAGAATTTATTTATTATTTAATTAATAAAGTAGCGAAAAAATTAGAATTGGAATAATTACAAGAAACATTAAGTTCAAGGCACACAATTTCTGTATTTTTGGAAACCCTGCAACTTAATATCTACGTTAAAGAAAAATAAAAAAAAAAAATTTGGCACTTTCACAACATTTAAATTGAACAGAAATCTACACGTACCAAAAGTTTATCGTTGCGGTTTTTAGTTGAGTTTAAGAGATAAAAAAAAATATTTCAAAATTGTACTTTTATTTTTTCAGGTTAATACATGTAATATTTCAAAAATGAAATTGGTCCAACATGATGAACTAACTTCAACTTGGAACAAATTACATGTATTAACCTGAAAATAAAAGTACAATTTTTAAATATTTTTTCATCTCTTAAACTAGACGAAAAACTAACGCGAAACTTTTTGATGAGTTCGATTTAAATGTTTTGCAAGTGTGAAATTTTTTATTTTTCTGAAATGTGGGTATTAATTTTGCAAAGTTTCCAAAATTATACAGAAATTGTATGTTTTGAACTTAAAAAAAAAAAATGTAAAAATTGACAAAAATTTTTGAAAGTTTTTATCTTTTACTTCATCCAAATTTAGTTTAATTACTCAATTTTTCTTCACTTGTCGAAAATGGCAAAATTGGGTTACTTGACAGATGAGCTTTAAAAAAAATATTTTATTTATCATTATAATTTTTCACTACTTTAATTATTAAATAATAATAAATTAATTTTTTTTAAATAAACTAAAAACTAATAATTATTTTTACACTTTTTAGAATTATTCTATGTTTTTTTTTTATACATTTTCTAATTGCTAACAAAGTGACAGTTTCTCCTCTATACTTAAACTTATATTTTAAGAGGAATAATAAAAATTTTAACACCTAATTCTTTTTATTTCTGTCCCTATAGATATTATACAGAATCGTTGCTGAAAGTATCAATTTTTTTTTTAAATTAAGAGTTAAACGACTTTGTTCGAAATATAATGGTTTGACCCTAAACAATTATTTTATTTTATGAAGCTTGCAAAAAAATTTTATAGCGAGCTTATACTGGCGATGATTTTAAGTATTCTTTTATAAATTATTACCATGTTTCTTTTGTTTTTATCAGGGAGAAATTTTTTTTTTATAAATATAACTGCATTAGGATTTAATAGGGTTTCGAATTAGCATTTTACAAAATTTCTCCTCATAGGAATTTTTAATTAACAAAATTTTTAGCTACCAAATTTTTCTTTAGCAGAATTTTTATTTTACAGTCATTTTCTTTAAATGACTTTTTATAAAAAAGAATTGAAGCAAATTTTAAATTAACAGAATTCTCATTTAATCGAGTTTTATGTGATTCGAATTTTTAAATTGGGAACAATTCTAATTCACCGATTTTTAATTTGTCCGAATTTTTAAGACGCCGAATTTTAATTTGTCAGAAATTATAAGTATCCGAACAAACAATCGACAGAAAGATTGTGGCGTAATTTTTAAAATTGACCAATTAGAAATATATTTAGCTAGAAAAAAGGGGAAAAAAATTTGTTTTAATTACAATTTTGCTGATTATGAAAATCAGACTCAAAAAAATTATTATATGTGTTATAATAAATGTACTTCCAATTTTTATCAGTCTTAAAGACTGATTGACTAGATGTAAATTTAGTTAGCTATTCATCTCTTTATATTTAGAAAATTATGTAACTCGTTTGCGAGAGAAGCGTGTATTCTCCATCTAGTGGTAAGTATCGTGTAACGTCAAAAAGGGCTTTTAAGTAGTTCGAAATTTTGCCGCTAGATGGAAAATACGAGCTTCTCTCACAAACGAGTTGCACAATTTTCAAAATAAAAAGGGCTGCTTATTTCTGAATAGCTAACTAAATTTACGTCTAGTCAATCAGTCTTTAAGACTGATGAAAATTAGAAGTACATTTAGTATAACACACATAACAATTTTTTTGAGTCTGATTTTCATAATCAGCAAAATCTTAATCAAAACAAAAATTTTTCTAATTAATAAATTTTTTTTATGTTAGCTACATATATGCCTGTTAGATGAGAGTGAACAAATGTTGAAATTTAAAATGTAACAAAAATTTTGTTAAATTTTAGTTAAATTATTATACTAAATAATTCATAATTTTACTATACATACCCATTATTTACAACAAGAGGGGTTAAACTTTCCAACTACCGTAATAGACGATGCAATGAAAGTATTTATGTATATGTATAATATCCTTATACGTGTCATATATCATATATGTCGATAATATTCCTTCAAGCAACATCACGAACAATCACCGTACGTCCTAACGGTTTTATTTTCTTTTGTCATTTTGTCACGAGGAAGAGGTTCGCCTTGAGTGCTCGAGCTAAAATATATATATATAAACCCATATTGTTATAGCCTCATATGCTTGAATTAAATTTTTAAATTAAAGCTTCCACTTTAAATTTGTCATTCCTGAAACTAATTAAAAGAAACTTAGGACAATTAAAAAGAATTTTTCGCGAATTTTAACTCAAGATTTATATGAAAGAACAATTTTTTCTCAAAAGAATTATTCATTCAAGGCATATATATATATATATTTGAAATTAAGAATAATAATTAATATTATGAAAAAGAAAAAGTTATTATGTTTTTTTTTAAGTATTTGCATAAATGTTTATTGATGATGATTTATATGAGAATTATATAAGACTTTTAATGCTAATGTAACAAATTGTATTTTTGTATAGAATTTTTATATAGTCATACATTTAACGCAAGGGGATGATTTGTAAAAAAAGAACTTTTATGATTGGGTAACGATGAATGATGACTTTTATCTAAAAGTCTGTAATTAACGAAATGAGCAACTATTTTTAAAATGATGAAAAGTATAATATTTAAAAGAGTCATAAATTTAAAAGTCGAGGTTCTTTTGAACATAGTTTATACTCACTAAATCTGAATTATAGTTGTTTTAAGAATAAATAATTATTAATAATATTCTAAACATTTTGCTTTAGCAACCAGTAAAAAATTACTCATTAAACTGAAAAAAAATTTATTTGATTCAAATAATCGGTTGTTATTAAATAAATATTTACTTGAACCAAATAATTTTTATTTTTATTAAATAAATTGTATTTCAACCAATAATTTCTGTATTTGAAACAAACATTATAATTACCAATAATAATAATTTAATAATTACCATTTAATTAAATAATTATTTCATACAAATATTTATTGGATAATAGTCAAATAATCGTCTATTTAAATTAAATAAATTTTTTTTCAATGTAGTAAAAAAACATTACTCACATGTTATATTTCTAAATTCACAATTGAAAAAATTTCCGATGCTATGTGGAAAGTTTATATACATAATAAACTCTTCTTTTTATTGTCAAGTTCAAATTAGAGCATTTATAAATCCTTTATTTCTTTGTAAGGAAAAAAATTATAATTTCCGTTTGAAATTCGTCCTTTTCCTCTTTTATAAAAAGATGCAATTAAATTCCATTATCCGCGTTTGCTTTACTGTTTTTCCATAAAGAACATTTTGTATCGAGCAAAAAGAATTTTTAAACGTTTCATTGATAAAGTATTTTCAATTACTGTTGATACATGTTTTGTCATAAAGAAATAAGCTTATTTCTATGGATGAAAATTTCCAACTGTCATTTATTTGACATAATTCCTATATGAAAATGGTATTTTTTTTCAAACGTAATAAATTAATTGGAAGTTGGGTTATAAATTTATAAATATAGAGTATAAATGTCATATATTTTTGTTAAAAATAAATAATTAATTTAATTTGTTAAAATTAATCACAACAACAAAAAAATATAAGTACCTGAATTTTTAGTGTGGAGCGCAAAAAGTCGTTCTAACCTCCAATTGTATATGAAATTAAAATCCAGTTTTTGGAAAGTGACAGAGGCTCTTTTCCGGTGAATCTTTTTGACAATTGTTTAGCGAACAAAATTTCATTGAAGAAAATCCAAAATAAACATTGACACTTGCGAAAAGTACGAAAAATAATTAAATCAAAAAACGAAAATACATAAACAAACCCGCACTACCCGCGCACTAGCGAGAAGCAAAAAACACTCAAATGACTCGAGTATTCCAATATGGTAGTTAACTCGCGAAATTTTGAAGTAGAAATTCAAATGTATAAATAAAATACTACTATAATTGCATAAAGTCAAAGCTCTAATATTTTATATTTCAAATCAAATAAAGTAAAGTTAATCAACATTTATAAATAAGTAAGTATCTAGTAAATACAAAAAAAGCCATATATTAAAAATAGCATTTTCATATTTTTCAAAGGGGAATTTACTCAGGTAGTCAAGTGTATACACTTTTTTAACCAGGTAAATTCCCTCTCGATATTTGTTTAATATTAAAAACGTAAACTCGTTCATGGTAAAATAAATTTAAAAATATATAATTGTATAAACAATTATTTAAAATAATTTAAATTTAAATAAAGTTATAATTCTATAAAGAAATTACTTCTTTTTGAAATTAAAATTTTTTTTAAATAATTGATTCTGTTTATTTTTTGCATGTATTTATTGCATCCTACTTTTATTTATACATTTTAATTTACTTTATTTCATTTGATTTGAAAAATAAAATATTTATTCTGATTTTATATGCAATTATTTTATTACGTTTGCATTTCTATAGCTATTTGAAAATTTCGCGAGCCGACCTCCATATTGAAGGGAATACTCAAGTCACTTGAGTGCTTTTGTTTGGCTTTGTTACTTCAGTGCGGGCAGTGCGCGGGTTTGTTTATGTAATTTCATGTTTTTAATTGAATTATTTTTTGTACTTTTCACGAGTGTCAGTGTTTACCATGGACTGTTCGCTTTCAATTTCTATTCACCAAACAATTGTCAAAAGGATTCACTTGAAAAAGAGCCAGTCATTCTTCAGGAAATTGATTTTAATATCACCTATTGAATTTAAGGTTAGAATGACTTGCCATGACCGGTAAAACGAACGTAAACAAAAATGCAGGTCAGTGCTTTCAATTAATTTTGTTATCGCAATTCAGCTTAACAATTAAAATTGTTAACAATTCAATTTTCAAAATTATGTATATCGATTTTTTTTGTATAATTACTTTGCATTTAAACAGGTATATACGACTTTTTCGACTTATTTTAATAAGATGCAACTTTTTAAATTTTTTTTATACATTTTTAAATAAAATACGTATTTTTTTTAATAGACAATGCAAGTCTTCTTCAAATCTTCTTTATTTCAATTATTTAACAAATTTTTAACTAACATTCTTCTCTAAATTAATAATTTTAATGAAATTATTTACAAATTCAATTATCTCAAACTATTTTTCAATTTAAAAATTTTGAAATTCAATTTTTGTCCGTAATTTCTAATAAATCTTACAGCATAATAGAAATCATCGAAATTTTCAATCAAAAATCACTTGAATTTTAATTATTTTCAAAAATTTGAATGGTAAATCGACGAAAATTCAATTACTTTAAAAAAAAAACTATATCTAAAATTATTTGATAAATTATTTTCAATTCTGTAAAATTTAATTTATTTTTGAGATTTAAAATAAACTTTTGAAATTTAATTATTTTCTGAAAATTTCAACAATAATTCTTTCAAAATTCAATTATTTTTAAGAATTTTAATATTTCTTTTAAAATTCAATTATTTAAAAAAGTTTCAATTAAAAACTAAAATTGAATTGATGTCAGAAATTTAAAAAAAGAAAACAACTGCAGTTTAAATTTGAAGAAAATTTATTTCAAATTTAAATTCTTTTTCAATTCAATTATTTAAAAAAATTTTTAATTTAAAAATCTGAAAAATTCAATTATCTTTTATTATTCGCCGACTTCAAAAATTTTTTTAAATGGAAATTTAAGATTTTTTTGTAGAAATTTGTTCTATTTAATTAAAATTCTTAAAAATTTTCTTATCGATTCTGAACGTCGGTGAAATTTACAACATTTATGATCAACAATTAAAAATAAAAAATATTTTTCACGCGAAAAATAATAAAATTTTTTGTTTACAAATTATTGTTCTAAAAATTTATTAATCAAGGAAGGATAAAAAAAATTTTTTAGAAAAAAAAATGTAATTTGTATAAAAAAATAATTTTTCTTTTAATATCTAATTTTGAAGTAAAATATTTATTAACCTTAATTAATTTAAAAAAATGACTTTTTTGTGTTTTAAAATCGATTCGAGGCATGTGTAGGTTCATATAAGTAAAAAAATGTAAACTGAAGACATATTTTCTTTTGCAGTGAGTAATACATTATCATTATAGGATCATCCTTGATCTGACCTATGTTCATTGAGATCTTTCCTTCGCCACGAGCCAAGACTCTCACAAGTGACTGCAAATGACTGATAGACACACCATAATCAACAGCGTGCCCTCAGAAAGTATATAGTATAGTGCACACACGTGAAAGTGCACTGAGCTCTGAAGCTGATTCCTCTGTTATGTCTTTGGCAGGGGGAACGCGACAATCCCCTTTTACCTGCTAGACTTGCTTCCTTCACGCAGGAGAGAAAATTGCCGACCGTTTCAGTTTTGTAAAACCGACAGATAATAAGAGTAACCATCTAACCAAGCCGGCGAACAGTCCGGTCATTTCGTTCTTTCGGAGTGTCTTTCGTTTTCGATACTATCTTCATCATTCAAAATTCCAATTTAATCTGCGACAGTTTTCCCAGCAAGTTTTCATCAATCACGCAAACATTTTTCTACAGAATTCATATTCTCAACATCTGTTCTTCTTCCTCTTCTTCTTTTTAGTCACGTGCACCTGCTTAGGTATAATTCAAGTTTCAAGAACCGGAAGCTTGTGGATACTTAATAGGTCAGTAACCTGTGAATTCGAATTATATTTTTAAATTAAGGAACCTTTTTTTATATTTTTTGGCAAAGTTGCACATTAAATTCGTTTTTAATAATTTTTAAATCTCAAAGAAATCTTTTATTTGAATCAAATAAAAATATATTTGTCTCAGAGCCTTATAACTCTTTATTTGTTTTAAATAAAAAAATTTATTTAGCACAAATAAAATTTTCATTTCAAATAGAAACAAATATATCTTTTTTCTGAATGTAATTGGCAGAATTTTTAATTTTTACTAACTTTTCAGGTAACAAAATTTGTAACTAATTACGAAAATCAGACTCAAAAATTGGATTCTTAGTATCTTTAATGTAAATATCGTCGACTTGACGGAAAACGATACCATTTTTCACGAATGTTTTTGTTTGTTATTGCTTCAGGTACGTTCTGTAAATCATATCATTTCGTGTGATGACTATAGCCAGAGAAATATTTTATTGGCGTTTATTTAAGACAAATAAAATTTATTTGAAGTAAATCCACGGAAATTCAGACCTCTGGAAAAAATAATTAATATATTAATAATTAAAATAATATTATTAATTGTACTTTCCGAAAGATGAGATATCAATTTACAAAAAAAAAATTAAAACTTACAAAATTTATTTGTTTATACAATTTGCATTTAAAATTTTTTTGTTATATCGCTTCTACAGAATTTTTTTTAAAAATAATTCGATTTTAATGAAATATGTCTTATTTTCTTTAGAAAATGTTTATCTACAATTTCACCGTAGGAATTTTCAAACAAGAAAGCCTCTTGGAAAATATGGCTATTTGTTTTAAAAAATACAAATTTTTCTTTTAAACAAATAGCTATATTTTCCAAACGGCTTGCTTGTTTGAAAATCCCCACTGCATAGTCGTAGAGAATCATTTTCTGAAGAAAATAAAATTACATTGTTATTGAATCATTTTTTAAAAATTCTGTTGAAAGGATATAACAAAAAAATTTTTAATGCAAATTGTATATAAACAAATAAATTTTGTAGGTTTTAATTTTCTTTTTTGTAAATTGATATCTCATCTTTCAGAAAGTAATATTATTTTAATTATTTAAATGTTAATTAATTATTTTGGTCTGCATTTCCGTAAACGTCCTTAAATAAAAAAAATGCAAATAAAATTTTTATTTAAATTCTAATAAAATTTATTTGAAAGAAATAAATACTTATTTGGCTCTGAGACAAAAATATATCTTTTCTCTGGATGTTTAAATACCTTTTTTGCGTAAAAATGCAAAACATACAATTTCGGTCATTTTTGCATGCATATATCGTTTTACACTTTTTTTATGCAAAAAGTTATATTTTCCTGCGTTCATAACGTTTTTCCACTAAGCCAACGATATTTTGTAATCCTTTAAACTTTTTGAAATCCTCTATATATAGTAGAAAAATTGGTAACTATGCCTATAATAAAAATGTTAGCTAAAAGCAATGTATTTTTCAAATAGAAAAAAAAAACCTCTTTATAGTTGTAATAATATAAAACGATTAATGAAACGAAATATTATAGTTACTCTAAACAAACGAAACATTAAATGAAAAACTACTTTTACAAAACTAAAATAATATTTTATGTAAAATTGTTTCTTCATTAACATTTATTATTATCAGCAATTAAATTTATATTCATAGTTGAAATATTTCAAAACCAAATATAGAAAAAACAAATGAAAAAAAAAGTGGTTTGACCTTTTATTTTAAATTCTTATTATGTTTCGTTGAAAATGAAAAATGCACATTTTTTTTAACTTTCTCTAAAAACAAGAATTTTATATGTTTCCTTTTATATTGTTGTTTTATGAGATTTCATAGTTGCATAAGGGAACCTGTTGCTGAGTTCATCGATCGCTTCTTACACTTCAGACTTAATCTACTGTCTAGTTTCTTGTGATAATAACGTTGTCTAGGTATTTTATAATCTATATTATATCAGACCATTTGCAGTTTATGTTTTCTAAACATATTTACATTAATTATTAACTTTTAATGAATAACTGTATACAAATGAATAAGGAAAAAGTCCTTTTTTTGTGTGCTATTCAGACAATTGTTTATTTTATTAATTTGAAATGTGCGTTTTTTTTATTATAAATTTTTATCTCGATTTTTATAATATAGAAAAATAGTTTCAAGGACAAATGACAATCTTAGGATTTTATGTATCATCTGCAAAAGAATCTTGTCCTACTTCTTTCTTCAACAAAAAAAAAATATATGTATATAAAAAAAGAATATTTAAACCGGATCCAAGTTTTAAATTTCTTACGAATGTGCCTTTGTCTGGCACATCTCAGCTATGACATCAGGAATTTCAACCTACTTTTGTCTCAAATTATATTAGGCTTTAAAAAAAATCGTAATAGGTAACGGTAAAGAATGGTCTCAGTTTTTTTGGTTTGTTTTTAAGATAGATAATTAAGACAATAAATCAAAGCATTATAATCATACAATTGTCTAATTACTTAATCATCATTATACACATTTGGATGAAATTTAATGAATTTGTTTTTTTCATTTCTCCAACAGGAAATCGAAATTTCATTTAATATAAAAAAATTATTTGAGAAAAGAAATAGGATAATATTTTTGATAATTGTTTATTTCTATTATTTCGGAAATAGAAAAAAATTGCTTCTGAAATAGTAAAATTTACTCCGGAAATAGTATTTTTTTTACTATTACCAAAGCAAAAGTTGGCAGAAATTTCGTAACTTTGGAAATAAAAATTACTTTATTTTTATTTTCTATTTTTTTTCCGTGTATATTTTCTGATATTTAAACTGAAAAAAGTTTATTTTATTCAAATATTCGATTACTTTACATCAAATAAATATTTACTTGAACGAAATATTTTTTGTAACCAAATAATTGAATTAAATAAACTGTATTTGAACCAATAATTTCTGTATTTGAAATAAATACTATTTTGTATTTAATTTTAAAAAAATAATTTATTTATTCACACAATCGAAATTATGTTTAGAAAATTGTACGAAATACCATTTAATTGACTTAAATAATAATTATTTGATACAAATAAATATATATCTATTTGATAATAATCAAGTAACCAATTATTTGACTCAAATAAATTTTGTTCAGTCTTATATATAAAAAACTGCAGTTATTTTTTATAATTAAACGATTGGTTTAATTAAACGATAGGTACACTTTACGATTAAAAATAAATTATTCAGTCGAAAGGAATTGAAGTAAAAACCATATTGGTTATACTATTAATAGAATTGTTTATGAGATTGAAATAATTACAGAATTAGTTAGCATATTTCATATTTTTAAAAACAAATATTTTTTCGAATTTTAATTTCAGTTTTTTCTAATATGAAAAATTACATCCTTTTTATTATGCATATTTTCCCCTACTAAATCAGTTCAAACAAAAAATATTTGCCAATTTTTTCTCCTTGTCTCATTTGTCTTCTTTGTATAATGTTTTCAAGCGATGAAAAAGATTCCAAATTTTAACCATATTAGTCAAATATTTAATAAAATAGAAAAATTTTTTTAAATTAAAAAAATACTTAATAAAATAATTTTAAAAAAAAATTAATTTCAAATTCTATTTTTTACAAACAAATATTGATATATAATTTTTTTTCCCTTCTTTTTCAGGAGGCAGTGACTACCTCTCTCTCTCTCTCTCTGAATTCGAGGAGAAAGGATTGTAAAAGCGCGAGACTTGTATCTGAAGGAGTCAGTGTTAATAAGCTCAAGTGCAATATAGTAGTGTATTTCGACGTTTCGAAAATGTTAGCAGCGAGAGGTGCAGCGAGTGATTGTAAATTGTGCAGTGATTCGTGAATCCAGTTATTTTTACTCAGTGAAGTGTTTAAAGTCAGTGGATAGACGAAGAAGGACAATAAAAAAAAGTATAATAAAAATAAAAAAATAAAGAAAGAAAAATAAAAAATTTTAACCACGCTAAGACGATGGCTTTGCACGCGTGCTCAGCTTCCAACACGGAAGAACGTTGACATTGTTCGTGACAGCGCATGGATGTTAAAAGGACCTAATTAGCGAGCTCGAAGATGACAGTCACGATGGATCACAAACGAAAGACCTCTTGGGACTCCAAGGTACGATTTCTATTTTAATCGCGTTTCTTATTAAGACTTTTAAAAAATTGTTAAATTCTAATTGGATCTGCATCATAAAATCTAAATTAAAATCACATTTATATAGGATCATTTTATAGGGATATATAGAGATAGGGAGAGAATTTATAAAAAAAAAACATCAGTTATTATTCTTGATAGCTTTTGAAGAGAGTGAAAATTAAATATTAAAGCTGTTTAATCCGTTTTTATTTTCGAATTAAGTTTCGCCTGCTGCAGACAAGGAAGAGGTGCGCGAAATTTATAAATTATACACAAAGAAATATGCTTCTTATATTCCGGTGTAATTTCGTCAAAAGACGATAAAAGAGGTTCATAAACAGCCTTTTCAGAATGGAAACTCTCTCTGCGGTTTTAAAAGAATTAAAAAAAAGTAGAATTTGGAAAAAGAAATTTAATTTTTATTTTTAATTATCAACACTCAGAAAAAGTATCATTGATTCAAGAAAATTATCTACTTGTCTGTATTTGATCCACTAATTTTAATTCAAGAAAATTTACTTCTAGTAAAATCTTGGATCAAGGAAAATATTGAATCAAATACGGACAAGGTTTTCTTGATACAATACTATTTATTTCCAGTGTATGAAAATTTGCAAATTTGTTATTTATAAAATCATTAATTAGCATTTTTATTTTAAAGAATTTTATTATATATCATTTTTTAGAAGAAATTTCATTAGCAATTAACAGAATTTCTTTTTAAACGAATTTTTAACAGAATTCTTATGTATCGAATTTTTATTATACAGAATTTTTAAAAACGCCGAATTTTTATTTGTCCAAATTTGCAAATAGCCGAAAAAACAATCAACAGAAAGATTTTGGCGCGAGTTTTAAAATTATAACCAATCACGATTTTCTTCACAATTTCTGATTGGTCAATTTTAAAAATAGCGCCAAAATCTTTCTGTTGATTGTTTCTTCGGCCATTTACAATTTCGGACAACTAAAAATTCGCCGTTTTAACAATTCTGTATAATAAAAATTCGATACATAAGAATTCTGTTAATTAAAAATCCGTTTAAATGGAAATTTTGTTAAATGCTAAATCGGAAAATGAAAATTCGTCTAAAAAATGATATATAATAAAATTCTTTAAAATAAAAATGTTAATTAATGATTTTTATGGGATAATCATGCGTTCTTTGAAATTATCGTAAACATAACCTAAAATTCTTTTGCTTCTAAAGTACCTTTTTGGCGCTATATTTTTAAAATTTACCAATCAGAAACTGGCAAGAAAATCGTGATTGGTTATAATTTTAAAAACCTCGCCAAAATCTTTCTGTTGATTGTTTTTTCGGCTATTTGCAAATTCGGACAAATAAAAATTCGATACATAAGAATTCTGTTAAAAATTCGTTTAAAAAGAAATTCTGATAAATTCTAATTTGAAAAATGAAAATTCAATTCAATTTATTAAATTTACCGTATTGAATCATGTAATTTTACAAATTTTTATACAAATCGGAATTCTATAGGGACAAGAAATTTTTTTGTGAATGAATTAAAATTTTCGTTTTAATTATTGTAAAGCCAAAATCAGTTTTTAACGAATATTTTGGATACTCTCTAAATCTGAATTAGTAAAAATGTTTACTAATTTGAATTAGTGACTCACTTTTTGCTTCTGAATTAGTAAAATTTTACTAATTATTAGTAACTTTTAATAACAATTAGTAAAATTTAACTAATTCTAAAGCAAAAAGTGAGTCACTAATTCAAATTAATAAACATTTTTACTAATTTAGATTTAGAGAGTACAAATATGACTTTGTATTGAGAATTTATCCTCTTTGTGTGTTTTTAATTCAAAATTTAAAAACACAGGTAACTTTTTACATCTTCCTTCTTCAGAGCGTGTCTGATTTAAAAGAGAGAATAACGGTGCGCAAAAGTTAGGAATATTTTTTTGAAACGAAATTATGAGACTTTACAATTTAAGTAAAATATTTCGGACAAAATAATAAAATATGAAGAAAAGAAAAAACTGAAACTAAAATTAGTACAGTTAAAGTTAGTAACAGTTAAATTTTAGACCATATTAAATTGAAATTAGAGTTAACCCTTTTAACTATAAAATAATTGGAGTGTATTTGATTTTAATTTTTAGTACCAGTGACCTTAATGCAATTTTAACGTCTCTATTTAAAATATCTCAAAATCATAACTGATTTTCTCTAAATAATCTAAATACAAAAGAGTTTATTTAGGTTGAATAATATTGCGAATTTGTTTTGAGATGAAAAGGTCTTTCTCTTTACAGTTTCCCTCGACCTTTTCCTGACGATGCTCAAGAAATTAATCGAAGGACGCTGGAATGGAGATCGTCTATGAGAAACCTATAATACTCAAATGTGTTTGAACATATTTCGTACACACGTGCGCCAGACTAATGGAACCACTATGCTAACCAAACATACACACACACACACGTACACACATGTATATATAAATGGAGGTTACTTTCACCAAAGCCCATCCAGGTTATTACTGATTGTAAGCATCTTATCCTGAGTGCCGGTTTTGGAGCGAAAATTGATGCCGAGAAGTAAAAGCGCCAGATTCAGTAATTGGGAATGGTTTTTAGGTATAAAAGAAATCGGTTGTGAAAAAAAAGAAGTGTGAGAATTTTCCCTTCTTTAGAATATACATTGTTTATAAACAAATATATATATATAGGAATAATAACAGAGGAAGGCGCACAAGAAAAGTCTTTCTTGCGTGAGAAGAAATAATCAGAAGATATATATGAAAGATTCAATCTTGATCTGAGAGAAAGAGACGACCTAGTAATATGGCTAAAGTAAGACAATGGAATCGTGACTCTGAAAATCGCGATCCCGTCCTGGAGCGTACTTATCGAATTTAAAAGGGAAAATGGGTTAACATTTTTACAATTTCATGAATTGATTTTGTAGTACCTATTAAAACGATGTGAATTAATATTTATAAATCGGTTTATGAAAGAGAATTTCTGATACATTTTAGAAAAAGCGATTTTACTGGAACTAAAAGAAAGAGTGTTATTTCCATTTTTAGATGGTTTTCGTTGTCTTAGAATTGTCCTAGGGTGACCTTGTTCTCCATTGACCCCAGGTTTACGTCCATAATCCCAGCTGAGATCCTATAGGATATCACATATCCCACATGTAGGAGGTGTAGGAAATACAGTCATCACTTGCGGAGCCAAGAACTAGGTTGACCGGAATAACGTTCGATGCGTTAGATGGGTTGGGTCGACATCTGCGGGATTTACGATATACCGTTACTTTGCTTACTAACACCCATTTACAAAGTGATTGGCATTAGGAGGAAACAACTCAAGAAATGGGTGCGACGCGCGACGCTTCTGATATCTTGTTCTACTCTTCTCTATAATTCAACCAATGCAAACTGATCACTTTCCTATGTGGACCTCTGAAATGAAGAATCAATCTGCAAAAAATTTTATTCACTAACCACTATATTATCATTATTTATTAAAAATATTTAAACGCAAAAAACTTTTCTAACAACTCTAACTAACAGAATCATTGATACGTAAAATTTGTAGTTTCTACAATCTGTACATTTCTCATGATGGTCAGCGATAACAGCCCAACAAAATTTCAACAATGTTACAGCCGATTCTTATATAGGATTTTGACCGTAGAATCCTAATCTGACCTTGAAAATATTGGTTTTCGAGGTTTAAGGGGCCTAAAAACGCTTTTTTGGCATTTTTTGAACGTCTGTAAAACAAGACAGGGACAAAATAAAAGTTAGAACGAAATGAAAGCTTAAACATTGAAACACAAAAATAATGAGGTATTGTACACTATCGATACATAATTAAGAACAGTTTTTTGATCTTAACACGGCCGAATTTTGCTGAATGGTTTCATGTACCAAAAAATTTTAAGTTCGGAGTTTCATGACAGTTTTTGGGGTTGCTTAATACGAATTTGAAGTCAGTTTTTAAAAATTCAAAATGATGGTTCCAATACAGCGAACGAATTTCCAAAAAATTGATGGATTTTTATGAAACCTGGTTTCCAGGGTTTCTGGATCGCTGATTTCTAAATCTGACTTCGGATTCGTAATCAGCGATCCATAAATACTAAATAACAATGTAAGTTTAATTATTCGCTTTAATTTTGTGTATTACAAAGTGCACATGAAAGCATTCAACAGAATTCAACCTTCCTCAAAACTAAAAACTGTTCCCAATTATTTAAGGTGTACAATACTTAATTTTTTGTTCGTGTCTCAAAGGGTAATGTTTAAGCTTTCATTTCATACTTTTATTCTTCGCTGTCTTGTTTTACAGAACGTTAAAAAAATGCGTTTTTTTGGAACTTTAAAACCTAAATTGCATGAAAACTAGAGTCAATCCAATATTTTCAAGGTCAGAATCGGAGTTATAACAACGGTGAAAATCTACTTAAAATTTTGAAGGAATTGGCTGTATAGAAATTTATGATCTTGTAAAAATGAAAAACGTTTCTACTTTATCTTGCGCGGCAACAATGTGTATAATATGTCAGAATTGTTATATATTTTGTATTTGTAATGTATGGCACAATAACTAAAACCTATAAATATTGCCGCGAAATTGAAAATTTGCCAACCTACCTATTTTAATTTTCGCATCAATATTTCTAGATAATTATTGTTTTTATTCCACTTGATAATTCTACATGTACAGTATTTACTCTCAATTTTTCTTTAACTGTAAAATATAATTTCTTCTAAATTTTGTCATCTGAAACATTTTAATTGTATATATATATATTCCTGATCCATATAATGATAGCTATTTTCTATACAAGATATATTCAATTCGATATTAGAACCACATGCTGAATTGAATCTATTGTAAAATTGTATAAAACAGGTACTTGAACCGGTTTCGCAGATTGGATCGAATAATACATATATTATTTTTGAACTAAAGTGCCCGAGAACCGACATCA